TGCACTACTGCTGGATGGGGGTTCCCTAGGAGGAGGTGATGAATGAAGGTCTAGGCACCTCCTCCAGGCACCCCTCTGCGGGAAGGCTGCCATTCTGAAACAAAACACTGTCCAGCTCTGCCCAGCCCCCAGCGCCTGCACTTTTGTTTCTGGCTGACTACTCCCCCTAGTGGTGGACAAGCCTGGGAACCTGGGGCAGCGGGAGTCACTGCTGGAACCGGCAGATCAGGCTGCGGCTGGAGATGGGGCACCCTCTAGGGGTGAGAGTAGGAGATAGTGTCTGGGCTGCCTTTGGAGTGGGCTTCCCAGGGCCTACCCTGCTCTGCTCCACTGTGCTCCCTCAGGGTTTGTGGCAGTGTGGACACGCCTGGTACTTTGGGTTATTATAGCTGGGCTACTGTGGTCCCTGCCTTTGCTGCTTGTGAAAATCTCTGCCCTGGAGCTGCCACATCAATTGTCTGCTCTCCTCAGTCCTGTGTGTCCTAGGGCGCCCGCTGGCCACGGAGCTGTCTTCAGAGAGGCCTTTATTCAGCCTGCTAAGTGTGGTGTCAGTGTGGTGTCCTTACAGCCTGGGCAGGAAGGAGACCTAGTTATGTAGGAGTGCCACATGTGTGGAAAGGAAGTGACAAACTTGAAACAAAGAAGGAAGCCTGCAGTGGAGTGAGTGGTTCTTACTCCTATCTGGGTTACACTAAGTCTCAGCAGGGATCCCCTGCTGCTCTAATCTGCCTGTTAACCACTGTTCATTGCTCTATACCCACTCTTTATATAAAAGCCTTCAGAAGCTCCCCTAAAATAAGACACCACCAGCATTCTGCTCTGTGGAGAACTGGTACAGTGACCAGCATAGCATGGTCAGCATGGAGTCCAGGGAATAAAAGGCATGAGGAAATCTGTATTCTTTCACAGGGTAGAAAAATAGTGATGGTTTTTTACCTGTGTGCTTGCTATGTATCAGGCACCGTGAGAACTTTGTTCTCCATCCTTACTTCTCTCCTGCCTTGTGCCATTTCACAGATAAGGGGCCAGAGAAAGGACGGGATGTGAGGGAAGTTCACAGAGGTCTCAGGAAGGATATGGGTGTACAGCAGGGCTGGGTGGCAGGCTTGGACCTCCCTCTGGGAGAGGATCTGAAGACAAGAGGTGGGTCGGCTGGCCACCTGAGGCTTGGCAGCTTCTGAAGAGGGGAAACAGACCAGAGAGGACATCCACATCCTCCCAGCCAGTCAAAGCTTCATGTAGGAAGCAAAGGTCCAAGATGGACAGGTAGCAGGGACTTGGATGCTGGGGTCCAGAACAGCATCAGTTGGCTGGCCTGTGGGCCTGCCTCCTACCGCAAGGCCCTTTGAACTTTTTCAGGCAGGTGGGGCGGTACTTTCTCCCTTTCCCCATCTGTTCCCACTCCAGAACTTAAGGCCTCCGAGTTAGAAGCAGATGTTCTGATGCAGAGAGCCACTGTGCCCCAGTGCACTGCAATTATTGCCCGCCTGCCGGCCCAGCAGCTATGCCACAGGGCACAGGTTTCAGAGGTGTCTTCCTTGGTGGGAAGAGATGTGACCCAGTGGGAATATCAAGGCCACCCCAGGGAACCTCTGTAGGCCCTTTTGCTCTCATTGAGTTGGAGATGGAACACCTGATGGGGCCCTTTTCAGGAGGAGGGGCTAACTCCTGCACCTTCTGTTGGCTGTGCTCCCCAGCCTACCATCTTTGCAGTGATCCAGAATCCACTGGGAAAGGCACAAGGATGAGTGAGAGAGCGGAGTGCCCAGAATCAGCAGGGTACTGGCACACCCTGGGCCTGATGCCAGTTTATCTGGTGGGACAGATCATCAGGCCCTGCCCTGCCTGGAGAGTACAGAGTGAGACTGCTGTCCCACAGCTACCAAGACACCCAGCCTGTGGCTACCTGAGAGCCTAGGTTTTTGCCTTCTCTTTCCTGCTGTGGCCCTGCTCCTGTCTCCCTTTCCCCATGTGTTCCCACTTCCCTGCTATTGCTGCTGGGACAATAACCCTGACTGTCTCAGGTGTCCTCCTGCTTCCTGCCTAGGCGCCAGCACCACACCCTTGTCTTGCCTCTCACTACTTCCTGCCCGAGTCATAGCTGCTGGAGGCACACAGGGACTGTCCTGAGTACAGAGATAGGGGTGCCATGACTGTTTTGTCCACCTGTCAAATGGGGAGTATCTGTTTCCAGTGAAGCCCTCTAGAGCAGCGAATGTCCCCCTAAGTTGGAATTTTAGGGGCCTTTGATGGGCAAACTGAGGCTTAAAGGGGAAAGGGAAGTAGGACTTCAAACAGGCTAGGTCAGGGAACAAGTATCCTGGCTCCCGGCCAGCTTACTCAGATGCTACCAGGTCTCTGTGCCTGTTGGCTTTGCTAGGAAAATCAGATGTAAAGCTTGTGAAGTCATTCCCATCATTGAGCAAAGTCACTACAGGCCCACATATCTAAAAGAGTCCCCTCAGTGGCCAGACAAACTGATGTCTTAGGTAACAAAAAGGGATGTGTCTTTGGCCATACTATCCTAGACATGTCCAATCTCATCTGATCTTGGAAGCTAAACAGAGTTGGCCTAGTTAGAATTTGGATGGGAGAGGGGCTGGGGATTAACTCAGCGGCATAAGCGCCTGCCTTGCAAGCAGGCAGTCATTAGTTCGATCCCTGGTAACGATAAAAATGAAAAAGACAAAGAAAAGGGGAGCAGCCTTCACCTAGACCCAAGGTACCCCATTCCCTATGAATTCATATCCTTGGCCTCTGCTCTCCTGGGAGGGCCCCAGTCCTAGCTGAGACTGGCTCCTGGTCGTTCCTCTACTCCAGGGTAACCTTCTTCCTCTTGTTCCAATGGACAAGTAAAAAGAAGAGCCAAGTGGCCACTGCCAGCCTTTCTGCCCAGGTACATGTTGAAGCCCTCTTCAAATCCTCACAGCCATGCAGCATGAAGGATCCTGGCTACTCTGCCACGTACCACCCAGTGTGGGGAGGATGCTGCCATCTGACCACAGCCCATGCCCAGAAAGTGTGCTGTGTCTGGTGCTGCAGTTCCCTGTGCTGGAGCCACAGAGGGAATCGCTACCCTAGCCTGTCTAGAGCCTACATGTTAGTGCCACCCCAATACCCTGCCATCATGGGAAGTGTGCCTACAATAGTCAGGTGCCTAGTAGCATTTGTTTGCCTTTGAGACAGTGTCTATGTAGGCCTGTGCACTTAGGGTTGCTATCGAGTTGACTTGGGCAGTAGGGCAGGTAGGGTGTGAACCCAGTGACCAGAGTAACTGGGCCCAGAGACTGTGTGGCCCAACTTCTGGGGAAGTCACTTAGGACAGCTCTAGAATGGGCTGCATAGAGCATGGTGGGCCACCTGAAGAGGAGACTGATTACCACCTCATCCTCTCTTGTCTTTATTTGCTCATCTGCTACATAGGGATGAGACCTTCCATGGGCAAAGTGAGGATGGAAGCACCCTCTCAGGGCTGCTGTGAAGATCCAGGTGCCTAGCTAATGTCCAATCATTATCAGGGACACAGTGGGTGCTCCTCACAGCTTTGCTGGCTTGTTTGCTGAAGGTTAGTTGCTGGTGTTAGTTTGTGTGTTAGACCTTTCTCAGAGGTGGTCTTGACTAGTCCCAGGGATGCTGGTGGTGGTTCCAGGTCCCCGGCTGACCTCCCCACATATTCTGCTACCTACCCTGATGAGCTGTTTAGTAGAAATGGGATGCTGAATGGTGGGTGGGTAAGTGTGCCAAGCAGAGGGAGCAGCATGAGCAAAGGTCCAGAGATGACAGGAGGCCTTGCCATAAGATCTGGCTGTGTATGTCTGGGAAGGAACCTGAAAATCTGGAAATATCCCCCTTTTGTTTTTGTTTTAGTTTAGGTATTGGGTAATGAACAAGGTTTGCACATGCTAGATGCCTATACCACTGAGCTACGGAGTACTGACTGAGGATTGAACCCAGGACTCATACTGAGCTATGTCCTCAGCCCTTTCCTTTTTTTTTTTTTTTTTTTTTTTAGACAGGGTCTTACTGTCACTAAGTTACCTGAGCTGGTCTCAAACTTTGGATTCTCCTGCCTAATCCCATAGTGTTGGGATTACAGTGTACACCACCGCGCCTGGCTCAGAATCTGTCTTTTTAAGCCGTCTCCCAGAGGATGGTCCTGCAAGTTCTGAGACACATTTTGAGAAGGCAGGGTGGCCCAGGCGTATGTTTCCTAGCATCCACTTCTCTTTCCTGACTGCATGGCCCTGAATCAAGGTTTACTTTTCTGAACCTCAGTGTCTTAGTCCCTAAAATGGGAGCAGAAACACTGTCTGTTTGTGGGGCTGCTGTGATAAACGTCCGAGAGAATGATGGCAAACCTCTCAGAATCAACGATACTTGGTGCAGGGGCTTTGGCAGATTGGTTTAGAAACCTGAGTCACTCTATGGTGTGTGTGTGTGTGTGTGTGTGTGTGTGTGTGTGTGTGTGTGTGTGACTCCTTGTACATCTGACCACAGCCCATGCCCATCCGGTTCTATTCTCCATCTGCTCATGGCAGACCTGTCAAAACAATAGAGAGCAGGCCTTGGGCCAGGATCATGTCCAAGAGATAAGAATATGACACTGTGTCCCAGCTTGGGTCCCTGGCATCTAAGCCTTGATGTGGAGAGAAGAGGCTACTGCTCTGTTGGAGTATGCAGGGTACCTGCCTGCAGTGCCATATTGGTGGCCTGGATACATGGGTGGGAAGCCAGTGTCTGTGAACACGACAGGCAGTGTGGGGCAGCAGGGATCCATGGTGGGAAGTGGCCTAGGGAGGTGGGTTTCCCATGGAATGTATGCAGTAGGGTCCGTCGGTCACACCCCTGGAAGCTCAGCTGCCCCAAGCCCACCGCCTCCATTTCAGGGGCCACCTGCCTGGAGGGGGAGTTCTGCCTCTGGGCTGCTGGCATTCAGGCTACTTGTGGCCCACCTGTAGTGACCCTGAGGGCATCCCTTGTCTGTCTGCCCTCTATTCCAGGTGCTGGTGAGTCGGGGAAGAGCACCATCGTCAAACAGATGAAGTAAGTGCCGTGCACAGAGGCCAGCTCCAAACTGATTTCCCCTTTTCCTTTGGGCCTATACTGCTGGTCAGTTGGGGCCCATCGGTCTCAGACCCATTTGTCCACAAGTGCTAGTGGGTTGGGGTCAGTATCCCTCTGTCTAAAGCAGGTCCCTACAGACCCCAGCAGCCCCAGGCAGCCTTGTGAACTCTCTGTTCCCTGTGGACCCTAACTCCTGACCCCTGGCTGTCAGGATCATCCATGAAGATGGCTATTCAGAGGAGGAGTGTCGGCAGTACCGGGCGGTCGTCTACAGCAATACCATCCAGTCCATCATGGCCATCGTCAAGGCCATGGGCAACCTGCAGATTGACTTTGCCGACCCCCTCCGTGCGGTATGTGCACTGCCACCCCCAGTCAAATAAGTTTTCGGGGCAAGTTTTGTCCTGGAAAACCTGAGACTACCTGAGCCTAGGCCCCATTCCAGAGGACTCCCTGCCTCTGACTGGCAGGGTGAGGGTACAATCTTTCGACTGGCTGACCATCCACCACTGCTGTGCCCAGGACGACGCCAGGCAGCTGTTTGCACTGTCTTGCACTGCTGAGGAGCAAGGCATGCTCCCTGAGGACCTGTCCGGCGTCATCCGGAGGCTCTGGGCTGACCATGGTGTGCAGGCCTGCTTCAGCCGCTCAAGAGAATACCAGCTCAACGATTCAGCTGCCTAGTGAGTGCTCCAGGGGCTGGGCTGGGCAGGGCCTAGGGACGTTGGACTGCAGGCTTGGATCAGAGGAAAGGGCTCTCTGGTTAGAAACCCAGTGGCTATTAACTGAGGAGACTTTGATGGTGTGAGAGAGATGGACTGGCGCAATGGTATGGAAAGGCCAGGAAGAATGACAGACATGGTGGCTTCTATAAATACCTCTTCTAGCCAGAGATACAGCTTCAGTGGTGCAGCTCTTGCCTGAGAAGTGCAGGGTCCTGAGTTTGATTTCCTGTACCAACAAAAACAGTACCTCTTTCAGGCCTATTGAACCTTATCTGTCTTTACGCATAAATGTCAAAGAGAATGTTTGCTGCTACTTGCTCTTTGCCAGAGACACTGATGAATATACAGGTCCCCAATAGTTATAGCTGGGAGTGTCATTGTTCTAGGAGAGTGAAGACTTACAGGAAGGGTGGTAAAGAGTTCCAGGCGGGGCTGGGGATTTAGCTCAGTGGCATAAGTGCCTGCCTGGCAAGCGTGAGGTCATGAATTCAATCCCTGGTACAAAAAAAAAAGAGAGTTCTAGTCAGAGATGTGGCAGGTGCAAGCTGCAGGGCTGCACTTGACACAGGAGTTCAGGCGAGGGACCCGCAAGGGAAAAAAAGGCTGTCTGAAGGTAGCAGGTGTGTGCACAGGCTGGAGCCTGGACCTCGGCTCTGAGCCAGGCTAGCCCAGGCAGAGCTATGGACTTAGCTGGGGACATTATAGGGAGTGCAGGAGCCCAGAGGTGTGACAACACTAGACCTGGTGGGCCTTGCCCACTTTTCTGAACTCCTTCCATACATTCCCTGCTACATGTCAGACTCATGCAGGGTGTTGATCCCACAGGGGACAGGGCAGACAAGCTCCAGGACATGTACAGTCATTGGACAGCACTCTACCCTTGCTTCGGCCTGTGTCTTCCTCCATTCCCATCCCCCATTGTGGATCACCCTCTGGCTCCTGCTGCCCACCCAAGGGTGTGGGTGGGAGGAGGCTCTTGCCTTACCCCATTGCGTTATCAGCCCCCTCCCAAGTGGCCTGGCCTCCCTTGTGAGTGTGTTGTTCCCCCCAGCCATGTCCTGTACGCCCTTGCAGGAGCTGTGGGATCCCGGCCAAATGCTGAGGGGCCTCCAGGCTTCAGTGCTGCACTGTCCTCAGATCTTGGTCACGGGATCAGCCACCAGCAGAGCTTCTGAGTCACAAGGGCTGGGAGGGAGGCCTGTCAACCATTGCCTTGTCACTGTCCCCCAACCCTGTGGTCAGGGAGGGTGGAGTTAGAGCCACTGCAAGGCCACTTTCCACTTTTCTATTACCCTGTTGTTTCTTTCCTTAAATGTTAAGTACCCCACTGTATGCCTAGTACTATTCCAGGTATAGGGGTGCAGCAGTGACCACAGGCTCTGTTCTTGCTTGACAGGCCCACCCAGCAGGGGGTATGGGTGGGAACACCACAGGGAAAAGGGATTCCCAACCCTCTTCAAGGAGTCTTCTAAACTGCAGTAGGATAGAGGGTCCCTGGGGTGAGCCCACCTGTTGAGAAGACAGAAGAGAAGCTAACATCCAGCCTGGGGTCATGGGGCATGGCATGCAGGCCATAGCACATGTGTGCGTCACAGTGCCCCATGGTCCTTCCTGTTTTTCTGTTCTGTCCCTGAGATCATTTCCCTGTGGCCTGGTTTGGCCCAGCTGCAGCAGGCCTGGCCCAAGAGCAAGCCATCAGTAGAGGGCAGCAGCAGCAGAGGAGGCCAGGTGCAGCCCCAGAGTGCAGCAACAGTGACCCTTGGGCCCTACAGAGGTGCCACTGATACTAATTAGGGGAGTTGGTAATGACAAGCCCCTGGGATACCCACCATGCAGGTGTGTGCCCTCTCTGAGGAGCCCACATTTTATTGGGTGCTAGGCAAAGTGCCCACTGGGCCTGGCAGGCCCCAGCATGTTCAGCTACACATGGAAGCACCGTACCAGGCTGCTCTGGGGAGGGAGCCATAATTGCACAATTAGCATCCTGCTCTCTCCCTGAAGGACTAATTTGTCCCCTCTTACCCCCTTCACCTGTAGCTCCGAAACTCTGTTTTGTTTTGTTTTCTGAGAAAGGGTCTTGCTATGTAGTCTCAAACTCATGGTCATCCTCTTACCTCAGCCTCTCAAGTGCTGGAATTATAGGTGTGCACCACCATGCCTGACTTTGTAGCTCCAACACTCTGAATCCAAGGTAGTTGTAGCTTAGACCCTGGATGCTGGGGCTTGGCTGGAGGACCACAGAGCCACGCCTTCTCCCAGTCCATGTGAAGGACTAGGTTCCTTCTTCAGAGCTGTGATACAAAAAATCAGGCAAGGGTTTAGGCTGAGTGTGATGCTGCACACCTACAATCCCAGCTACTCAGGAGGCTAAGGCAGATTGCCGGTTCAAGGTCAGCCTAGGCAAAATCCTGCCTCAAAATAAAAAGGACTAGGAACATAGCTCAGTGTTAGAGCTCTTACTTAGTATGGCCCTAGGTTCCATTCCCAACCCTGGGGATGGGGAGGAGTAGCAGCAGCAGCAGGAGCTTTGCCTTGGAGGTAGGAGATGAAATAATGGGCCACTGTGTGCTGGCCCAAGGTCTGGGTAAGGAGGCCGGGACACCCCCCCCCCCCAGCCCCTCTCACCGTCTACCTGCAGCTACCTGAATGACCTGGATCGAATTGCACAGAGTGACTACATCCCCACACAGCAGGATGTGCTGCGGACCCGTGTGAAGACCACGGGTATTGTGGAAACACACTTCACCTTCAAGGATCTACACTTCAAGTGAGCAAGTGTGGGGGCTGGGTGGAGGGGCAGCACCTGCCAGCCTTGGGGTAGCAGAGAGAGGCTGGCCCAGTGTCCTACAGTCCCACTCTCATGTTTCTCAGACTGTTTTAGGAAAGCATGTCCTTTCTACCAGGTAAGTCAGTGTCCACCTCCTGCCAGCTGCTTATGGCCTCTTCTGACCCTGCCCTATGTGGCTACAACCTGCCCTCCCCTTGCCGTACAACAGGCCCTGCCCCAGAACCAGGGTGAAGTGGTCAGGTGCGGATGGTTCTGGGAAGCCAGCTGTGCCCCATAGGCAGGGCTCTGTGCAGCCAGTGGGCCTCCTGTGGGGCTCCCTTTCCTGAAGCTAAGGTGACCCTGTGTCTGTAGGATGTTTGATGTAGGTGGTCAGCGGTCTGAGAGGAAGAAGTGGATCCACTGCTTCGAGGGTGTCACAGCCATCATCTTCTGTGTAGCCTTGAGTGCGTATGACTTGGTGCTAGCTGAGGATGAGGAGATGGTGAGAGGCCAAAAGGATACTGGAGGTAGTGGGAGGGGGGTGGGCGGCAGGTGTTGACAATCACTGAGCTCTGTCCTGCCCCCAGAACCGCATGCATGAGAGCATGAAGCTGTTTGACAGCATCTGTAACAACAAATGGTTCACGGACACATCCATCATCCTCTTCCTCAACAAGAAGGACCTGTTTGAGGAGAAGATCACACACAGCCCGCTGACCATCTGCTTCCCAGAGTACACAGGTAGGCTCTTGTGGTTTCTGTCCCAAGAGGAGCCAGTGGGTACCAGGTAGCCTGTGAGTGCCCCTCTATGGACAGAATGCTGACCACTGCAGGACACTTAACTTGGGCTTACTAGGTCTGCACACATAGGCGTTCTCCACCATTTTTTTTATTTTTTTGGCTTTTTGAAACAGGGTCTCACTGTGTAGTTCAGCTTGCCCTTTAATTCACTGTGCAGTCCAGCCTGGCTCCAAACTTGTGCGGATCCTTGTGCCTCAGCCTCCCCAAATGCTGGGATTACAGATATGTGCCGCCACGCCCGACTCTTATTTTTTGTTTTCTCAGCACTAGATGTCAAATACAGGACCTAGTGGTTGCTAGATAGATCCTACTATGAGTTCACCCCCCAGCCCTCCCACAGGGCCTTCTCTCACACACACGTACCCCTGAACATGTGCACACAGGTGTATCCTCCACGTGTTAGGTACCCCACATTATGTACACAAGTGTGCATATATATGCACACACACTGTCATCCTGTGCACACATGTGTACATATTACACACCTGTCTGCGCACATGCCCAGGACCTCGCTGTGCATGTTAGAGCCTCCTTCCACATATGCAGCGCAAGTCTTCACCACTGTGTCTCCCTCAGGAGCCAACAAGTATGATGAGGCAGCCAGCTACATCCAGAGTAAGTTTGAAGACCTGAATAAACGCAAAGACACCAAGGAGATCTACACACACTTTACGTGTGCCACCGACACCAAGAACGTGCAGTTTGTGTTTGATGCTGTCACCGATGTCATCATCAAGAACAACCTGAAGGACTGCGGCCTCTTCTGAGGGGCAGTGGGCCTGGCAGGATGGTGAGCTAGAGAGGGATGAGGCAGGGAGCTGGGGAAGAAAGAAGTGGGTCCTTTGAACCAGAGAAGAGGTGAGGTTAGGGACTGAGAGAGACCAGGCGGGCGTGGTGAACCTCAGATGGCAGGGAGGGGCAGTGGAGCTCAGCTGGCCAGTGGGTACAGGGCACTGAGGAGATGGCACAGGTATGCCTGACCCAGCATCCAGACAGCTAGAAACCTGTCCCAGGGTCTCTTAGAGAAAACACTTCACATGCCAGGCTGCTGGTAGGAGGAGAGAGGGTCATTGTCTGAGGAGGCAGGAAGAAGAAGCACATCCTGGCCCCCATCCATGCCATGTTTGTCTCTATATCCAGGGCCACCGCTAACTGCTCCTACAGCCCCTGAGGAAGATGGGGCCGAGAAGACCACGCTCCCTGCCTGTCCCCCTGGCTGCTTCTCCCCTCTGTCTTCTTTGTTCTCAGCTCTCCTGTCCCCTCCCTCAGCTTCAGACTCAGGGGAAGGGTGGCCACAGGCCTCTGTTTGAAACCTGCCTGGTCAGAGGTACCAGGAGTGGCTGCGATGCCCCTTCCTGGGCATCTGTTCTAGTTTTTTGACCATTGTCTTACTCTGTGGGGGGAGGAGAGCACATGCCAAGTCTCCTAAGGCCTGTGTCTGGAGGGGACCCACTTCTCCAGCCTGACCCCTGGCTTTGCCCAGCACCAGCCCTGACCTAGCCCAAGTCCAAATGTTTACAAGGGAGCCTCCTGCCCTCCCCGCCCCCACCACTGCTCGGAGGCCCCAAAGGAAAAAGCACAAGAAGCGTGAGATGCCACCATTCCTGGAGACCACAAGTCCACCTGCTCATTCTCATAGCTTTTTAAAAAAATGAAAGTAAAGAAAAAAAAAAAAAAACTGCAAACTTAGAAACTTTCTAGAGAAAATCTATTTAAAACTGTCAGATCCTGACCAGCACCCACCTGACCCCCATTCCAGTGATTCTGTGCCTTGAGTGTGTCTGCGTGTTTACACCTGTCCCTCTGCTGGCTGCCCCACATGGGTGGCACCCTTGCCCTGTGCTCTGCAGAAATGGGTTCCAAGGGCTGTTCTAGACAACTGCCAATGTCACTGAGGGCCCCACCTAGCGGCCCTGGGCCCAGGCTCCATTAACCCAAATGTAGCTCCTTAGCGCTAACCTAGGAACCACCGCTGCCTGCTGAGGGGCCCAGCCCCTCATGCCCTTGCCCCAGGCTTGGGTCCTTCAGCGTTGAACACTTCCTTGCTTTTTTCACATGTTTTATGGAATTGTTCACATGGTTTGAAATAATAAAATGTAGAAAGAAAAAAATACCAAGAACTGCTGGGTATTCTCTACTCGGGACAAAAGTCAGAGTTGAGATATGTTGGGATGCCTTTTCCCAAACATCAGTCCTCAGCTGGGGCAGGGTCCTGGGCTTCCATTTTTGTGCTTAAACTGGTCAACAGGCAGACTGGGACCCATGTGCCTTCATCTCAGTACTGCAGGTTTGGGTCTAGGGCAGCCTTCAAGACTGTAGAGCAGCTGGCAGGCTCACTGAGTTTTCTTTTTCTTTTTTCTTTCTTTCTTTTTTCTTTTTTTTTTTTTTTTGTGCTGGGTATTAGACGGTGGGCTTTTCCACAGAGCTACATCCCTAGCCCTTTTTTATTTTGATTTTGAAATAGAATTTCACTAAGTCACTTAAGATGTCCAGGCTAGTCTTTCTTGGGGGCTGGTACTACTGATCAAACTCTGAACCAAGTGCTGCACCACTGAGCTACATCCCTGGCCCCTGTCCAGGCTAGTCTCAAATGAGATCCTCCTGCCTCAGCCTCTTGAGTGTTAAAATTACGAGCATGTACCGTCAGGACTTTGAGCTGACTCTTAACCAGGTTTTTCTAAAGGATGACCTGTCCAGCCAGCCTTTTGTGCAAGAGGTGACTCTGACTTCCTAGACCCAAAGTCCCAGAAAGTGTGAAGTGTTCAGGTGATAGAGCAAATGGGCTGCAAGGCTCTGGCTTAACATCTCTGCCCAGATCACCTTCCCGCATCAAACCCGAGGGGTCGAGATAGCCAGTTGGTGGTCACACTATGGTTATCATACATTTGGGACTGAGGCTGTAAATACAGGGTAAAGTGGCCACGCTGGGGGCATGTGGGTGGCCTCGAGTGCCCGCCGAGATGCCTTAAGTTTATTCATGGACGGCAGAGGCAGAGCCACCGGGCAGGGCAGAACCGTTAGACTGGTGCCTCCGGGCCTAGCCGCCAGGGGGTGCCGCAGCTCTTGCTCCGCGACCCCTGCCGGTCACAGAGGCTGACGTCATCAGGTCCCACGGGGGCCGCCTGGCACAAAGGAAGCTTTGTGAGGCTGTGCGGCCTCGCACCCGCCGCCAGACAAAGCAGCCTGGGCGGGGGTCGGGCTGGGGTCGGCGCCACGGAGGCGGGAGGGAAGGGCTGGGCCCAGCCTCCACACACCTGCTGGTGTCCTGCGGCCCGGCCGGTGTTGGCCCGTGATGAGAGGCCGCTGCCGCCAGGTCGGAAGGAGATGGGCACCCCCGCCGCCGCCTGGTGCCCGCCTCAGGCCCCAGGCGCTTCCGGGCCCGTCCTGGGATCCCTGTCTTCCACCAGACGCTGCGGAGCCCAGATGCCCATTCACCGTGATGCCTGCCCCACAGGAAGTGGCCCCAAAGACAGTTCCTTCCTTCTATCCTGAAGGGGAGCCCTGCACAGAGGGACTGTTGGGGGCCGGCCCAGTCCTCCCTCCGTGGGTGGGCAAGCAGGGTTCTGGCCAGGGTCTCCCCGCAAAACTGTGGCTGGCTCAGCAGCAGGTTTGAGTGGTGTCCTGGCAGGGGGGTTCCCTGGGTGCAGATAGCTAGTGCCCCCCTCCCCACCTGCCCCTTGGCCCTCCTAACCAAGCTCTGATTTCCAGGGCATAAGACCCCATTGTTCCACAGGGCGGGGGCGGCTTCTCAAATCCGACTTGTCTTTGGCAGTTGGGAAATTCCCTGCCATGGGGTGGGGGGGTGACAGGCAAGAGGGACTGCCCAGGTATCTTGCACCCCAGTTGGATGGACTCCAGGAGGCAAGCATCCCCCACTACCCAGAGCTGTCCTTATGAGGCTTAGCCATTCCTCATTCCTTGGGGGCAGCTGGGTGAGAAGAAACAGAAATTCAGGGGTGCTTGTCCTGTCCCCAGGATGCGCCCTGCTAAGGCCTGTCTTCCTGTCCCCATCGTGAACAGCTGCAGCTGTGTGGCCAAGGATTTTTAGTAGGGTATGCAGAGCCAGGTAGGGCCCCAGGATTTTGCTCTCAGTTTGGAGTGGGCTGTCACCAGCCTGTTGAGACTGCCATGAGGCTGATCTGCCTCCAAAAGGGCCTGGCCAACTTGAAACAGTTGCTTGAGCTACTGATGAGGTGGCGGCCTTGGTATTTTTAACCCATTTGGGGGATAGAGGAGCAGCTAGGAAGAGACAGAAGAGCTCTAAGACTTCAAGGCCCAAAGAGGGAGAATGTTAGGATACCCTATAGGAAGGAAGTAGGCCAGCAGTCTTTCCTCAGTTCCCCAGGCCCAGCAGGTGAGTGGAGGCCCAGATCCCAGGTGCAGAATGGGGAAGGAACCCTCCTCAGAGTTAGAGCTGGGGCCTCTGATCCTGCAGGAGCTGCCACACAAGCTAGAGGAAGCCTCTTCATGTTCCATGGCAAACTCATGGCTTCAGATGTCAAGAAAATCTACTCACCTCAGTCTCAAAATCATTCCATACACACCCCCAGACCTAGAGTCACAAGCCGGCCACAGGACAGAGCATAGAGCCCTGACTCCAGCTGCCTGGCCAATGGTCATCCAGGTACAAATAATCCTGGAAGTTAAGGAGGGACAAGGACAAGACTACAGCATCTTTTGGCTGAATTCTGGATCAGTCAGCCCATCCCAAAATAGCCCAAGTCCTGTATCTACTGCCCTAAAGGAAACCCTAGGAAGCCCTTATCCCTGTCATGGGCCTTGTATCCCCCAGCTCTCTGGGACTCTTAGGGTAAGAGGCAGCCCCATCTGCACCACACACCCATGGCAATGGCCACCAGCCAGCTGGGGGATGCACAGCAGTGTGAAAGCCAGTGTGTGCTTGCCTGCCAGATGCTCCTCTCAGTCACAGTGGTTGGCACCGGGGTTCAAGGAAGACAAGTCGGGGCTGGGGATTTAGCTCAGCAGCATAAGCTCCTGCCTTGCAAGCAGGCAGTTGTGAGTTCAATCCCTGGTACCAGTAAAAACGAAAAAGACAAAAAAAAAAAAAAAAAAAAAAAAAAAAACAAGGAAGACAAGTCCAGGCCTTGGGTTCTCCTCTTTGCCCGGTCAGTGGCACAGCCATCCAGATCCAGGTACCCTTGGAGGTTTGGAGGGGGGCACAGAGACAAGTCTGCCTATTTCTTTCCTTGCCAGACATGCAGAATTCCAAGTTACCTTGGTAGGGAGAAAAATCATACTGTGACATCCCCTGCCACTGACTGTTTTCTGACTGCATCAGGTGTGGGAGAGTCAAATTCTGGGCACCTGGAGTGGGGCCAAGGGGACAGCTGTGCCTTTTCCATTGGTCCCCCTTGCACCCAGCAGGTCCAGGGAAGTGGAAGAACTTTCTGCATACATTCTGCCTGCCTGCCTATCCTCCACTGAGTTCTAGCATCACCAAGAATGCTAGCCCTTGCTGCTCTCCCTGTAATGGGGAACCTGGCTAGAGGCTTGGATCTGGCACTGTAGGGGTCTGGGGCTTCTTAGAGGAAGAGTGATAGTTGAGGTTGATAGTGAATGGTGAGGAAGAATCCAGCAGGTAACATTTTAGAGAAAGGACCTAAAGGATGGAGAGCACAGCCCAAGGAAAGTGCGATGCATCCCCAAAATGAGGCAGCTCAGGAGAACTGGCTGAGCTAGGGAGGGTGCTGTAAATGACAGGCTGGGGTCCTAGGACTCCCATCTACTCTTACAATCTCTGAAGCAGGGGAGGTGGGGAGAGGAGCAAGGAACTACAGAGGACACAAAGGGACAGGAGTAGTAGAATGACTTCAGGGACATAGCTTGGGGTAGAGTGAAGAGTGTCTTCATCGGGACAAAAGGATCTCTCAGCTAGGGGTCCTGAAGAGGAGTGGCTTGAGCATTGCCAGTGTTTTTGCTGACTTGTGCAGTGATGGTCAGTGGAGTCTCCAGGGGAGGGGGAAGCTCAGGTAGAACCCTGGGCACAGAGGTCAGATAAACAGGTCAGGGCTAAGGAGATAGCTCAGCAGCATACATGCCTATCTGGCAAATGCAAGTTCTTGAGTTCAATTCCTGGTACAAAAAAAAAAAAAAAAAAAATGACTGGAGGTTTAGCTCAGTGGCACAGTGCTTGCTTGGCAAGCTGAGGTTGAGAGTTCGATTCCCAGTACCAAAAAACAAAACAAAACAAAACAAAACAAAACAAAAAAAGTCAATTTGAAGAAGTAGCTGTGCTTGGGTGAGAAGAGATGGGGGCAGGAGAGGTGCTGACCAGAGAGAGAAAGGGAGGGCCAGATGGCAGGGCAGCGGGGAACTTCCCCTGGATGCTCTCACTGGCCTAGATGCCTGAGAAAAGAAGCCAGAGCCCAAGTGGTAACAAAGCACACATGCAGTGCCTGCCCTCACATTAGACCTGCTTCACCAGGTGGCCACAGCTTCATGGAGCAGAGAGCTCTGAGAGGTTTGGCTCAGTCTCCAGTGAGGGCACACCGGTGGTTAGCTGCATGTGTCAGACTCAACCCTGCCTCACCTAGGGCACTGAGGCCGCCAGTCCCTGGGCAGCAGCGTAGCCGCCAGCACACCCCTATGGAGTATCACAGCTCCAGCCAGCCAGCTGTCCTGTGAGGCTCTCTAACCCACTTAGGGAATGTATTTATGTTACTCTAATTAGCACCGAGTATTACTGAGGCCACTTTTGCAGCATTTTTTGCATGGCCCCTCTACCTCCCTACCAAGGCTCCCTACCAAAGAAGAGGGAGGCTCCACCCCCTGCCCCTTTTCTTCACCCCACCCTGCTGGGCAATGAAGAAAACAGGAGTGAAGAGTTGTGATGTGGCTGGTTGGGGGGGGCTCCCCCATCCCAGAGGGGCTGACCTCAGTCTGCGAGGAATGCGCAGGAGGCGGAGGGAGGGCAGGGGCGGAGCGGGTGGGGGCAGGGCCACAGCCAAAGGCCCGGGGTTCTTCGTAGCCCCTCCCTCAGCCCCTCCACCTCTGCTCTGACAAGGCTGTCAAAAGGATACAGGCAAGGAGGGGAGGAGCTGATCTTTCAAAACAGGTTGGCCGGGGTATCCTGGGAATGTGAGCACCAACTGGGAGTGGGTGGGGAAGTGCTCTGGCCCATCCTTTCCCAGGAGTCCCAGCGGGGCAGGTGACTTAGTGCGTCAGGGAAGGTAGCCTCAGGTGATGCTGGGACTCTCCTTCATAGCCCCCTCCCCGACACTGCCTGCGGCCTCAGAGCTGTACCACCCGGTGCTCCTGTGGCCAACAGCAAAAGGTTGTGAGGAGGAGCCACTAGCCTTGATGACTAAAGCAGGTGTGAACAGAGAATCCTAGATCCTGTCCAGCCCAAGCTGGGCAGTAACAGGATTGTTACAGCCTTCTTCAGATGTTTCTCCTAAGCCAGCCACAACACCCAGAGTCCCACAGGGTGCAGAGGGGCAGGCCCAATGCGGATGAGGGGTGGGAGGCAGGTGCTGGGCCTTGGCACAACAGTACAATTATTTCCAGAGGGAAAAGCCGAAGTCTTGGCAGGATGTCCCACCAACGGGCAAACAGCACCAGCATCCAAGCAAGCCTGTGCCGGGGGTGTCCCAGGGAAAAGTAGGGACCCAAGAGGCTGGGATGGCTCAAAGGACACAGGGACAGGCAAGATAGGGACTCCAGCTGCTTCTCCTGGTTTTCTACTGAGGCCCAGGCCCAGGCTGCCCAATTCCAGAGCTTCAGGAAACTCACTGAGTCCTGCCGCATACCTGGCACACTGGGACCTGGGACTAAGGAACAGAAGGGAGACCTTGTGGACAATTTGAGCTCCCATCCCTGGGGACCTCCTTTTGGTTTAAGGGAGGAGACATCTGGAGGAGGAAAGGTGGCACCTATGCCTGGGGATTGAGTCCCAGGCTGTTGGAAAGATGATGGGGTCCTGGTCCACTTCCCCAGTGTGAACAAAGAGTTTGGGAGAGAAAGGGGAATAAAATAGAGCCTGGGACCCCCTGTCTGGAGAGCTGAAGGAAGTGGGGGCAGACAGGGCACACAGCAGGGGTAGGGAGTGCCTTCAAAGACACTTGCTGATCTTGGCTGCTGGGGTGGAAAAACAGCCCAAGAATTTTGTTTGCTTGCATAGGGCAGGAGAGGCTGCCCAGGTTCAAAGTGAAAGGCAGCTTTGCCCAGGAGTAGGTAAAGGTGCATCCTGGAAACCCAAGAGCTCAAGCAGGGATGCATACTCATCCCCTCCTCCTCACCCCTGGTTCTCTTGCTGGCTCTCATTATCCACCTCGCAGCTGGTCAGGCCAGTCCAGGGACACGGGAAGAAGAGGCATGGCCCCAGGAGGACTCTAGGGATATGGAGATGAGCCTCCCTTCTCCTGACCCTGTCTACTGAAAGCATCTAGGGGATGGGATATACAGAAGTGACCACACAACCTGGCTGATAGTCCTCCCTAAGGAACTGCTGCCCAGCCTCAGAGCGGTGGCAGGGGAGTGCCTTTGGGGGTTCTCAGGGGTCATAACACATCCTCAAGCCCTGGCATGTTCACCAGACCACTGGCAACACAACCCCCTCCAAGGAGTATCCCTTGTAGTCCACACAGAGTGTGTTCACAGGGCTGTCTTCAGGACAAGACCCCAGGCCCTTCCCACCAACCCTCCATCAGGTACCTTGCTCTAGGTTCATCCTAGGAAAATAAGGTGAGTCAGGGAGGTCCCACCATCTGCACCCATCTCCTGGCTGAGATGCAGGAGCTATGGTCGAGTGATGGATATAAGGATGGACCCACACCCCACAGTGCTGAAGTGAGATCTGCTGGGAGACCTGGGCCAGCCTCTCTCCACTCTCCTCTCTTCTCCATTGGGGCTGTCATCACAGGACTGTGGGCCAGGCAGTTGATATACTAAATGGTCCAACTAGTGAGGAAGGACTGGGGCCAGTCCTGGATGTCCAAGTGACCTCACGCTCCCACTCAGTTGGCCCCTAGCAACTGAGGCAGCAGCTAAATTCCCATTACTCTCCCCTGACATCCCAGCTGTGGAGGGACAGGTAAGGAACTGGAGTTCTCCAGTCTGCCTGATGCAGAGAGCTGCCACTGAGGTGGGGGAGTGGTCTCTTGTTTCTTCCTCTTTTCCTTTGACTGGTGCCTCAATGCCTGGGCCTAGAGCCCCCCTCAGCCTCAGGCCCAGCTGGGCAGGGGTCATCTCTACCCACCCTTCACTTGTGCCCATTCTACTCTGGCTGCTTTCTCCAGTGTCGGGCTGCCTGCCCAGTCATCAGATCCGCCCTGCAGCCCTGCAAACTTTACAGCGTCACGGGGCGGTGGCTGGCCTGGTGGGGGCGGGGCTGCTCCTTAAAGCCGCCATCAGAGAGTGCCCTGTGGGCCCCCAGCCTTGCCTCTTCCCCAGGGCAGAAGGGCCTGGGCAGAGGAGGTGCCTCTGCTGCATTCTCGGTGGCATGTGAAAAGGCCACCAGGTGCAGCTTTGCGGACCTCTCCAGCCTGAGAAGCGGGAAGCAGCAGTTGGCAAGTGTCAGCGGATGGAACAAGGGAAGTGGGGTCCTGGCCTAGGAGAGGTCCCTGCGCTGGGAGCTGGGCAGAGGTTCGTGGTGGAGGGTGACATCTGCCCCAGTCACTGTTTCCCTTGCTGGATCTCACCCTGGGATTCACCCCAGCCCCAGGGCTTCCGTGCAAGTACCTGCCCAGCCAGCTTCTGGGAAAGGTGGTGGGCAGTGCAGCTGAGTCCTGACCTCAACTAAGGGACCCAGGGAAGGCCACTGAGGTGGAAGGGGAGGCTTAGGGAGCATGGAGGTTCTGAGTGAGGACAGTGTCTCTACCAGGAGACTGTGGGGCGAGAGGGGCTGCCTCACCCTGTCCCCATTCCTTTGGGTCTAAAGCCTGAACTCACAGAATACCTGTAACCAATGGGTTTCTGGAGTGCAGTGCCAGGTCAGGAGCTCAAGTAGTGCCCAGCTTGGCACTCCAGGCAGCACCTCTTCCTCTTAGGGGTGGAGCCCATTGGAGTCTCAAGGTCTTAGAAAGTGATGTATTTGCTCACTTGCACACCCACTGAGATATACAGACTGCACATACACGTTTGCAAATGCACAAATGTGTGATGTCACTGCATAGACATGCACACAGTATTACACTTGTATATACACACACATTTGAAACACAACCCATATCTACACAGGCCCAATACAACATACCATGTTTGCACACAGACATGTACACATCCATACATACCCATGCTCATGCATTATACCCATGCGCACATTTGCAAAGAGACTCTCAGAAACATTCACACCAACAGGCACCCACAGCCTTGGCTCCCCTGCAAAAGTGCCTCTGTTTCTCTGTGGGTCCATAGCCATTGCCAAAACCCTGACCCCTACAGTCGCATCCACTTGCCGTGGGCACTGTGGGGCTTGCTTTACTCTTGCATTTTGTGCCTCTCTGAGATGACTCCAGAGTCCTGCTTCTTATTGGTATCCTGCCCACTCCCGAGTGGGCCCTTGTCCCTGACTCCCAGAATCCTGGCCCAGTTCTGGACTGGCATGAAGTGGTCACACAGCGTTTGTGATTAATGTCTGTGAGCGTGTATACAGGAGGGGAGGTTACTAGGGACAGTGACGTGGTGGGGCGGGTGCCTGCCAGTGCAGGGTGACCTGAGGGTGTGCCCAGCGTGGGTGTGTCTGTGATTGTGGCCAGGGGGGGCACCCTCCAAAGGGAGGGCTCACAAGCGGAATGCAACCCCCCAGTCTCTTTCCCCAGGGGCTGTAATCTGATCCTTGGGGACTCCCCCCCCCCAGCCTCCCTCCCTCCCTGCCCTCACTGCTGCCGACCAAAGACTCCTTCTCTTCCAGATCCTGGGGCAGAGTCCAGGGAGGCTCAAGGCTCCTCCACACACACCAGCTGAATCCTGAGCGCCCTAAGCTGCCAGCATGGGGTGTGCTGAGGCCGCCGCCATGATCCCAGGCCTCGCCCTGCTCTGGGCAGTGGGGCTGGGGCTGGGGCGTACTACCCCCAGTCCCCCACGCCTTCGGCTCTCCTTTCAAGGTAGGTACACCTGGCACTCAGGAAGGTGTGGCTCAGGGTGAGCAGGAAAGGGGTGTAGGGTGATAGGGACTCTGGTGTTGGTTGCTGTGCTATGTGTGTGCCTGTCACTGACCCCTGTGGAAGGGGGCTGTCTTGGCTTCAGCCCCCAAACTCTCTACCCATATTCTCCTCACACTTTCCCAGGAAACCTCCTCCTGTTCCCATAGCAACAGCCCTTGCCTCTGTCCCATCCCCTTCCCCCAAGCAGGCCATAGGGCAAGAAGAAAGTCAAAGTTTGGGGGCCCTGAGAGCTCGCTTCTCACATCTCCTGCACAGAGGGGTGACTACTAGGGAGTGCATAAAGTGGACAATTCTGCTGAGCTCCAGGTGGTGGCAGAGTGACTGGAGAGGAGCTTTCAGCCTTGGGAGGATTGTTTCTACCTGCCCAACCTTCCCCAGAATCCTGGTGTCCACAAGCCTGACCTCTCAGTGTGCCCACCCAGAGACACTGCTTGTTGGAACACGCTTTCCTCAGCCTCCTTTCCTTTTCTGGGGGCTGCACCATCCGCTCTACAGCTCCACACATACACCTGGGTGGGCCTGCTTCATGTGTGTAAGCTCACACAACATCCACACATGTGGAGGCCAGTCCACATGTCTAATCTTAGTCTGTAGAGAGATGGCCAGACGGGCCCTGGGGAGGCTTTGACCATGACAGGCACAAGTGCTCAGTGGTGGTCCTTGCTTGCAGAGCTCCAGGCCTGGCACAGCCTCCGGACCTTCAGGCTGGAGCGCACCTGTTGCTATGAAGCCTTGCTGGTGGACGAGGAGCGTGGGCGCCTGTTCGTGGGTGCTGAGAACCATGTGGCTTCCCTCAGCCTGGACAACATCAGCAAGCAGGCCAAGAAGGTGCCAGGGACCCCAACCTTAGTGCTACCTAATAAGAGAGCCCTAACACCCAATCCAAGCTGCCTTGAGAGGCCCACAGGGATGGACTTCCCCAGTGGAGAGACCTCTAGGGCAGAGCGTATCCCAAATCCATGACCTGTGTCTCCTCTGCCCCATCCACCCATAGTTATCCTGGCCGGCCCCTGTGGAATGGCGGGAAGAGTGCAACTGGGCAGGCAAGGACATTGGTGTGAGTGCCAGCTACTAGGGTGAGGGTGGGGAGGGTAGAGGTGGGGAGACTGGGCCCGGTGCCCCAGAGATAGGGCAAAACTCAGACAGAAGCCTGCCTGTTGTGGCTGGGAGCAGGGCAGGGAGGTCGAGGTAGCCGAGCTCAGGAGGTAGTGAGTCAGGGTACAGGCACATAGGATTCTTCTCAGGGGCCTGTGAGTCAGAGGGGCTGTGTGGATCTGTGCTTCTTTGTGTACCCCACTGTGAGGGTGAGGGGTGCATTGGGCCAGTCAGCAAGGGCACTCAGGTTCCAGTGGACCACATCAGTACTTGCCTGAAGGGCTTCAGAAAAGAGACAGAGGTGAGGGTGGTGTGGTAGACAAGGAGCCTGGGGTCACCTTATAGAGAAAGCCTCACTGCCCCAGTGTTACCTGTTCCCTAGACTGATTGCATGAACTTTGTGAAGCTGCTCCATGCCTACAACCACACGCACGTGCTGGCCTGTGGCACAGGGGCCTTCCACCCCATCTGTGCATTCATGGAAGTGGGTCACCGGCTAGAGGTAAGGCCAGATCTAGGCCGGGACGAGGGAGGGTAAAAGAAGGGATGGTTGCAGTAATTCCTGCTTCTCAGGAACCCATGCTCCGGCTGGAACCAAGAAGGTTTGAGGACGGCAAGGGAAAGAGTCCCTACGATCCAAGGCATCGGGCAGCCTCCGTGCTGGTGGGTGAGTCCAAAGACTGGGACCTCAACAAAACTATTATCCCTTAGAAATTCTAGACCCAGGGGCAGGGGATTTAGCTCAGTGGCATAAGTGCCTGCCTGGCAAGCTCGAGGTCGTGAGTTCCATCCCCAGTACCAAAAAACAAATACATAAATAAAAAACAAAAATTAAAAAAAAGAAAAAAAAATCTAGACCTTGCAAATCCCACATCCTAGAGCACAGGGGTCTCCCAGAGAACCTCTAAAGCTCCCCAGGCCTTCATACCTGGGTTGACTGAGCTGCCTTTTCCCTTGTCTGCAGGGGAGGAACTGTACTCAGGGGTGGCAGCAGACCTCATGGGCCGAGACTTTACCATCTTTCGCAGCCTGGGCCAGCGTTCAAGTCTCCGGACAGAGCCACACGATTCACGCTGGCTTAATGGTGAGAGGCTGGCAAGCCAGTGGGAAGGTGCTACCACCCTCTCTGAGGGCAGGTGCCAAGCAAGGATAAAGTCACAGTGGTCACAGTGAGGTCTCATCAAATTGCCACTGTTTAGACCCCATGCCAGGTAGTGGGGTCACAGGGACAGGCAAGATAAGTACAAGATAATACTGCCTTTGAGTTCACAGATTTCACAGCAAATACATGAGAAGACCAATTCTAATGACCAATTTTCATGAGGCTCATGAGAGAATAGAGAGGAAGGGAAGAAGGAACTGGGTTGGGGGAAGGAAGCCACCTTGCCTTGCTGAGGAGAGGTATAAGTTAATTCCCAAAGCACAAACCAGAGGCTGGGATTTAGCTCAGCAGCATAAGCGCCTGCCTTGCAAGCAGGCAGTCGTGAGTTCCATCCCTGGTACCGATAAAAAGGAAAAAGACAAAAACAACAACAAAAAAAAAAAAAAAAAAAAAAAAAAAAACCAAAAAACCACAAACCAGCAGCCAACAGAACTGAGAGGAGAGAATTCCAGGTAAAGGCAGCAACTAGTCCAGAGTCCCTGATGTAGGAGCAAAACACACAGATTTATGGAGTTAGCAATGGCAAGGGGACTAGACTGTTAAGGACTGGAGTAGTTTATTCTAATGCATGGGACCCAAAAGGAGGAGTTGAAGCAGGAGTGGTGTGATAGGGAGAGATCTGTGAGCCAAGGTGAAACTAGATCCTGTCTTTTCTTCCCAGGCCTAGGCCTGGGGAACTGTGATGGGCAAGACTAGGGGCTGCCATTCTTCCCGGCCTGCTTAATCAGGTAGTCTCAGTCTCTGCTGCCCCCTCGTGGCTGCTTCTTGCCTCACAGGCTCTGATCGCAGGCATCGGTCCTGATTTTGTTTTTTTTTTTTTTTTTTTTTTTTTTTTTGTCTTTTTGTCTTTTTCATTTTTATCGGTACCAGGGACCGAACTCACGACTGCCTGCTTGCAAGGCAGGCGCTTATGCCGCTGAGCTAACTATGTTGTTTTGTTTTGTTTTATTTTGTTTTTTGGTCTGAGACAGAGTCCCGCCATGTAGTTCAGGCTGGCCTTGAGCACACTTTGGAGCCCAGGCTGGTCTCGAACTTGCAACGATCCGATCCACTTGCTTCAGCATCCTGACTGCTGGGATTACAGGCCACCACCCCCGGTTTTGGAATAGGTCCTGAGTAGTCAGATGCTCCCCAGTATAGCTGTACTGGGCCGTAAGGGGAGGGGAGACTGTCAGTGGGTCCAGTATCAAGGCAGAGGCCCAGAATCACCCATCCCATTTTCTACTATGGCTAGAACCCAAGTTTGTCAAGGTCTTTTGGATCCCGGAGAGTGAGAATCCAGACGACGACAAAATCTACTTCTTCTTCCATGAGTTGGCAGTGGAGGCGGCACCAGTGCTGGGGCGCCTGACTGTGTCTCGTGTTGGCCAGATCTGCCGGGTGAGGAGTCACTGGGCCACTCTCCCTGGCAACCTTGCCCCACCCTTTGCCTGATGAGATCCTGCTCTCAGACTCTTGGGTCCTCTTGGTAGAATGACATGGGTGGCCAGCGCAGCTTGGTCAATAAGTGGACAACCTTCCTGAAGGCACGGCTGGTGTGCTCCATTCCTGGTGTGGAGGGCGACACTCACTTCGACCAGCTCCGTGAGTGCCCAGGGTGGAAGGTGGGAGGAAGCTGAGTTCAGAGATTGGTGTGCAGACTCCAGGGGCACAACTGGGCCAGAGGAGCTGTGGCTCTCTCCAACCTGGGTCTTTCCCTGCAGAGGATGTGTTCCTGCTGTCCTCACGAGACCCCCGAAACCCTCTGCTCTACACTGTGTTTTCCACATCCAGGTAAGGGGCAGAAGGGAGAGCATCCATGGTCAGGGTCAGCTGGGCTTTGTGTGACCCTCACTCTGCTCTTATTGTTACCGTAGTGGCATCTTCCAGGGCTCTGCTGTGTGCGTGTACAGCATGAATGATGTGCGCCGGGCATTCCTGGGACCCTTTGCGCACAAGGAGGGGCCCACACACCAGTGGGTGTCCTACCAAGGCCGTGTTCCCTACCCACGGCCTGGCATGGTATGTAGATAAAGGACTCCTGCCACAGCTCATTTCAAAGCCTCAAAGGTACAGAACCTGGCCTGGGGTCTTCTTGGTAAATGTGGATTCTTTAGTTATGAATGGGAGAGATCACCATCTTCAGAGAGCGATCGTCATGTGAAAGCTATGTTTTATTCCTCTCCTTAGCCTGAGGTTCAGTCTGAGCCTCCCCAGGACACGGCTGAATCTCCAGAACAGCACTGTTCCTTTCCTCATTCCATGTCCCCAGAGGACACTGTACATCACTCTTGTCTATATCGCTACTTGCCTTCCTCCATGCCCTCTTTAGTGTCCCAGCAAGACCTTTGGCACCTTCAGTTCCACCAAGGATTTCCCTGACGACGTCATCCAGTTTGCCCGGAACCACCCTCTCATGTACAACCCGGTCTTGCCCATCGGGGGGCGCCCTGTCTTCATGCAAGTGAGTGCAGGTTACACTTTCACTCAAATTGCTGTGGACCGTGTAGCTGCCGCTGATGGACACTATGACGTCCTCTTCATTGGCACAGGTCAGAGTCCACAGTGACACTCAGAACCCCACTCAAGCTCTTTTCACTGCCTGTTCAGTCCTATCTCTGCTTATTTTCCTGGGCTGTGGCCCCACGTTCTGGATGCTTCCCTGATTGTCCCAACCCACATTCTTCACTTCTTCATAACCAACCATGTTGAGAGTGCAGGCCTCAGAGGCAAGGGACTATGGACCTTGCTACCAGGGAAAACCAGTGGCCACACCCCTTTCTCATCCCTGCAGATGTGGGAACAGTGCTGAAAGTGATCTCACTCCCCAAGGGCAGCCAGCCAAGTTCTGAGGGACTCCTTCTGGAAGAGCTGCACATGTTTGAGGTAAGGCTTCAACTTCCAGTTGCCTAACCCAGGCTCCCCAGCACACTAAGCCCTGATCCCAGAACTTTTGCTTGCTCTCAGCACCCAGATGCTGTCACCAGCATGCAAATCTCCTCGAAGTGGGTAAGTGACCAGAAGGGTCGAGGTTGGGAGGGACTGAGCTTGCGATCGGGGTGTCCCAACCATCTCAGCCCCTCTTGCCCCTGGAAATTCACAGCCCTCGGTTTGGGTAGAAGCAATGTATAACTTGAGCAAGACCTCAGTGTTTCCATCTGTCAAATGGGGGAAGGGACCCCTGTCTGCTAGGAGGCACACAAGGGGCCACCTTTGGTCAGCCAGGAGCCCTTCCTGCCCTCCAGAATCAGCTGTATGTGGCCTCACGGAGCTCAGTGGCCCAGATCTCATTGCACCGCTGTGCAGCCCATGGCCGCGCCTGCGCAGAATGCTGTTTGGCACGTGACCCCTACTGTGCCTGGGATGGGAGCAAGTGTACACGCTTCCAGCCCAGTGCCAAGAGGTGGGTAGGGTCAAAGTTCGGATGGAACGAATGGGAAAGGAGGGCTTTTTGCCACCCGGGAGGCTGGAAGAAGGGCTCATGAGGTTCCAATGTCCTCGCAGGCGGTTCCGGCGGCAAGACATAAGGAATGGAGACCCCAGCATGCTTTGCGCCAGGGGTGAGTGAACAATCAGCCACATCCTCAGCCCCCAAAGGTGCCCGTTGCCTCCTTGAGCCGCTGAATTTGCATTCTCTTCATCCTAAGACTCGTCCAGTCCGACGCTGCTGGAGCGGAAGGTCTTTGGCATGGAGGGCGGCAGTGCTTTCTTGGAGTGTGAGCCCCGCTCGCTGCATGCACGCGTGGAGTGGACTTTCCAGCGCACAAGGGAGGATGCCCACACTCAGGTCTTCCCAGTCTGCCCTCCCAGCCAGTATCCTTTTGTCTCCTACATCTAGGAGAGGTCTTACCCTCCCTAGTGAGGTCCGTGACTGGCAACCATTCAGGTCTAGGTCTAGTCCAGCCCCACTAGAGCCCTCACCCGCATAGCACCCATGGGCCCCTGACCTGGAGTCTATCCAGGTGAGGCCTCACTGTGTCCAGCTGGGCTCTTGACCTGCCTTGTCATCCCTTCAGCACTGTTCCCACATCTGCAGAGATGAGAAAGGGGTGTGGCCACTGGTTTTCCCTGGTAGCAAGGTCCATAGTCCCTTGCCTCTGAGGCCTGCCTCTGAGCTGCCATTGAGGTTCCTGACTGGGCCCTCACATCCAGGGTAATGCGGCCCATTTGGATCTTCATCCGCCACAGCCAGTGTGCAACTAACCGCAAGTGCACCTGCGGGCACATGTTCCTTGCTAGCCTTAGGCTCCCAGGGGCCCTGTACTCCGTTCCTGGCCTCACCACCCTCATTCCGCAGGTGCTGGCGGAGGAACGCATAGAGCGCACGGCGCGGGGACTCCTATTGCGCGGGCTGCAGCGTCAGGACTCGGGCGTGTACCTGTGCGCCGCTGTTGAGCATGGTTTTTCACAGCCAATCCGTCGCCTCGCGCTGCATGTTCTGAGCGCAACGCAGGCCGAGCGGTTGGCGCGTGCCGAGGAAGCAGCGCCTCCTGCGCCCCTGGGCCCTAAACTCTGGTACCGGGACTTTCTGCAACTGGTGGAGCCCGGTGGAGGTGGCGGTCCAAACTCCCTGCGCATGTGTCGCCCGCAGCACGAGCTGCGCGTCCCGGGGCCTGAGTCGCGCAGGAAGAGCCGCAACCGGAGGACGCATGCCTCCTACCCACGCGCCGACAGAGGGCCGCGCAGCGCAGGGCACTGGTGACTGGGTTATCCCCGCACGGGGACCAGGAGGGAGACAACAGGCCAGAGAGAGGCCAGACAGACCCCAGGAAGATAGATGGGCTGGAGCTGGGCACACCGTGGTCCCCAGGCAAGTGGAGATACCGAATGACAGACCCTGGCAGACGGGCATCCGTGCCGGCTTATTTATTAACAGGATAACCCTAGAGTGTAGCCCTATTAGGGTGGCCCAGGCCGGGTGCAGGATCTAGCCCAGAGGGAGGGAACAGAGAAGCAAGGCTCCAGAACAAGACCAGGGCCAGGGAAGTGCCCTGAGTGCCCATCCTGACAGAGAGATTCCTCTCCTTAGCAGTGAGCAGAAGGCTGTGAACAGAAGACTGTGAAAGAGCTGGGCTACTGGGGGTGGGGCGAGGCAGGTCGACTGTACTAAAGCAATGCAATAAACACATTATCAGCTAAAGCTGGAATGACCACAGCAGACAAGCGTGCTAGATTTGCTGTGTGGGCCTTGGGCATTTGCTAGCAGTCTCAGGACCTGAGTTTCTCCTGTCCAGGATTGCTGTGGTGAGGATTTAGAGTGGTGTAGGCATAACTGAGGAGGTTATGTAGGGCCTGTGGGACTAGTACTGATATGCACAGTACAGTCTGTATAATGTGATTTAAGGCCTAAGTGAACAGGAATGGTAGTACTTTCCTGTAATACCAGAACACATGAGGCTGAAACAGTAGGATCTCCAGTTCTGGGCCAGCCTGGGAGACATGGTGACATCTTGTCTCTCTCACTCTCTCTCTCTCTGTTTCTCTGTGTGTGTCTCTCTCTCTCTGTCTCTCTCTCTCTTTTTTTTTTTTTCGTACCTCAAAGTCAGGACTTTACCTTTGCCAGGCAGGCTGTGTTCTGCTGAGCTATATCCCCAGTCCCCTGACCCCCATCCTTTTTTAAAAGCTAAGTTCTTTACTCTTTAACAAAAAAAAGTTAAAAGAAATAACAACAACAAAAACACAGAGGTGGGTGATGTGGAAAATAATGTGAACTGAAAGACAAGGAGCCAGCCACAGGAATACCTAAGCAGGGGACAGGGCACTCCGGAAGGAAACAGCCAGTACAAAGCCCTGGAGAGGGGAACAAAATTGCCAGGTTTGAGGAGCAGCAAGGGGCTGATATGATACAGTGACCCAACACCTTTCAGAGGCAGAACCTACAGGGTTTTAGCACCAGTAGGAAGGAAGGGCCCAGTGGGTCACCTTCCCCCAAGGGTGAACAATACTGTGAATCCTCACTGGACTTGTGGGTCCTGTATCCTCTTCAGGGGCAAAAACAGTGCCTGGTCCCAAGAGCTTCACACCCAGGACTATATCTCTATCCTCTGTGCGCTGTGCCAGGGAGGAACCACTGACTGTTTATGTTTTACCAAGAAGATGGAAACCAGAAAGGTTGATCCTCCCTAAGGTTGTGAACTTAGTAGAAGAACCAAACTGGGCACAATGGCACACACCTGTAATCTCAGCACTGTGGGATGCTGAGGCAGGAGGATGGCAAGTTTGGGCCAGTCCTGGACAAATTAGTGAGACCATTATCTCAACATAAAAAATTAAAAGGGCTGGGATGTGGCTCAGTATCAAGGCCCTGGGTTCAGTTCCTAGGACCACAAAACAAAAAGCTGCTGTACTATAGTAGAAGTACCAGTCTCTAATCCAGCATGAGTATCAGAATGACACGGTCAGCATGTATATCACATGTGCACACACGTGAATATCCACTCCAGAGCCCTCATGGCATTGGGTTCCAAATGTGCCCCCTAACGCCCACACCATGCTAGCAGCTCACACTATAGGGGGTGTTTGTCCAGCTTTTGTTGGGAGATGACTGAACTATGGGTAAGAGTCTATAGGGTTAAAGTGTGGCTGAGTAGAAATGTACAAGGGCTTTTTTCTCTTCTTGTGGTACTGGGGAGTGCAACTAGAGCCTTGTGCCTGCTTCACCAGGTGCTGCTTCTCCAGCCTTTCCTTTATTTACTTTTTTTTTTTTTTTTTTTTTTTTTTGTCTTTTTCCTTTTTATCGGTACCAGGGATCGAACTCATGACTGCCTGCTTGCAAGGCAGGCGCTTATGCCGTTGAGCTAAATCCCCAGCCCCTTATTTACTTTTTTTTTGGTACTGAGGAAAGAACTCAGGACCTTGCGCTTACCAGGCAAGCACTTGAGGTGCTGAGTTGAATCCCTGACCCTCTCCCTTTATTTTTTAAATATTTATTTATTTTAAAATTTGAGACATGACCTAGGTTATCCATGCAGGCCTCAACTTGGCCATCCTCCTGTCTCAGTCTCTTCTGTAACTGGGATTACAGGTGTGTGCCCTTTGTCTGGCCGGGGTCTCCTTTTATGTTGCAGCTGCCACTTGAGGTATTTCTGCTCCAGGCCAAACTTGAGGTGGCTGTTCTGGGTAAAGTCCGAGGCCTGGAACGGTTTCCTAAAGTGGACCCTATATTGGTGGAGCTCGTGGCTGAGTCACCAGGTAGGCAGTATAGGATGGTGGTGGCGAACCTGTGCCATGGATGCTGCAGCAGGCTGTTATCACTGGAAGCTCTGAGAGGTTCGCCAGCACTGGTTTAGGATTACCCATGCATGTCACTCTGCCCCTTCTCAGGGCTGAGAGTGGCCCCCTCTAAATATAGCCCAGTGGGCTGAGCTCAGCTTTATTTTAAGCCCACGTTGGGAGGTGGCCAGGCCTTCCCAGGCTCCCAGAGGAGCCACTGCTGCCTTTGTTCACTCCTGCTACAGGACACCCTCATCGTCCCCGACTGTCTACCACTTGCTATGCCTGAGGAGACCCAAGAAGGTAGGAGAGGGTGATCATGAGGGAGGGCAAGGCCCCAGTTCCTGTAACCTTGTGGGCCACAGAGACTCAATTTCTGTGCCACCAACTTCACTGTCTTTTCTAGTCATCAATTTTCATGTCCCAGCTCTAGAAAGAGACCTAACCCTGTACTCAGAGGCAGAGCCCAGCATACCTGGAACCCCTTTCCACCTCAGGTTATGCTTGTTTGCCCTGCCTAGACACCAGGAGAAACTGGGGGAAGCTCCCCAGTTTAGGAGTGGGTCAACTACAGGCTGTGACCAAGTGGGTGTAGACATCTGGGAAGCTGCTTGTCCAGTTCATTTTTTCTTTTTTCAGTACTAGGGACTGAACTACAAGGGTGCCGGTCTAGATCTATAGCCTCAGTCCTTTTTATTTTTTTTATTTTTATTTATTTATTTTTTTTTGTCTTTTTCCTTTTTATCGGTACCGGGGATCGAACTCACGACTGCCTGCTTGCAAGGCAGGCGCTTATGCCGCTGAGCTAAACCTCCAGCCCCTAGTCCTTTTTATTTTTGAATAAGTTTCTCAGATTGGCCTTGGACTATTGATCCTCCTACTTATATCTCCCAAGTAGCTGAGATCACAGGCATGCATCACCACACCTGGCCTTTACTCTTGCTGCAGGGAGGAAACTAGTAATGGGACTGGGTATGGGGGCACCTGGCTTGGGAACTAAGTAGGCAAGGGTTCTGTCCTTCCCCAATTTGGGTCTAATAGCCCCACCTGGCCAACCATATCACTGTTCCACTGTAGATAGGACACCAAGTTGGGCATGAAGGCAAAAATCTGTAAGCCCTACCCTCATTCTGGAAGCCCATTATGAGAAATTTAATAGGAGCCTGTCTCAAAAAATAAAAAAGGGCTGAGGGTGTAGTTTAGTGCACAGGCCTTGAGTTTAATCCATAGCACCAAAAACGAAACAAACAAAATAACAAAACCTGAGTAAAGCACTACAGAGTGGAAAGAGGGAATTTTTTTTTTTTTTTTGTACCAGGGATGGAACTCATGACCTTGTGCATGCCATGCAATTGCTTGTGCTAGCTGGGAGTTTTTTTTTTGGAAAGCAGGAATTGAATATAATATTCCCTTCAATCTACCAACAGCTTAAGGACTGGCATGTTTTTATGACTTGTTTTTGAGGATGTCAAAGCAGCAGCTTAAGCAGTTTTTTTTTTTTTTTTTTTGGTCTTTTTTCGTTTTTATCGGTACCAGGGATTGAACTTACAACTGCCTGCTTGAAAGGCTAGCGCTTATGCCGCTGAGCTAAATCCCCAGCCCCAGCTTAAGCAGTTTTTGAAGGTTGAGTTACTGTCCTGAGAATGTCACAGTTGTTTCCTATATCAGGAAATACCATTTTCCTCCCCATTCTAATCTAGCTCCCACATGAGTCCCTGGAGCTCTTATTGGGCCAAGATTTTAAAGTCAAAGAACGTCAGAAAAAAAAAAATGTTCATAAGCCAGCCAGATGTGGTGGTGTATGCCTGTGATTACAAGACTCAGGAGGCCTAGGCAAGAGGATTGCTGAGTTTGAAGCTAGCCTGAGCTACACAGTTCAAGATCAGCCTAAACTGCATATGGAACCATGTCTCAAAAAAAGCCAAAAGAAATCATAATTTTTTTTTTGTCTTTTTTTTATCAGTACAGGGATCCAACTCAGGACCACACACTTGCAAGGCAGGCACTTATGCCACTGAGCTAAATCCCCAGCCCCAAATCATAACATATTTTGATGGTACTCCCGAGGCTGTGGTGGGAAGATCAATTGAGTACAGGAGATTGAGACCAGACTGGGGAACTTAATGAGATCCCCATTTCAAAAAAAAAAAAAAATAACTTTGAATTGAATAAAATCCCAGGAAAATTACACTGACCTCAGGGACTAAATAGGCAAACAGTGAATGGATAATTAAGGTATGCATATATTGTTCAGGCTCCCTAGGCAACCAAACCAAATCAAATCGATCAAGAAAGTTTATTTTGACAGCATAATGCTGTACATCTGTAAATCCAGGTACTCTGGATAGGCTAAGAATTAGAGGAGTTCAAGGTGAGCCTGAGAAATTTATTGAGACCATGAGTCAAAAATGAAAGAAAAAGTGTTGAGGATACTTCAGCACAGCTAGGTTCCCCAGTGCTAGCTAGGCGTGGTGATGCACTCCTGTACCCCAACACTTGGTGAGTGGAAGCAAGAGGATCACTATGAGTTCAAGGTCAGCCTGGACTACAAAGTGCGATGCTGTCAAAAAATAAAAGACTTGGGGCTGGGGATTTAGCTCAGCAGCATGAGCGCCTTCCTTCCAAGTGTGCAGCCGTGAGTTCGATCCCTGGTACTGATAAAAACGAGAAAGACAAAAAAAAAAAAAAAAAAAAGACTTAGTACCAGTAAAAAAATTTTTTAATCTTGCAAATTAGCAAATACATACATAAATGTGTGAATATAAATTGTTTCTCTTCCCAGCACCTGGTGAGCAGAATTACCAGGAATTCAAGGCCAGTCTGGGCTACCTAGAGAGTTCAAAGCGAGCCAAAACCCTACTCCCTCTTCAGAAGTTTTAGTGGGGATCTCATGATGACAGTAATAGCCCATTGAGGGTGGGGTACATACTTCTCAAGGACAATTTGATGAATTCTACCCCTGTTCCTAGGTTAATTCCATGTTTTATAGTCCCTAATGACTGTTGAGAAATTGTGAAAAATTTCATACTCAGTGGATGTCCTCAGGCTTTTTGTACCAGACATTGAACTCAGGACTTTGCACTTGCCAGGCAGGTGATTATGCCACTGAATTCTATCCCTGGCCCTATCAGGGCTAATTTCCCAAGGGAACTGCAAATAACCTAAATGACCAGGCAGCCTCAGAGGGTGTGCCTATTTTCCCTAAGTCCCTACTACCTAAGGCTACCTGGGAGCCAGGAAGGGGTGACCTGCCTGCTGAATGAGCCCCACCACCCCTGCAGACACTGTGACACCAACACAGAGCCAGAAAACCAGGGGGCTCCTGGCTCCTAGCCATGTGCCCGAGGTGCAGCTACACCGAGTGGAATCCATCAGCGACCTACACGGTGAAGGTGAGGGGGTACAGAAAAGATGTCCTGGGCAGGGGGAAAAAAGCCTGCCACCCTCCTAACATCCCCCCCACTCCACAGGCTTGACACACCCGTATCTGGCTGAGGAGGCCCGGCCATGGGATGAGTTGCTGGGTGTCTTGCCACCGTCACTGTGTGCCCAGGCTGGCTGTAGTACAGCATTTGGTCGTGGCGGGTTCCTGCTGCTGCTGGTACTGCTAGTGCTCACCTGCCTGGCACTTGCCATCCTGGCTGTCTACTTGAGCGGTAGGGACAGGCAAGGCAGGTGGGGACCACAGGGACTGGGAGGCTCTCTGGAAGATGCTGCAGCGGTGAAGGGCAGGGGTCAGTGGGCAGCTGCTGCTGGGCTATGGAGGTCTGAGGCAGCATGTAATCTAACAAGGTCCCACAAACACCTGCCCATCCGCAGTACTGCAGAGTGAATCCCTGCGGGTCCTGGCACATACGCTGCGCACCCAGGAGGAGATGCTGCTCAAGCTCCGACTCGCCAGCCTCAGCCAACTGCGGAGGCTCAACTCCAGTGAAGCCCGGGCGCCCAGCTGAAACTCTACCTGGACCAGGGCATAAAGGGTGTGGGGGGAATAGAGGCTGTTGGCAGATCTCTCCTCCCATTGCTGGTCTATGCCACTTTCTTGTTGAGATTTTTGGAGGAGACTGATATGACTTCACAGTTACCTACCTCTCCTGATCTCTTCAGCCAGGCCTAGCCAAGCCTTCTGGCACCAGATAGGCCCTTCTGGGCTGGCCTACGGTCAAAGGATGGGGTACCAGTCTCCTGGCTTCTCCTGTGGCCTGTCAGCATACTCTGGGCATCCCAACATAGCAGGGTAAGAAGTCTAGAAATAGCTGCCTCACTGCAGCCACCTACTCTCCCAGGCCTCCTAGCAGGAATCCAACCTTAGGTCTCAAGAGACAGGCTGGACTCCAAGTTGGGGAGACCTCACCCTACCCCAGGGCACACTGCCTTCAAGGGCACAACTGAGATCCCACTGGACCCAAGTCTGAAGTCCTGGATGGAAGGGAGTTTGGGCAGAAATACTCAAGAGTCAGGACCACAGAAGCAGAACATTATATTCTATTTAATTATCACATAATCTTTAAAAACACAAAAATCCTTTCCAGGTAGCTTTGCCTCCCCACTTGCCATAGTGGCATCAGTACAGATGCCAATACCTCAAAGAACTGGGTCATTCCAAAGCATTAAGGCCTAAAAAAGGAAAGGGACGGCTCCCTACTGTCTGCCCCACGTCCCTGAGACAGGCACTCTCTTGGCCCTGCCTTCGATAGGGCAGGAATAAGCCTCAAGGCTGAGTACAGGGCAAAAAAGGGCAGGGTTCCCTACCCCTACTCACCCAACCTGTCTGGTTTTGTTTTTTTCTTAAAAAAATAAAGTGACAATCACTGGCAGATACCAGTTCTTGCACTGTCTTCTGTTAAAAATACAGGCAAGGGTGTGGATAGTCTTGTCTTCAGCTGGTCTATTTCACAGGACATCTGCCCGCTTGTCCCGCACACGGCTTCGAGCCTTGGTTCGGGCTTTGAAGGCAGCAGCATTGTACAGGTGCTGGGGGGAAAAAAGGGTAGAATCTGGTGAACTGTGAAGAAAGCCCAGGGCTCCTCCTGCAGTCCTTGCAAAGCTGGAGGCCTCTGGGAAACGGGAATTGAAGGGAAATAAAAGTGTCCAAGGATGCAAACCTTCTCAAAACGTGAAACTTTACAAGCCTTCAGAGCAGAGGCATCCAGTACCAGCACAGGGCCCAAGCCAAAGATGTCACGGAGAAGCTCATTGTTCTGGGGACAGAGAAGGCAAATAAATCCAGTCTACTCCAAAGCAGCCAAACTGGGGAGCCCTCTCGGCCCATCCTCCCACCTGTAGGTGGTGGTGCATGCCCGAACCCAGCACATCCTTGAAGGCAGCATAGATCCGGTGCCGAGCCCAGCTGTCCACATACAGCATTTCCAGTCCAAAGCGGATCGTCTCTTCCTCACATTCACCACCCTGCAGGGTAGAGGGGCCCGCAGCTGGGCTTGGCTGCTATGCCTGGGGCTACACTCTTGCTAGGACAAACATGTTCTCTCACTCACTTCAACAAAATGCAGCACGGCACGGAAAGTAGAGCGCTGGCGCCGGCGGTCAGCTTTGGCACGGTACTTATTGCTATCCGTGGCTAGAGTGCGCAGGGCACCACACAGGGCCTCTATGTCCTCGTAAACAAAGTCCTCCTGTGTGGGAGTAGTGAAAGCTGAGGCAGAAGCTGAGGCTCTGCTGGCTCTCAACATGGATTGCCTAAATCTTTCCTAATCACTCTCCTCTTTTCTGCCTGGCTCCTCTCACCCCTTCTTTGGCCTCCACCTGCACAGGACACCTTGGGGTCCCCATAACACCTGGCACACAAGTCACTGTTGGGGCCACCTCTCCAATACAATGACCTGAGGCTGCTCTGTATTCTGTGGCATGCTCTCTTTGCCTCCAGCCTGGGGTGGGCAGTAGCACCAGCAGGCACCCCCCTACCATCCTTGCACCTCATGGTCCCGGGCGAGCTCAAAGAGCAATGCGATGGTTTCACCAGCAGCAATCCGAAGGTTCACACTCTCACTGGACAAGAGCTGGGGCAGCTGGGACAGTTGCCTGGAGAAGGGGCAGGCTAAGCTACATGTGTGTGTTGGGGGCCCCTTCGTGATCACCTCCCACTCCCAGTGGGCAGCTACCCTCACCTGTCAAGGATGTGGCTGATGTGGGTGCTGGGGCAGATAGTAAGTAACAATGCCCAGGCCTGCAGGGCAGCACAGAGCAGGCCATGCAGGCTGGCGGGGACCACAGGAACTGTGGAGCCATCTGTGTCACAGGACTGGCTGAAAACACCTTCTAAGCAGGCGAGGCAAGAGACCAAGTCCTAGGAGCATACGGGGACAGGGGACAGGCTCAGGGACACAGCTAGGGGCCTACATGATCCACCATCTGTGTCCAAAGGCCGCTTACCTGGATATCAGCAGCAGCCACGTAGCACCCCAAGCCAAGAGTAGAAGCACACTGTTGGGAGGACAAAGCTAGGCCATGATCAGAGGTCAGTCTGGGTTCTAAGCCATAGGGCTCACCCCTACCCCTCAGGATAGGAAGCCTGAAGACAGGTGGAACCCACCACTCTGTGATAAAGTAGAGGAAGGTTTTGCAGGGCATGGGAACACTCACATGAAGCCGGGCAGAGGGGCTAGCTGTGCAGTCACTGAGGACAGAGACTAGCAGGGGCTTCAGGCCATGGAACAGCTCCTCACCCTTGGGTCCAGGTCCCAGCTGCACACAGAGCAGGCCTAGCACGGCAGCAGCCAGGGCCTGTTCTTCACCCTTCCCTGTAGGATGCTTTCCAGTCAGCCCCTGCACCAGGTCAGCACCTGCCCAGTTAAGGTCCTCCACATACCCCAAAGCCTGACCTTTCTTGAGGCACTTTTCCAAGGCATCAGCCAGTGTGAGGCAGCGTTCCAGCAAAAAGTCAGGGAGCAGGTGGGAAGCCAGGGCCAGGCGCAAGCTCTCCAGAGCTCCTTGCCGGATCTTGGCACTAAGGGTAGAGAAGGGACAGTCATGAGGGCCAGCTGTCCCTTGGTCACATTTGGCATGGGTTGAGCAATGCCCTGGATATAGGAGTAGGCTAGCAGCCAGGGGTACCTCTTGTTTGTGAGGCAGTCCACATATTCCTTTAGCTTTTCTTCGAGATCTTCCTGTTGGCCCTGCTCATCGACAGCATCCCCCCCTGCAAGGCCAGCAGATCAGCACTGCTTCTTGCCCTCACCCAATGGAGCCCTCATTGAACCTTTGCCAAATGGCTACTTGCTCTTACCCAGGCTATCCTCTGCTGTGGTGCTGAGAAGGCTGGGACATTCGCTGGTGGTACTTCGGGCCTCACTGGCTGCCTCATCCTCACTGGAACCTGAGTCAGCTTGGGTACTGCACTGGGCACCTGGGGAGTATATGTTAAGTTATTCAGCCTGCTTCCACTGATGAGGATGGCTGGGGGTACTTCATGCAACCTCATAAGCCCACAAAACAGAACGCTGCCCCTTCTCAGAGAGGCGGAAACCAAAGCTGACGTAGGTACTACAGTGGCTGATGTACGGAACTTGAGCCAGGAAACATGAAAAAGGAAAAGGGAAGAAGGACCAGCTGCAAGAGAGTGTTAGGTACTAGGCTTGGCCTAGGGATACCCGGCAAGCTTGGTGGGCAGTGCCTTCTAAGGCCAGAAACTATTTTAAGTAGAAGACTGGGAGCTAGTACAGGTAGAAGACAGGGGAGGTGTAAGGGAAAGGCTGTAACTGCTCCACCTAGGTTTGTGGCCTAGCCTGCATTTTACTCCAAAGTAAGCAATGCAAGGATCAGGTATTAGCCATAGAGTTCAGCATATGTGGGATTTAAATCCCAATTCTACATCCCCCCTCACCTCCAGCATTGGATATCAAATCTGGGTGCTCATGTGAGCATGCTAGGCAAACACTCTACCAATGGGCTACAGCCATCTGAGTCTCCAGTCCACATTTTAACAGATATAGAACTGGGTCACATGCATAGGCTTTAGGGCCTCAGTGTCTGTCTGTCTGTCTGTCTGTCTGCTCCTCTCTCTCTGTTCTGTGTCTCTGTCTCTCTGGTTTAAATGCAGCCCAGGCTGGCCTTGAACTTGTGGTAATCCTCCTGTCTCAGTCTCCCAAGTGCTGGAGTTACATGTATGCACTATGCTATCAGACTGAGGCCTCAGTTTCTCTATCTGCAAGTAGAGATGGGGCAGCAGGTGAAAACAATGACTTGTTATGGCTTTACTTCAGGCTAACAAACTCATCAAGTCATCTACCAATCTTTGGAATAGAAACCCAGTTCCCACTGGGTATGGTGGGAACCCCACATTCTCTTCTGAGTTTCCTCCGATCCATTCAAGGCTGTCATGTCTGGGTGGACAGACATACAGGCTCCTTCTGACCCTAAAGAGGCTCTGACCCTGTAAGCCCCTAAGAACAGGTGAACACAGGGAAGTTTCAGGGCTGTAGGGCCAGAGCACTCTGCTGTGTGGATGCTGTCCAGGGCCAAGGGTGGACTTTGGCCAAAGTGGGTACTGCAGTGGAACTCTTGACAGTTTCTCATCCCCAGGCTGACCTTACCTCTCAGGAACTGCTCACACTCCTCGCCTGCAGGAAGCAGCCCAGCCAGCACAATGGCCTCTGCTTACTCCCTCTTTTACTACTCTACCTCTAAAGCTGCTGAGCTTCCTCTCGATTGGCCCACAGTGTTGCGGTCCCTTCCAGTGTAGCTACCAGGCTTTTCCACAGGTTCTCTTTGCACGGGGTTCTCTTCACCTTCTCAGGACTCATCTGGTCACCCTTCTTATGGGGTCTCCTAGGTTTTTGAGTCTGGGGCCAACATCCCTCTCTGAACCGTTTCAGGACCATAGTTGTGTTGTCACTACCCTATTAAATGTCACCCCACCCCAGACTCCTTAAGGGCAAAGCTGTGCCTGGCCCTCAAGCTAACTCAGCAGAATAAACATGTTTACTGAAAGGAAAAAAAAACAAAAACAAAAAAAAAAAAACAAGCTCTTGGTTGAGACTGATAACAGTACCAAGACTGCCTGTCCGGTATTCATCCAATTCCCAAAGCCACAACCGCCCAGGCCAGGATTCTGTACTTTCCTAAAGGCACCTCCCTCAATTCTTCGCAGCAAACAGGCTTCTGAGAACTTCTCTGTCTAGTCTACCAAGGGTCTTGGAAAGGGGACTGACTTCCTATTCTGTCCATTGTATTTTTCCACTGTAGTAGGCAACTGGTGTAGAGAGGCAGTGGGGAAACCGAAGCTTGGAGGTGCTGGCCGGCTTACGCTGCTGCTTCTGTGCTACTTCCTTTGGTTTGGGAAGCCTGACAAGCGGTGGGCGACTTGCTCAAGTTGGATGCACACGTGGCCGATGCCGGCTGCGGCACGTGCTGGCTACGGCAGTTTCGCAAGACTATGTCAGGCGGGCCGAGGGGGCCTTCCCCAGGCCAGGACACTCGGAAATGGACCCACACAGGACCCCTGCCTGCCGCAGCACAGCAGCCCCGCGCCCCCTACTCACCTCCTCCACGGCGCTGGCCGCCTCTGCGGGGCGCGTTGCCCTTACGAGCGCGAGGCATGCCGGGACCTGGGCGTGGGGTCGCCGGGTCGCAGGGTCAGGGACCAGGAGGACGGGGACTCCAGGCCAGCGAAGCGCTGGTCAGTGCTCTGCGCTGAGACTCGGCCAGATGTAGGGAGACACACGCCGCGCGCGCCACCATCTTCGCGAGGCGCCCCGCCCTGCCGAGCGGGTCGCTGGGAAGGCGAGTTCCCGGCTACCCGGTTCAGATCTGAGTCTTCGCGACGAAACTATAATTCCCAAGGGGCTGCGCGCACAGATTAGGGTGCGCCGGCTGGACGTGGAGAACCACGGAAATCGTAGTCTACTTTTGGACTCACAAAGCGACGCCCTTCTGGCTTGAAAATACGTACCCACAATGCACTGTGCGTATCCCTCTTACCCCCGGCCCTTCGGGTGCGCAAGCAGCCAGTTGTTAACCCGAGTTTCCCTAACCGGGTGAAGGAAGGATCACCCGGCAAAACCAGAATCCAGTGTCTTTTTTTTTTTTTTTTGTCTTTTTCCTTTTTATCGTACCGGGGATCGAACTCACGACTGCCTGCTTGCAAGGCAGGTGCTTATGCCACTAAGCTAAATCCCCAGCCCTCTCCAGTGTCTTTTTGTCAGTGAACTTTTGCAATGGAAGAGTCAGGGGTTTAACAAAATAGAAAGAACAGGCAGCCGTCACACAATGAAAGAAAAAGTGACTTTATGATGAAAGCAGAGTACAAGCAACAGTCTAAGCCAGATCTTAACCCAGATCTATTTGAGGGCTCTCTGCCCTAGGATGGGCCTCTTGTGATCTATCCGTGCAGATCAAAGCAGAACAAAGCCCTAGACTAGCAATTTTTGAAGAGTTGGCTGATCTCAAAGGGCCTTTTACATCCCACACCCCCTCTTCCCTGAGCTCCCTTTTTTCTCCCTTCAGGGATCCCACAAGTAGAGTATTTGGGAAGGTTGACTGTAAGCTGATTAGAGGAAGTGGGAGAGTTCCTATAGGACCAGGAAAACGGCAAGAGAGGCAAAGAAGAGACAGGGGCATATTTCTGGCTTTATGCTGCTTCCTGAGGTCTACCCTCAGGTCTGGGCTCCTGGCAGGTAGGGCCAGCCCAGCCCTGATAACAGTGGCAGCTAAAGGACTCCCACGTTCCAAGGCTGCCATCTGGCTGTACATGCAGAAAGGCTTCCCTTTGTCCTGGGTCTTGCCTGGCACAACGTCCATGACCATGGCACAGCTGGTGACTACAGGCCATGGCTGCTGTGGTCACATTGATCACATATGGGCCTAGAGTGCCCACCAGATAGTCATGGAGATGCCAGCACTCCTCCTAAGAAGGAAAGTATGTTTCAAATGCTCCTGTTGCATGACCTTGATATGCCCTCTCCCCCAACCCACTCTGGGACCCCAGCAAAGGTGGGTGGTAGAAATGATCACCTCAGAGCTGGAGAAACTCAAGTCTCCCCAGAGCACCACGCCGGCTGCCCCCAGTGCTGCGCTCACACCAATGGTCTGCACCAGGTCATCCTGAAGGTGAAGAGCTAAATCAGACCTGAATCTCCAGTTCACTCCATGATCTGATTCTCTAGAATTGGGGCCTTTGCATTGACCTCTAAGTAGTTTTTCATGTCTTTTAGTCTGACCCCCCTCTGACGAGAGTTCCCTTCAGACCACTAATTCTTGCGTCTTCCAGTACCTCTCTTGTCAGATGCACCGAGAGAGAACATTCCCCTCAAATTCCCTTCAGCAAGACTTTTCTAGGACAGGGCCACTTCCAACTCAGATCCCTAGACTTCAGCTTCTACTTACCTGGGACAAAAACCTCCCAGAGCGCCGGTGTGTGAGGCGGACATAGGCCAAGACAGGCAGAGGATATGGGTACCCAGCAAGGGCCACACGGAAGGCCTCCTCCAGGCGGTGTTGCACAAAGGCCTGGCGGTAGGCAGGTGGCAGCTTGGGTGGAAGGTAGATGCTGGGAAAGAGAGCACTGGAGGCAGCCCAAAGCCAGTGCAGTTTGGTGTTCCGAGCCAGGGTGGCCTCATGGCAGCGGCCGGTGTAGTTGGAGGCCATATGGTGCCAACCATTGCCACAGGCTGGGTATCGATAGAAGCCCCAGAGACCATGGGGACGCAGTGCCCGGCCCAACCTTAGGGTACTCTCCATTAGTGCACGAGCTGCCTGTTCAAAGCTAGTATGGGCTTTGTGGAGCTGCTCCTGAGGGTCTAGTCCAGGAAACATACGCTGCGCCCAAGCCCAGGAGGCTGCCTTGTAAACTTTACGGCGGCCCCAGTTTTCAGCCCAGAGTGGACACCACTCCTCCCAGTCCAGCACTGCCAGGCCAGCAAACCTGAGTCCTAAGCTCTGGCGGATCTGGTAGGCAGCCCATGCCAGGTGGCGATCTAGGGGCACGGCCTGGGGGATGCCCCCATTGTGAACTGTGCCCCTGGGTCCAAGGTAGGGATAGAGGCCAAACTGGTTCTTGTAAAAGATGGTAACATTTTGGCCGTGGAAACACTGGCCACGGTTGGCTATAATGCCCAGGGTAGTGAGTGGTAGATGCACACCAAAGCGAGCCTTACAGCGTGCTGAGGGTACATTCCATAGCACAGAGAAGGGTCGTTCAGGATCCTGCAGCAAGGACTGGCCACATCCCAGGCACAGGGCTATGCCCATCACCAGAGCTGGGCCTAGCTGCATGACCATGCCACTGAGATGGAAACCTGTAGGAGAGAGGGAATAAACTTGAGTCCATGGCCATAGGTTCTAAAGAGCAGGGAAAGCTCCCCAAGCTCCTCCCTCCAAGGATGGGGGTGATGGAGAAAACAGTTCTCGTAGGAGTCTAGTAGGTCTCAGAAGAGCCATATGCCAAACTGCCATGGGCAGCTCCTCTCCAGAGTTCTGTCAAGGCACCAGTGTTTTCGGAGACATCGCCATCTACAACTGTCACAGGTTCCCTTCTTTCCTCTGCCACCTTGGTCTCTGCTTTAAGGATAGTAAGCTCTCACCTCATTTGCCTAGCTTAATTTCCACTTAGCAAGGGGCTAGGGATTTAGCTCAGCACCTGCCTTGCAAGCAGGCGGTTGTGAGTTCGATCCCCAGTACCAATAAAAAGGAAAAAAGACAAAAAAAATTTTTTTTCCACTCAGCACTAGTCTCTGCTATGATATCACCTGCTATAGGTTGCCTAGATCCTTAGGGGGAATGAGCGCACTTGGGCTCCTAAGGCATCTGTACCTCCCTGTTCTAACACTGACGTTGCCACTGAATGGTTGTCTTGTCTTCTTGGATGGGTACCCAATCTGTCTGTAATTCCCCACTGCCTATGCCCAATCCAGGGCCTGATACACAGAAGATGCTCAGTAAATGGTAATGAGTAAACAGAAAAGAGAACCACCACTGTTCCCTGAGCTTAGCAGAGTGAGGCAGAAGACAGGTGTTACTCCATCAAAGATCAAAGGGCCCAAGGCCAAATTGGAGGCTTCTGCAGGGATGGGAACCTGAGAAATGAGGGTGGGGGTCAACAATAAATTGTCACAGCCACACCCAACAGAAGCCTTTATTCAGCTATACTGATCACTCTGAGCCATAACTACAGAACCATCTCCTGGCCCCAGTAGTACCCAGGAAACATGCCCAGGCTGAAACTGCCCCAGGGGCTAGGGGCTGAGGTATAGCCACTAGGCTGAGGGTAGTATTGTCCTGGGCAGTCCAGTGACCCAGGACAGTGCCTTGTCTCAGGTAGCTCTCAGATATCTTTTTTCATCCAGAATATGGGGCATCCCCTCAGGTCTTGGTACTGTGTCTCCAGCAGGTTTTGTGGAAAGGGCCCTGCTGGAGGTGGAGGTAAAAGGGTAAGCGGCTGGGGTAGGGGAGGAGGTGGTGGCAATGGGGGACCCTTGGGGCTGCTTGGGGCAGCTTGGGTAGTCAGACTAAGAACCATGGAGGGTGGGTGGGGAGCAGGAGCCCTAGGAAAGGCACGGAACAGGTTGGTGGGCAGCCGTTGGCTGCTGAAGACTAGGCCCTGCACAGGCTCTCCCAGACGGTAGCCCAAGTGGGCATAGAAATACAGCTGATCATGAGTGGTGAGGTGTAGATGGCGAAAGCCCCGGGCCCGAGCAAAGTCCTCCAGGCCCTCCATGAGACGGCGACCAAAGCCACGGCCCCTCAGGGCCCGGGCCACCACCACTGTCTCTACTAAGAGGCTCTGGGGCCGGTCCAGCACCCGTGACAGGCGAGCATGACCCACCACCATGGGGGCTGCTTCAGATGTGGGGTGAGGGCTCAATAGCAACAGACATAGGGGGAAGGCATCTGAGGACTGGCCCAGGGAGTGAAGGCGGGAGGCACGGCTGCGGGGCCACTGGTCATTGATGAGGTCGGCACAAGCATCCATAAGCTCAGGTCGGCAGTGCACAGGCTCCAAGGTCAACTCAGCCAGGCTGGGAGCCGGGGTCTCCTCTGACTGGTGGTTGGGATCCAGGGTAATCTCAGCTGGGCCAGGACTGAAGGTCATCTCTGGATGGCATGTGGAATCCAGGGTTGGCTCTGCTAGCCTGGGGCTCAGGATCAGCTCTGGTTGGTGTGTGGGATCCAGGGTTAGCGTGATCAAGTTGAATCCCAGGGCCACCTCTGGCTGACATGCAAGATCCAGAGTCAGCATAGCCAGGCTGGTACTCAAGATCAGCTCCATCCAATGTGTAGGGTAGGGGTCAGCTTGGTTGAGCCAGGGCTTAGAATGACCTGTTGCCTACACAGAGGATGCAGGCTCAGCTGAGTGAGAGGCTGGGAGCCAAAGTCTCCTATTAGGCTGCAGATGGATCAGTGCCAGGCTGGACACTAAGGCAAAGTTTTCAGGCAGTGGCATTTCTCAGACTACACTGGTTGTCCTACTTTGGTAACAGCTATACTTGGTTGTGCCATGAGGACAGGACTGGGACAGGAAAAGACTGATAATTGCCAAGGGGGCCCTGCATCCTGGAACTGGATGGTGTTGGGGTACAAACTAACCTTATGGTATAGGTGGCCTGGAAAACTCACCTCCTACACCTGAGGATAAGATTCAGGTATCCTACCCCACACTGGAGGAAGACTGAGGGTAATGGTGAGGGTTGCCAGCCGGGGCAGACTCAAGATTCTAACCCCTATCTAATCCCTAGCACCTCACTGTGCCAGGATACCCATCAAGTTCACTTGGTGATAGTCTTATTTCTAGCAGTCTTTTGACAGAAGGTGCAAACCACATACCGTACTTCTTGCTTATACTCCCCCAAGGTTCTCCTAAGAGGAAATATCTTTAGGAGTTTTTTTGTCCCTTCCAGTTCCCAGCCTTTCCAACAATGTGGGGTTATACCAACTGCCTAGTTGATTCTGGGGCCCTATCACCCACCTGTCAGTCTCAGGTTCTCCTTCCTCCACTGTATTTCCTGCTTGGGGTACAGAGTCCATGGACCCATCTCCAACTCTGCCCAGCTTAGGACACTTTGGGCATGGACCCAACTGTCCCTGTAGATGGGACCCTAGCACAGGGCCTGGCCTGTGGCTGCACAGAATGTTACTTCTGCAGGCCTAGTTCCTTTTGGGACTCATAGCCACCCAGATGAGGGCCACAGCTTCCTTCCCATATTCACAGAGATGTCCACCAACAGTCATCAGGTTGGAGGCCCAGAACTTCTGTGCCCAATCCCCACTGTCTGCCCACCTGATTCCAGGTCCTACTGCAAGGAGGCTCCACAATGGTGGATTTCTTGCATTGGGTTGGCAGCTGGACCCCTACCCCTCTACTCACCTGCTTCAGAGTGCCTCCTGTCTTTCCCTTCCCCACTTCGTTAATCTTGCGGACAATTCAGCAACACTAGTCAGTGACAGGCACTTCCTTCCCCTCTTGCCACATCCCTCTTGCAGGGCTTCAAGCCCCTCACCTAACTCAGCTGCCTCCACTGCAGCAGCACCCTGTGGTCTGAAGGGAGAAAGCGCCAGGATCCGTCCCTATGCCTGGAACCGCAGGGTCCCCGGGCGAGCTTAACCCCTTCAGTGCTAACACTACTCACTGTGGGAGGCGCGAGGTTCGAGGCCCTCAGAAAGGGGCCTCCCTGTTTCCCGATGCCTCGGCTTCCCCATCCCACCTATTGTGGCCGTGTAGATTTTGGGGCGGGTGCCTTTAAAAAGCCTGATTCTGTGGGTAGCTGTGGCTCAGTATGCTCTGGGTGGGTGGGGGACGACCGACACAGAGAGGGCGTGCGAGGCGCGGTAGGGCCTCCTGGGACACCTGGCGCGGGGTGGGGGACTAGGGGCTGTGGTGCGCGGGGCGGGAGCAGTACTGACATTTCGAAGCAGGCTCTGGGATGCACGCGTCCGGGATCCACTCGGCTCAGGATCTCGCTGTCTCTGCCTGTCTCGACCTCCTCTGCCTGCCTGCGCTAGCCTCCAGCGGCTCGGCGGACTCACTGCAGTCCTGGAGCTGGATCAGCCAGGACAGCCGCCCCACGCAAGCGTCACCGCCCAGGCCCCGCCTGTGGATCTGCGCGTCACAACACTGAGTCAGGGCAGACGCAGTGGCTTCCCTGCCCTGCGGCCCCAGAGCTGAGCCCAGCTTCTTGCAACCTGACGCTGTACAGCCTGCCTCGGGGTCAAGACACTTCTCATCCCGGCAGGGACTCAGCACTGCTGAGGTTCAGTCCCAGCTTCCGCGGGTCACGTGTCAGCTGGGCGCAGGCGGCGTCTCCATCCCGGCAGGCTCTGCCTCGCCTAGGCCCATCTGAGTCGGTTCTGGTGCTGTAGGGTCACGGGGCTCCCCCCTACCTCCGACGCTAGTGCCTCCTGGAAATGGACAGATTAGGTGGGGCTTGGACCCGGCCCCCAAGAACTGCTTATTTTTCCGGCTAACGTCAGACTTGGGTGAAAGAGACAATCGAAAGTTTCTTGTGGATCGCTGAGCCGGCACATTGCAAGCGCTCAGTAAACAGCTCTTTAAGTAAATCACGACTGCTTTATTGGCTGGATTGTGCAGGGCTGGTGCCTGCACTAACTAACGGATTCAGTGGGCTAGTTACAATTAACACACAGTAGGTGTGCAAGGCTTTATCTCTGAACCCCGACAGCTTTGGTTTGAATCTTAGTTTCTTTCTTTTCTTTGTGCAGAAAGTACACATCCTCTCTTTGGGTGCCTCAGTCTTACTAAGAAGAGTGAGTGAATAGCCCATTCAGCAAACTCAGCACAGGGCTTGCTGCAGTTCAAAAACTGTCTCTAAGGGTCAGGGATTTAGCTCAGCAGCATAAGCACCTGCTTGGCAAGTGCAAGGCTGTGAGTTCAATCCCCTGTTCAAAACAAAACAAAACAAAACAAAACAAAAAAAAAACCCTCTGTCTCTAGTGGAACTGTCTATGACACTGCCACATAGACACATATGAATGTGGATCAGTGATGTCTGCCTCTGCTGCTAACTTCTTGTGTGGCTGTCCTGGTCTGTGAGTGCATTTGTGTGCAGGGCACATTTCCATAATGGTGACTGAGTGTACTCCTGACTGTGACCATATCTGTATTTGTGGAAGTCATGGCCAGCCCAGAGTACATTGGATGCTCATGTGTGCAGACTGGTGTGGCTAATCATCATATGTCTGGCTGCTCACATGATGATCCGCGCCAGCCAGGATAGCAATGACATCTGAACTCCACAGCCATCTGTGCCTGATCTTCATGTGACAGGGCACCTTTCAAGGTCAGCGGCTTGCCACCTGGTGTGAACTGGATGGAGAAGCTGGCAAGGCTAAGGATGAGGAGAGCGTCCGGATGGCTGGGGCGGCGGACACAGCGGCCATGGCCAAAGCACAGAGCTTGACTGCAGAGAAGAGCCCCACTGGTCACATTCAGGATGAAGGGCCCCAATGTGGTATCCATATACTCTTTGATGGCCTGGCATGATTCCTGGGTGGGAAGGGGAGTGTTAGGGACACCACAGCCATGCTTGGGCCCACCTAGGGCATTGAGATACTATCATGCTGCCAACCAGGACTTCAGAGGTAAAAAGGTGGCCCTAGGTCGCCTTAGTTGGCTTGATGGCCCTGCACCCCCTTATTTCTGTCATCTGAGCTTACCTTGGAATTTGTGTCCTCTGAGCTCACCCAGAACACCACTCCTGCTGCCCCCTGAGCTGCGCTCTCCCCCAGGGTATGCTCCAGCTCCTCCTGGAAAGGAGATAGTTCAGCTCTGTGAGGCCTCCTTCCCTCCCTGTGGAAAACTGCAACCCCCAGCTGAGCTTGCCCCGGTAACCAGAGGCAAGCCTGCCCACTATACTGTACATGCCACACAGACGAACTAAAATTTTTTTTTTGTCTTTTTCCTTTTTATGGGTACCGGGGATCGAACTCATGACTGCCTACTTGTAAGGCAGGCGCTTATGCCACTGAGCTAAATCCCCAGCCCCGAACTTTTGAACAAGTGCCAAATGATCCCTGCTTAGTGCAGAACTTAGCACAAGGTACATCAATGAATTCGAGAAGGAATGGATGAAATTGCCCCAAGGCTATGTGGCCTCAGTTGTTGGACCTAATGCCTGACAAGGCTGGCTGCTGAGATGGGCAGAATCACAGAAGACTTACCATGGGCAGAAGATGGCTTGTTGACTCGTAGAAGATCTGGGTGTAGGGCAGCACTGGTAGACTGGGGTTCCTGGCAGCCCTGGCCACACGGAATGCCTCAGCCACACGATGCCGCACATACCTCTGGGTCTTCCCTGTGCCCACCAGTGCTGCAGGTATGTAGATACTGGGGTAGAGGGCACGGCTCTGGTTCCACAGCCACCCTAGCTGGTCATTCTCTGTAGGGATGCCTAGTGGACACTGGCCTGTGTAGTTAAGACTTTTAAAGTTATAGTTGTAGCAGTCAGGGAAGCCATAGAAGCCCCAGAGGCCACGAGGACGCAGTGCCTGTCCTAGTTGGAGGGTACCTGCCATCCAGGCCTGTGCAGCCTTCTGGAACTGGTCCTTGGCTACTGTCTTCACCTGACTTTCGGGCCAGTCAGGGTGTTGTGCCTGAATCAGTGCCTGTGAGCGCTGCCTGTAAATATCCTTGGTGTCCCAGTTGAAGGCCCAGCGTGGCCGCCATGCCTCCCAGTCAATGACCACCAGCCCTGAGAAGTCCGGGGCAGGCATGGTAGCCTGGATGTCGTGGAATGCGTAGGCCAGGTGTTCACCCAGGCTGGCATTCTGTGGCAGCCCACCAAACACGGGCTCCCCAGTGGTTGTGTAGTAGGGGTAGGTGCCCAGCTTTGAGCTGTAGAAAATAGTCATGTTAGGGCCGAAAAAGGTCTGCCCAGGGTTGGCTACCACATCAAAGACACTGACATCCACATCCACGCTGTAGTTCTTCAGGCACCGCTGGGTATCTGCATTCCAGACTGTGATGAAGGGTTGGTTGGGTACCACAGGACCCCTGGAGCTTGGGGCCATGTCAAGCAAGGCCATGAAGAGGGTACAAATTCGAAGCAGGTGGACTGTGATGACATGGAGGGGGTCTGGGGAGACCTAGCCAGGGAAGGTACAGTTGAGAGCAGGCTCTGACCCCTGCTTAGTGCAGATGGCCTGAGCCCCTTGCTCAGGAATCTATCCCTGCTGTAGTTTTAGTTAAACATTGACCTGCTGGACTCAAGGAGGGCAGGGGCACCGGGCAGGGAGCACAGCCACTGGAGGTTCTGAGTTGTCTTTGAGACTAGGCCTCCACTGTTTGGCTCCACAAACCTCTTCCTCCCTGAGCTTATCTACCCCACTTTCCCAAAGGTCAGGGCCAGGATATCTGTTCTGGCAAGAGCTGATGGATGAGGGGTGCCTTTCCTGTCTCAGCCACCAGAAATACTGGCAGCTGCTGGAAGAAGGGATGCTTAGTGACCAAGAAGAGGTCAGCCCAGCCCTCCTGTACACCCAACAGTCTGCCCCCCTTATCCCTACAGACCTCTGGACTGAAGGTCCTCATCTTCCAAATTTCCTGCCACAGCGGGTAGGATCCTAGGCAGGTTTTACCCAGATTCAGTCCCCGAGCTACTCCAAAAGATCCTACAGCAACAGCTGATGCTGGAAATTGAGTTTGTGTAAGTGGTCACGTGACTCAAACCAGGGGTGGGCCTCTTGGGGTGGAGGTGGAGTTGGGCCAGAGGGGGCCCCTCCCACTGGGACAGCACTAAAGCAAGGCTTTGTGGTTGCACTGGATCTGGCAGTTGGCCTTGGTAGTGGCAAAGGCAGCTGGTCAGGCAGGTCTGTGGCCCTGAAGTTTGGGTGCCTGAGGATTATAGTCCCGGAAAATGTACTTTCTCCAGGCCAATACAGGGTGATGTTGGCCTGTCCGAGGAACTCTTGCCCTCGAGAACCCCTTCTTCCTTAGATATTTTTTTTCTAGTACTGGGGATTCAGTGAGTGCTGAACTGCATCCCCTTTTTACTTTTTATTTAAGACAGGGTCTCACTAAGTCACGAAATTGTCCAGGCTAGGCTTGAACTGGTTATCTTCATGCCTTAACCCCCTGAGTAGCTGGGACTATAGATGCGTGCCACTGTATTTGATAAAGAGTATTTTTTAAATAAAGATTATTTATTTTATTTTATTTTATTTGTCTTTTTTGAGACAGGGTCTTGTGCCATGCAGTTCAGGCTGGCCTTGAGCTCACTTTGTAGCCCAGGCTGGTCTGGAACTCGAAAGGATCCTCCTGCCTCAGCCTCCCAAGTGCTGGGATTACAGGCATGAGCCACCACACCTGGCGATAAAGAATATTTTAACACACACACACACACACACACACGTATTTCTTTCTTTCTTTCTTTTTTTTTTTTTTTTTGGTCTTTTTCCTTTTTTATCGGTACTGGGAATCGAACCCACACTGTCTGCTTGCAAGGAGGGTGCTTATGCCGCTGAGCTAAATCCCCAGCCCCACACGCATGTATTTTAAAATATGTTTTACAGCCACATACGATGCTGTAGGTCTATCTAATCCTGACATTCTGGAAGGCTGAGGCAGAAGGTTTGAATTACTCAGCCTGGGCAATTTAGCAATTTAATAAGACCCTGTCTGAAAAAATAAAAAGGGCTGGGGATAGAGCTCAGTGTGATGGTCCCAGGTTCAATCTTTAGTACTTAAAAAAACATTTTTACAATGGTGTTGGGCATAGTGGCACACACATCTGTAATCCCAGCATAAGTTCAAAGCCAGCCTGGGCAATTTAATCATTTAGAAACCTATCTCAAAAAATTTAAATAAACCAGGTTTGGTGGTGCATGCTGGTAACCTCAGCACTCTGGAGGCTGAGGAAGGAGGATCACCGAGAGTCTGAGGCCAGCTTGGCTACATAGTGAGTTCAAGGCCAGCCTGAACTGCATAACAAGACCTTGTCTCAGAAAAACAAAGATGAAATATGGGCCAGGGATATAGCTCAGTGCATAGGAGGTGGGTTCATTTCTTTGTACAAAAAAAGAAGAAGAAGGAATCTAAGCGCCTGATCTCATCTGAAGAAGGAGGAGAAGGAAGAAAACCCAGTCTGCATTCGTTATTACATATTAATCATCAATACTTTCATTTTTTTCTCCCAACTAAACGAAAGTTAAAACAATTTTGTGGGCCCCTAGATGTACATCTACCTTGGACCTTGTACATCTTTGCTGACCATGTCCAGCGCTTCCATCCTCCTCGATGTAGAGACCCATCTATCATCACCCTTTGTGTATGTGCTGGGTCAGTGATTGTGTCTTTGTGAAGATCCAGTTGATGACCATCTGTGCAGGTGCTTGGGTCTCATCAAGTGTGAGACTCAGAGCCTGGCTTTGTGCATGCGTGAGGCCTTGAGGTCACGTGACAGATCCCATGTTTGTGTGACCACAGTGTGAGCAAGAGTCTATCAGTGACACATCCTAATTCACTAATTTGCTCACTGACTCAGAAGCTGGTTGTAGAGACCTGCTAAGTGTTTAAGCCCAGGCTTGTCTGCCGGAGAGGGGGAAGCAAGCCCCATGTTCTCGCCCAGGGTGAAAGTGCTGTCGGGACCTACAGCTATGTATCTGGGCCTGAGGTAGTGAACCCTAGGCCCACTGGCTGTTGGAGCAATGACACTGTGTAGGCGATGTCACGGGTGTAAGGGGACATAGATATTTGGGGACGGTAATAGCTGTGGTGGGCCATACATAGGAGGATCGGAGCTTTGCACATCAGGGGCTGACAGTCATATAGGGATTATACCAAATGAGTCTGGGTCACCTATGGGTGTTGGGAGTTACAGGAGTGGGTGAGGTAGCTCACAGTTGCACATAAATCACATCTGAGGGAGGGAGATCATAGGTGTGGGAAGTTGAGCCAGACATGTGGCACATGCCTATAAGCCCAGCATTCAGGAGGCTGAGGCAGGAGGATCACCACAAATTTTAGGCCAACCTGGGTCACAGTGAGACCTTGTCTTGATAAAAAGTGTAGGTTACAGTTGTTAAAGAAGACATCACATTTGCTTCCTTGCCCTCCCTCTGCTAATCTCCATCTCATGACTTTATGTACCAGGGATTGAACGCTCAACCTCATGGTATCCAGGCAAGCACTTATGCCACTAAGCTAAAACCCTGGCCCTGTATTTTTGTTTTTTGAGACAAGGTCGTGCTCTGAAGTTCAGGCTGACTGTGAACTCAGTATATAGCCAAGGCTGGCCTGGTGACCCTAGGCAGTCCTTCTGCCTCAGGCTTCTAAGTGTGAAGATTATTACAGTGTTGTGTTACCATAGCTGCTTTCCCATGGCTTTTTCATTTTTCTTGAGATGGGGTCTTGCTATGTAGCCCAGGCTGGCCTTGAACTCATGGTGATCTGGTGATCCTCCTGCCTCAGCCTCCCAAGTGCTAGGATGAGAAGTGTGTACCTCACGTCCAGCTTCTCTAGCCTGGCCTCTTTCATTACCCTCATGAGCAGCTGCAACCATATCACTTCCCTTCCGTATACACCTGCTTCACCATGGGAATTTCCAGGATTCCTGGTGCTGTCACTCAGCCCTTCCTCTCCGTTTTCTGCCATCACCACGCACAGGTAGGGATGCCTTTACAACTTGCGTTGGTCTGGATTTGAGCAGGCCTGTTCCTCCTCCTGTGCTGTTTTTTTTTTTGACAGGGTCTTGCTAGGTAGTTGAAGCTGGACAACTTACTTGGTAGCTCAGACTGGCATCAAACTCCCAGCAATTCTCCTACCTCAACCTCCTGAGTGCTGAGATTACAGGCATGTGCCACCAAGCCCAGCTCTATGCCACTCCTTTAACCACATCACCTCTTTATCCGCGTGCTTTCCAGGAGCACTCTCTCCTTTTTTTCCATTCTTGATTCTGGCATCTGATGAGGTCTTGGCATCATCTAGCATACACCTCCGTCCATCATTCCAAGGAGCACAGAGGTCTTGTTGGTGTGGTTCCAGACTCATCCCCAGCATGCAGCCCAGCTCTGGCCCAAGCGTGTGGTCTGTATTTACTGAATGGCTGAGACAGTTGCTGCCACCAGGCACTCAGTCCCAGGGTTGCCCCTGGCCTCTACCCACAGCTGATTCCAAACCACACCCTAGTAACCAGAACTCCCAGCTGCAGCTGTGTTCTGACTTCCCCCAGCCTTTGATCATACTTTGTTCTCTGGCATTAAGCTGCCTCCACCCCTTTTTCATTGTAGAAAGCAGTACTGCAGGACACTTCCCCTAGCTCATTCTTCAATGTCATCAGCACTCCCTTCCCTCCCTTTCTTCCTTCCTGTCTGTTTCTTTCCAGCAGTGCTGGGGATTGAACCCAAGGTGCCTTCACACTTTTATCTAGATTCCCAGCTCTTTAAAAATGTTTCAATTATTATTATTATTTTTTGAGACAAGGTCTTGCCATGTAGTTTAGGCTGACCTCAAATTTGCAGGGATCCTCCTGCCTCATCCTCCTGACTACTGAGGCCCATGCCTGACCAAAAAAAGTAATTTTTTAAAAAGAAGGTCTCATTAAGTTGCTCAGTTGTCCATGGCAGGGCCTGAAACTTGTAATCTTGTTGCTTTAGCCTCTCAGAGTGCTTGGATTATAGACCTGTGCCACCATGCCTGACTTTCTGATGCTGGGGATTAAATCTAGGATCTTGTGCAGGCTGGGTACTTACTACTGAATCACACTCAGCCCTTCTGTGGCTTCTTAAATCTGTCTCCCCAGAACCAGTAAATCTCCTGAGGGCTGTTTGGGTGAGTAGTCACTGATACAGGGGCACACCACATGCTAAGGAAGCACTGTACCTTGGAGTTATATCCCCAGCCCCAAAGCTGATCTGAGCTGTTTCTGCCCTTAGGCTCAGGAGGCCTCTTCTCAGGGTCATTATTCATCGCTATAGTGTGACACTGATTGAAACTCAGGATATCCCAACCCCTTGCCAGCCTCCCTCCCTACCAGACCCAAAAAGGGCTGTGGCCCAGATGGGGAAAGATGGCAGGAACCTACCACTCTTGGGGCCAGGGAGTAGAAGAGATGCCTTTGTCAATGGTCACAGCAGGGAACATCAAACAGCCACTTCTTCCTGTTCTCCAGGGTAAAGGAGGGGCTGGCAGACTGAAGCAGCTGTGAGGGCCAATGCGTAACAGCTCTACTTCTCACCAGGCTGGGCCCAACTCCGCGCTCATCAGTACAGAGAAAGTGAGGTCTCTGGGGTTTGGGAGGAGTAGCCCCTGCTCCAAGACAGTTGCAAAGTGGGCAGCTGTAGTGCCCTAGTGCCGGTAAATACATTTTTTCAGGTGAGAAGTTCTCAGCAGAAAGGGTTTCAGAGATCTGAGTTGAACCTTATGGGTGGCCCTGGGATTTTTCTCACATGTCCTGGCTCAGGAGCAGAAGACCAAGCACTGAAACTGTTTTATCTTTAATTTACAAAAGAGACCAGAAAATAATAATAATAATAACAATAACAATAATAATAATAACAACAACAAACTATCCAGGGGCAAGGGAGTAGGGTCAGGCCCTCCCCAGCCCAGCTGTATCCTCTTCCCTTTGGTAGGGAGAGAAAGAGCCTCTCAGGGAATTTCCAAACCTCCCCCTTAGAACAGGGGTCTGGCAGCTGGTGTGGGTATCTTGCTAGGCATCCTGGGGGCTCTGCCCCCTCCAGATTCAAGGTTGTCTTACCCCTACCGGCTCCTTCATGCCCAGGAGAGCCTCTACAGCCCAAGCCAGCTGGCTTGACAGCCATGTGGAGGACCACTACAAGGTCCAGGTAAGGGCTATGGCTCCCACAGCCAGGAGGCTGCTGAGGTAGGACCCGACCCAGCCCCTGCTGGCACCTCCAGCTGCATGCCCATGGTCCTGGCACTGTTCACCACCCCAGCCCAAGTAGCACTGGCAACGAAAGTGTGTCCTCAGGTAGTTGAGGTCAGCCCGGCTGAGCTCTCCCTCAGGTTGTAGCTGGAGTCCATCGGGTACCCTGCCAGGCACTAGGCGGAAGCTGCTGGTGTTGAGGTGCAGGAAGGTATTGGAGGTGGGGTTGCGGCGCACACAGCGTCCATGGCCATGGCACTGGGCCCAGCTACAATACTGGGTGGCCCAGGACACATTGACTACGTAGGGGACCAGCAGATCAGTCAAGTATTTCTGGAGGTACTGGCAGGTCTCCTGGGAACAGAGGCCAGACATAACAGGTCAGTGTCGGCTGCTTTAGCCTAGGGGCCTAGATAAACTGTCCACACTGTGCATGCTTGATAAGCATTCTACCATTAAGCTACACCCCTTGCTCAACTGTGCCATTTTTTTTGGTCTTTTTCCTTTTTTATCGGTACCAGGGATCGAACTCACAACTGCCTGCTTGCAAGGCAACTGTGCCATTATTTATTTATTTTTTTGAGACAGGGTCTCATTATACAGTTCAGGCTGGCATTGAGCTCACTTTGTAGCTCAGGCTGGCCTGGAACTTATAACAATCCTCCTGCCTTCCAAATTACAGGCATGAGCTACCACACCTGGCAGTTTTTGTTTTGTGAGACAGGGTCTTGCTCTGTAGTTCAGGCTGGCATAAACTCACTGTATAGCCCAGGCTGTCCTCAAACTAGTGGCAGTCTTCCTACCTCAACCTCCTAAGTACTGGAATCACAGGCACGCACCACCACACCCACTACACCACACTGTACTTTTTTTTAACAGCATACATTGTGTGTACACACACAACACACACAGGTGTTCCTGAGCCCTCAGTCTCTGTTCCTGCTGAGAAGCAGATGTGGTCAGACTGGAGCCTAGCTGGGCAGGCAGGGAAGGGTGGGACTTGAGAGCTGCTAAGGACAGCATTTCCTCTTTCCGGGGAGAGGACAGGCATGCCCTCCTCTATTGAGATGAGGGACAACACCTTGGGTGAGTGCCTGAAAAAGAAGCCAGACTAGTTTCACACACCTAATGAGTCTGGGAGCACAAGTCCAAATGCTCTCCTTGTCCCTGTAACACTCAATGCAGGCAGGCTGGGTGGGTCTCACTTACCATACTTGAGGTGTCGCCCCAGAGGATGACACCAGCTGCACCGAGGGCTGCACTCTCACCGATGGTAGAAACGAGGTCCATCTGTGTGGGAAGGGGACTGTCACTGGAGAAGACTGGGACCACAGGGTGAAAGAGGAAAGGGTGGACAGGCTTGTTCTGACCTGCTGACCCCCTGCAGCACTATTTGCCTCCAAGGGAAGGCTCAGCCTGTCTTGCTTTCTCCTTAAATGAGCCTATTTCTAACCCATGTTGAGCCTCAATCTCCACATATAAGCCCATGGCATATGGATCTACCAGGAGGGACTCCAAAGTCACAATGCCTGGATCCAAGTCTCTGTGCTGTTCCGGATATACTGGTGCTTTGGGCAAACTTCTTGGCACCTCTGTGCCTCAATTGTATCTACAAAGTGGGGATATTGATGTCACCCTTTCACAAGATTAGAAAGAGGCCAACTGAAGAGAGATGGAGTAGCCAGTAAACTCCATGGATCTGGATAACCCAAATATGCAGTGTTCCCCAGGAAGGAGGAAGGCAGGACCCTGGGAGGCACATACCTCACTAAGTCCTGTGAGCTTGCTGGTATGGGTATAGGTGGGTCGTGTGAAGACGTAGACTGGGAGTGCATGATTGGCATGATGGCTTTGAGCCACACGGAGGGCCTCCTGAACACGGAAGCTGACAAAGTTGCGGCCCTGAGCAGAGGAAGCCAGGGTTTCATCTAGGTAGACAGAGGGAAAAAGGGCTGTGCTCTCGGCCCACAACCAGGCCAGCTGATCATTGCGAGCCACCTCGACGTCAGGGCAGCGGCCTGTGTAGCTCTCCCAGTTCTGCACATAATCATGATTGTAGCAGTCAGGAAAGAGGTAGAAGCCCCAGAGGTGCTGAGGTCTCACTGACTTGACGTAGTGTAGTGTTTTCAGCATGAACTGCCGTGCAGCAAACTCGAATTCATACTGTGCCTCTTTGACTATCTGGTCTTTTGGCCAGTCAGGGTGACGACTGGCCACCAGCTGGCGAGACCACTGGCGATACACATCTTTGTCCTGCCAGTTGCGCACCCATACAGGCCGCCAGTGCTCCCAGTCGATGATGGCCAGCCCTGCAGGCTCCCGAGTGCGAATATAGTGCTCCACAGGTTTCCTCAGCATCCCCAGGTGTTCCTGGAGGCTGCCATTCTGTGGCACACCACCATGTACAGACATCCCGGCTTCATTGAAGTGTGGGTACAGACCTAGCCGGTCGTAATAGAAAATGGTGATACTCTGGTTCACAAAACCTTCATTGGGTGAGGCCTGCACATCGAAAGCCTTCAGGTCCAGTGACACCTTGTGACGTGGGCCACAGTCCTGTGTGGGTACATCCCAGGCTACCACAAAAGGCCGGCCTGTGAAGATGGGTGGCCCTGTGGGCTTCAGTTCCATGGCCCATGCCACTGGCAGCACCAGGGCCAGTGTGACGATGGGGCCTAGGCCTGCCAGCATGCTGGGAACTGCAGGAAATGCAGCACCAGCTCAGGAACTGAAGAAAGGGTAGGAGAAAACGAGTCAGTTTAGAGAATCTTGGAGGTGTCCACTTTAAACCCTTTCATGCTCTAAAAGCCCAGGTGTGTGCGATACTCTGCCCATGCCTGTTCAGACAACACACGGCTCTTATAGGTCTGCAAGACCATGGGCCACTGAATGGCAGGCAAGACACCTGGGGACTCACTACCAGGAGTGCAGGGCTCCTTCCTGAAGCAAGTAACCTATAATTGGGCAAGAATTTGTTACATCTGAGACCCTTTTGGGAACTGACGAATCAGACTATGTACGGAACTGCTGCTGGAGTCACACGTATGCCTGCATACGATTCAGTACATGTTTTCTGAGATTCATAGTTCCGAGCCGCACCCTGTACCCGTGGAGAACCCTTGATCTACAGTAGCAATAGCATTTGGCACAACTCATACAGAAGTTAGGAAGCTGGAAAGAACACGGCTGCAGATCTGGTATCTGTGCTACGCCAGATGGGCAGAGCAGAGCGGTTGCCGGGGTTAGTCTCATGCGCAAACACTTCCCCAGAGTTAGAGAAGGCCAAAGATGACAAAGGGGCAGCCGACCTCCCACGGTGGAGTCAGCAACCTTCTTGCCTCTCCCTTCACTGCCATCCGGAATGCGCGTGTCCGCCTAGCGCCGGGCCGTACTGGGTGGAAAGCACTTGCCCGGCCTTTGTGCAGGACCCCGCCCCCGCTTCGCACGTGGGGCCAGAGCGCTGTTGCTGGGGATTGGGGTCTTAAGCTGTATCTATGGGGGCGCCCCCGGGGATTCCGAGCCCAGCCCCTGGGGAGAGAGCCTCCAGGTTTGGATCGCCTGCCCTCACCTCGAGCGAGACGCCGCCATCCTGGGCCCAGCTAAGCTCATCCCAGCACTTCGCCCAGGAAGGACCCCGACTCGGCGCCTCTGCCGGCTCAACACTCCCCCCACCCGACCTCCGGCCCTTTAAGAATCCAGCCGGGAAGTGGACCTGGGGCTGGGCAGGTGGCTCCACCGGGAAGCTGTGCCCACTTTTCTTGTCTCCAGTGCCACCTTTCGGGCTCAAGGGCCCCCAGGTCCTCTGCCAAAGAAAGTGACCACCTAGCTATGGCCCAGGGCCACTTAGGACGGTGATTTTTGCTGGAGTCTCAGTCTGGTGAGCCACTCGGCTTGAGATCTACCCCTACAGCCTACTGCCGGTGGTATAGTCCTCCCGGCTCTGCGGTGCAGTCAGCCCCTTAAAGGGACAGGATAAGGAACGGGAACGGAGGCAAAGAATGCCATTTCCCGGATCAGCCATAAGGAGGTGCTGTGGTAGCTCAAAACCTTGGCTGGGTGCTCCTGTGGACGTAGGTCTGCTTTTGTGAAGGTAGGCTGCAGTCCTGGGGTCCGTTTGTGCAGACTTCGGGTTTTAGACCTAAAAGGATTAGGGGCCTCCCGGGGCACCAGTGCCCCGCCCCCTCCTAATCCTGGATCCCCCTCCTAGCGTCTGCTGTCTGAAGACCCGCCCCAGTCGGTTGGTAGGAAGGGGCCAGGATCCCAGGCCGTGGTTGTCCTAGCAACTCTGGCTGTGAGTAGCAGCAACCTGGCTGCAAGATGGGGGCAGGGACATTCAACAGCTCCTCGGGAAGTCGGGTGTACCTTTCTCCTCGACCCGCTCAAGGGCTGGCCAATCCCTGGGATCCTCCTGCTCGGCCTCTCGGGACTCCTGGGGATTCCCGCTCGACTGCAAGGAAGATGCCACCCTAGCAAGAAGTTTCTGGCCATACCTCGGAGAAAGGCCACTGAGATCGCGGGGGCTTGCTTTCCATGTCCCGCGCTCTTTTGCTTCTCAAGTTCCCTTGCTGGGAAGCAGGCGTAGAAGCACACCGGGACAAGCCTGGCGTGAGACTTCGCCTCTTAGATCGGCTCATCCGTTTGGGACTAAGCTCACCAGTCTGGGCTCGCCTCTCTGCCCGTCTGCCCGCCTGCCCAGTCTCCGTGTCGGCGCCGGCGAGGAGGGAACGCGCCGCTGGGAGTGCGTCTGCGGCCGGCACAGCCTACTGCTGCGCTTCGCTCACCTGTGTGGGGAGTCCGTCGGCCCAGTAGGTCAGCGGCCTCCGCCTTCCCGTGGTGAACTTCTCCAGCCAGGCTGCTTGCGCCAGCTGCTGCCCGCTGGGTAGCCTGCCGGGGACTTGATAAGCCCCATTCCCTCCCACTCGCTCCCGCCTCCCATCCCAGCCCTTTCTCTTCACTTCCTGCTGCCCCTCCGAGAGGAAAAGGCCTAGAACAGGCGCCGGGAGATCTCCTTGACCTGTTTCCTTTCGGTGTGCCCTGTCGGCTGGCTGTCTTTCCCACCCTTCATTTGAAAAACAATTGTCCCCACCAGCTGTGCCAGGTGATAGGAAGACTTTGGGACTGGGCTCAGGTGTCAGCTTCCCCACGCCCACAATTCCCTTAACACTGGGGAACCTCTTCCCCCTAACCCTCCCTTGGGATTGGGGCCCAGCCTCAAGTCCAGTGGGGTGAGAAGGGGACCCAGGTGGAGGACTTTTGGGGAGTCCAATTACTTGGGAGTGTTCGGGTTGATGGTCTCCTATAGCAAGTGCCAAAGGGAACCACCTTGGCAGGGGGACGGAAGTTTTTTTGGGGGGGAGGGCTTTCAAGAGATGAGTGAAAGCACCCCAAGTGTGATAATACAATGTGCTAATAGGTCTGATTGTGTATGATAGGGATGGGCAGGGCCTGGGAAGGTCTGCAAGGTACTTTCCTGGGGGATTTGAGTCTGATGATGTTCACAGTTAGGGCTGATAACAGCAGGGGTAAGGAGGTGTGTGTTCCTAGGGGAGGGGGAGCTTGTAATGTGGCTCCTCTCAGAGGAGACTGCAGGGGTGTTCCAACAGACATCACCAGAGGTGCAGACAGATCTGCCTACTCTCTCAGTCCCCAGGGATTCTTTGCCTAACAGAAGGCCATGTAGGGGGCTAAGTCAGGTCCTGAGGACTGCAGTCCAGGACATGGTGAGGGAGGATGCACTGTGCTGACTTCACCAGGGCCAGAGGCCTCCAAGGGCAGGACCCCTGGGGGAAAAAAAGGCCACACCAGACTATCCCAGGGCAGGGACACTTCCTCAGCCAGCCAGAGGAAGGAAGTTAAGCCAAGCCCAGCTGGAGAGAGTGAGGAAGCACTGCCCTGACTCCCATTGTTTCCAGCTCTGGGGTCAGCAGGACAGGCCTAGTACAGGGAGTTCCCCCAGGCAGGGATGCACACATACTACGTGTTAGACAGGATGCTGTGTGGCACAGCAGAGCTGAGACCTAAGGTGCACAGGGCAATCTTGCTTCCAGTGTGACAAATTCAAACTTCTTAAAGGCCAAGTGCCCAGACCCAGAAATGTGGGTTCCTGAATTCCTCCCCAAGTTGAGCTGATGGCCAAAAGCTAAGCTTACTGAAAAACCTACCTCTCAACTGGCCAAAGAAGTATATGCAGAGCTGGTGTGGTACACACCTATAATCCTAGCACTTGGGAGGTTGAAGCAGGAGAATCATTATGGGCTTAAGGCTAGCCTAGACTACATAGGGAGTTCAAGGCTAGTGTGAATTACATGGAGAGACCCTGTCTCAAACAAACAAACAAACGTGTAGGCAGAATGTCCATAGTTGGCAGAGAAGTATTGGGGACTGAGCCTTGCTTGTTAGTGGCAGCAGCTTTTTCTAGGGGCCAGGGAGATGAGACAGGGTCTCACCTGCTAGGTAGTCCAAGTGATGGGATTTTTTTTTTTGGTACCAGGGATCAAACTCACCTGCCAGGCAGGTGCTTATGTCACTTAGCTAAATCCCTGGCCGTGAGTGCTGGGATTACAGGTGTACACACCACACCCAGCAGAGCAATAGCTCTGAGCGGCAGGTGAGTTTGGACTGTAGAACCTGGTAGGAGACCAAGGAAATGGTAGCACACGTCTAGCTGTTGTCCATCGAAAGCTGGGCCTTTGAGCACTGTGAGGTTCAGCTATGACTTCACTTGAGGTCAGATGGCAGTACAGGAGGACTACTTAAGAACTATCTGGAGGCCAGGGATATAGTTCAGTGGCACAGTACCTGCCTGGCAAGTGTTAAGTCCCGAGTTCAATTCCTGGTATCAAAACAGACAAAACAACAACAAAAAGCTATCTAGCTGGGTGTGTGATGGCATTTTTTTTTTTTTTTTGTCTCTTTTGTTTTTATTGGTACCAGGGATTGAAATCCTACGACCACACACTTGCAAGGCAGGTGCTTATGCTGCTGAGCTAAATTCCCAGATCCATGTGGTGGCATTTTTAAATACCAGCACTCAGGACGCTTAGAATCACCATGAATTGGAGGCTGACCTAAGCCACACTGTGCATTCAAAGGTAGCCTAAACTACACAGTGAGACCTGTCTGAGACAGAAGTACGCAAACAACAAAAACAGAAGTACTCAAAACAACAAAAACAACTATGTGTCTGGGTATGTAATCCCATACTGGGAGGCTTAGGTAGGAGAATCACAAGTTTGAAACTAGCTTGGGCTATATAAGGAGTTTAAGGCTAGACCGGATTAACAAACAAGACCCTGTGTCAAAAAATTAAAAACAAACAAAACCAAAGAACTGTATGCAGTCACACTCCAGGTCAGTGGGGCCAATCCCTAGCAAACCATCCTAAGAGCTGATTCAAGAGTCCTCACTACACAAAGTAACAGTCAACAGGTGAGTGCACCATTCATCTTGAGGGATTCAGTGATGAGGTTTGCGTGGATATAAAGCCACCTGCTGGGCATGGCTGGGACTGCCACAGGGATGACATCCTTGGTGCTGGAGATGAGGCACTTACCAGACTCTTGAACTCAGGTATATCTGGTGTATCTTGAACCCAGGTGCCCCAGCTATTGACCTAAACACTGGGTACCACAGTTCCGAAGATGCCACTCTCATATATAGGATCTACAAATAATTTTATTGAAACCAAATAACACAACAGTCTTCCTATGCTGGGGATCACCATCCCCAAGCCATTTCCTGCACTAAAAGCACAGAGCTTGCACATAAGAAATTAAAAGTTTCTATCTAGAAGTCAGACTCTGCCCCAACATCATCATGGACTAGACTATGTACAAATCTTCACATTTTTAATACAGTATTCCTTTTGTTTTTGCTGTCCTTTCTGTCCCTATCAAGGGGCCCTAGTACTTTCCCTTGACTGATCCAGAATGGGTGAGGATACTGTAGGGGAAGAGTGGTCGGCTCCTCATAGCACTACTGGCACCAGCCCTGGTATGTTGTTCATTACAAGATAGTAGACCCTCCAAGTGGGGGTGAGGAGTAGCTGGTACAAAGGCAAGGGGGGTTAGAACAGGTGATTTGGGGCAACTCCCCACAGGCACAGACATCTACAACCTGTCCTGACTGGCCTATATCCTCTTAACTGAGAAGAGGGCAATAACTAATTGCACTGAGGAGGAATTAGCCAAGCCCTGGGAAAGGGAGAAGCTACTCATATCAGTCCCCATTCCTATTAACAGCCAGAAAACTGTCCATCTGAAAATGGGACCAAATGCCAGGTAGGTGGGAAGAATCAGGCTGGTGCTATCCCCAGCCTCTGTCCAATACAGGAGGAATCGAGGTAGCAAACGGCTGAAATGCTTTGACTGGGGGATAAAGTAAGTGAGGGAAAGGAAGTTCCTGTTTGAATAAAGCTCCCAAAGCCCAGGGGCTGAAAGAAGGCAGACTCTGCTTGTAAAGTGCTGTAGCTTCTAGCAGGGCTTGGTCCTAGGCAAGCTTGGAACCAAGCAGGCCAGGCGAGAAACCAGGAACCACAGATTCTTGATTGGCATATGCCTGCCATGCTTCTTGTTTTTTTTTTTTTTTTTTCTTTTTCTTTTGGTGGTACCGGGGATTGAACTCACAACCTCCGTCTGCCAGGCAGGCACTTAGGCCACTGAGCTAAATTCCCAGCTTCTGCCATGCTCCTTGTAGTGGTGGCTGGGAAAGCTGTACTGGTAACTCTGCCATTAGCCTTTGCCAGCCACCATCTTGTTTACACAAAAAACAATACCCAGTTTATACTAAGGGACTGCCCTGCTCACAGCTGAAGGTTCTGGGCCAACAGAGTTTATTCAGGGTTGTGGCCCCAGCCTGGGCTCCTCAATGGAAGCCACACCTTGAAGTTTCTTGCTGGGTCAGGGGATGCTTGTATCCGTCACCCACCAGGTTCACACCTCATAGAGGATCACAGGAAAATCCACGTGGATGCGTGGGGGATCCAGCTTCACGATGCCCTGCCATGGAAATAGAGGCTAGTGAGGGTCAGATTAGGGTTTCTGTTCTAGAAAGTGTTCCTGTTCCTACCTGGCCCGACCCTGTAGTCCACATATGGGTCTACCTTTATATACTCAGTGTAGGCCATATAACCACTGCCCAGTGCCTCACCTGAGGAATCAGATTCTTATACACCCGCCTCAGCTTGGCCCGCTTCTGGCCATTCTTGGTGACGATTGTCTCCTCGTAGAACTCATGAGCCAGATCCCCATCCTCATCATAGAACATGGAGCTGTGTAGATAGAGAAGGGAACAGACTGGGCTGGAGCCCCAGGCATAACAAGTATCACAGACCACAGGGAAGTGTGCCCAGTCCCAAGTTGGGATGAACAATCTTGTTGTAAAGAGAGGATAACATGCCTGGAAAATCCTTCAGCTGGGGTTTTGGGTTTATCAGAAGGACATGGAGAAGGGGTAATGCCAGTTTTACTGTCACACTCTCAAGAAGAGAGGCCATATCAAAACACACTGTCCAGGCAACCAAAGCCACTTCTTATTACTGGGTTGTTCTGCAAGAACAGCCATTCCAGTTTAAGCCCTTAAATGAGTGGGGAAGATAGAGGCTTGGGCATTGGTCTCACTCTCAGTAGCAATGTCCAAGCTAAGAAGGGGCATAAAAGAAGGGAGGTTACATGCACCCGTGGATGGTACAGCCAAATCTGCTGGGTCTCTAAACCTCCACCACACTAAGTGGACCTCCCCAGGAGCTGACTTCCGGTCAGGCAATTCTGCCGCTTCCATGTGCACCCTTGTGGCAAGAGGGGATTAAGTCAGTGCTATAGAGGTAGAAAACAACCTGCTGAGGATCTTTTCCCCTTGGCATCACCCTCAACCCTGGTGCCAACCCTGCCTTCCCAGTCACTATTTTCAGAGGTCCAACCTCCACCACTGTAGGGAAGGGGAGAACCCTAAACAAAAGGTCATTCTCGCCTTGAAAGAAATGGGAGAGAGGAGGGTGAAGGTAATAATCCTCAATTTGTAAGCTAAATTATAAGGGATAAAGAAAAACAATCTTGAGCTCTCGTGCAGGCCTTTGCGGTAAGTGCCTGCCCAGGGACAAGCCTCAAGCTCACTGTTCTCCAGGGAGACCTTCAGAACAGCCAGGCTTCTGGAAGCCAAATGTCCGACTTTTCCCACCCCTTGCCCAGATGGGGGCCCCGAAATGTAGGATTCCTTCTGGCTCGCATACAATGGTCCAGAGGCGGAAGCTCCCCGTAGTGCAATGTGCCCGGGCGCCTGCGTCCTCCCCGAGGCATAATTCACGCCCTTACCCGCGCCTTGTGAATACGAAGGGGGGCACCCCTAGGCCTCGAGGCCTCACCAAAGCTTGCTCAGCGCCCGCAGTCTCCGGGACGCCGCCCCCTGCTGCCGAGGTGAAAGGCCAAAGGCCTCGAGCTTTGGAGCCGCTGGCGCCCATGTCAGGGTCGCCAACGCATGGCGACCCAGCGGCCGCTGCGCTCTCACAGTGCAGAGTGTGCCACCATGCCAGAGCCCTGCCTCTGTACGCAGACGGTGCAGCAGCCACAGTCGACGCCTTCTACAGGCTGGGTTGTCTCCACGGAAACCTCACTTCCGCTTCCGCATGGTCTGCACGGTACCCCCTTCTGATTGGTCATTGGAGTTGTCTGTCAAGGAGGCAAGGCCAATGGCTACTCTCAGGTTGGGCATCCCAGCATGCGCAGCGAGACCACAGGTCCTAGCAGGGTAAACGCCTGCCACCCAAAGAAGCTTCCTCACAAGCGGTGGCGGTGTTTTCAGCAGACTAGTTATCCTATAAGGCAGTTCCAAAGTCCCTGATCGCCACAGCTAAGCCGACCTACACAATCTGGTTATCTCAAATCCGCAGTTTAGTGTCCAGGATAGGCCAGAGCGCTCATATGGCTTCAGTGTTTTATGGTTATTGCTACTCAGCCTAAAGAAAATTAAAAGAGCAGGCCAGTGCCCTTTTGCTTTAGTTGTCAAATGGCTTGTAGTTACAATGTCTGTAGAACTTCAAATTGTGTTGCTTCCAAACTTAGAACACATGCTTCAACAGCTCCACCCTTGATGCCATGTTCAGAGTCTGGTCCACAACAGCTGACAGAGCTATGCTATGGCTTCTCAGAGTTTGTTGTGTATTAAGAGAATGATTTCTGTTAAATTTTAGCTGGAAATTATTCTTGCTTTCACTATGACCCAAGCCTCGAGGTGCTCAGTGATGACATACACACATCTCTTTCACATATTGCTCCCATGTCAACCTTGGGAAGGATACAAAGAACCTGTCCATCACCCTTGGCAGTCACTTGCAAAAAAGACAACCACAGCTACCGGCTCATTATAATAGAGTCCAAAACCAGGAGGAAGCTAAGTATGGTGGCACACACCTGTAATTCCAGCACCTGGGAGGCTGAAGCAGGAGGATCGAAAGAGTTTGAGGCCAGCCGGGGCTCCATGAGTGAGTTCAGGCTCAGCCTGTATTACCATAGCAAGACTATCAGAAAAAAACAGAATAACACAAAACAAAACAAAAAGCAGGGAAGAGTCTCAAATCTTTATTCAGACAAATTTTCTCAGACCTCAGGCCCTGATAATGCCACCAACTCCATCCTTTACCCCACAGGAGGCATTCAGTTGAGGCCACAAAACATCACATACAATACATTCATGCATTTCATCAAAAATATCTGAGGGATCCAGGTATGGTGTGATCTCAGCACTTGGGAGTCTGAGGCAGAAGAATCACCACAAGTTCGAGGCCAGCCTGGGCTACACTGGAGTTCAACACTGCACTACAAATCGAGACCTTAACAAACAAATGAGGAAGACCCAGTTTTGATGATAAATGAGGAATAGACTTGGCCTGCTGTCCTCATTCATGAAGACTCTGGTCTGGCCCAGGGACATCTTCCTTGGAGGCATTGAGGCACTATTACTATACTGTGAACCATTCCCTGACCTTAAGAAGGCACTATAAAGAGGAACCCAGACTCTACCCAAATGTCCACCTTATTCTGAACACTCATTCTTGGCTCTGAAAAAGCTTTCCTGACACTTTATCCAAGACCCAGAACACAACCTTTCTCCATAGCTGAGGGCCCTTATCCCTGTAAACATCACTCTGTTGGTTGTAGGTGCTTCGAGATTCTCCTATCTGAGACATGCATTAAGGAGACTTCTATCTCCTCACCTCTGCTGCAAGCCTGGAGCAGCTGCCCATGGCAACCTTAACTGCTGTAACCCAGTGTGTAAGAGGTGGAGGGGTGCAAAGACACGTTCTGCTACATCCATTGGTGGACACGAGGGGTCAGCTCCTTTGCTGTTCTCTGGGCTTGTTCTCCCTATTAGGGGAAGGCCTCCATGTACACTCATTCCTCAGGCCCATGGGCCCTGTCACACTCACACAGCAGGCTCTTGGCACTGCCTGCTCTCCTCCTGCCACCCAGGGATATAAGAGGTCACCCCAGGGGGCAGGCATGCAGGGCCTCTTGGATCTTTTCGCGGCAACGAGAGTACTTCTGCAGGATCTGTCGGAGGTGTTCTTCTTCCTCTCGCTGCAGGATACGCAGAAAGTTGTGTAGTTCTGGCATGGTGAAGGCATTCCACTGCAAGGGGGTAGAAGGAGGTACACAGGATGCAGCAGGCATGGCCAAGCAGGCAGACCGACACCTCCCCTGCCCCCACCAAGAAAACCAGGATATAATGGTCACAAGAACTGGGCTTTCTGCTGTTAAGCTCTTTGTTGAATAGTTGGTGCTAGACTCTTGACAGTAGTCTCTACAGAGAGGGATCATATAAAAACAGTCACCTCACTGAGTCAGATTATACTTATCTTCAAATATGTAGTCTATAATTGAAAGAGACTTTTTTTAAAAAAATAAGACAAGACATGATGGTGCACATCTGTCATCCCAGCACTTGGGAAGCTAAGGCAGGAAGATGGCTGTAAGTTTGAGGGCAGCATGGGCTACAAAGTGAATTTAAGGCCATCCTGAACTGCATAGTGAAACTTTGTCTCGAAAAGATCAAAACAAAACAAAACAAAGCAGGACTAGGGATCAAATCCAGGGGTTCATGCATACTAAGCAAGTATTCTATTACTGAGCTAGACATCCCCTCATCTTTGGTGCTGTGCATGGAACCCTGGGTCTTGTGCTGGGCACACACTTGACCACTGAACTATACCTCCATCCCCCAGGTAAAAAGTCAAAACACTTAAAGAGGAAGCTTCATGGGGCTGAGGATTTAGCTCAGTGGCCTAAGCGCCTCCTTGCAAGTGTGCGGTCATGAGTTCGATCCCCGGTACCGATAAAAAAAAAAAAAGGAAGCTTTATGCTGTCTTGGGCTCCCCATGTCATTAGATGGACTCCTGTATCTCTAGAGAATTTTCTATACCAGGAAAGAGCAAGGTTCTTAGGATAGGCCCTGGGCCTTAGCATGAGTGGCCTAGAAGCCTTTGCTTTAGCTAAGGCCCATATATTCCTGGAGAGGGTTTGCAGGTCTTATCTTCCAGCTCAATTCCCCCTCTAAGTCTTATTGTACCTATAGCCCATTAACTTTATCCACTAACAACCAAGAATATAAAGATGACTATGTACTCACATTTACCTCCCCAGAGTCATTCTCCTTCAGGATGAAACTCAGGGTCTTCTCACTAGGCCCTGCAAGGAGCCGTAGCCGGAGGGGATGCTCATCATCTGACAGTTTCCGGAAGTACACTGAAGGCCAGGAACAGAGAGAGGTATGTCAGAAGCCGGCCCAGCTACCTCAGCCCCTGTGAGCACAGGCATACGTCTACACACCCTCGCACAGGTAGGGGTGCACAGGAAGCTTACCTTGGCCATGACGTTCAGCCCGTTCGAAGAGTGCAAACTTGCGGGGATCATCTACCACCAAGAACTTCCGTAGAAGGGCCTCAATGACCTCACTTGCCCGTGTGCGTGACAGCACGTGGAGGTGCTTGACAGCATCCTTGGGCAGGTAAAAGGAGGTGCGGCGCCTCACGGCTGTGCCTCGCCCCAATCCCTTCCGGGCATCCTGCAAGGAGGGTGGTTTCTTGCTGGAGGGTACTGAGACTGGACGCACTAGCTTCAGTTGAACTTTGATGAAACCTGTGTAGGAGCCATCTTTGTTCTAAAAAGAAATAGAAACCAAACTATGACAGGAGATTCCTGGTGGGAGAGAACAGCCCTGAGTTCTTCTTGTCTACTTGCAGCAAAGGCTGGGTATACGTACACTGCTGCTTGGGCCCACCCAAGAATAACACTTGGCTATGACTCTTTGGGACACAGTCACATGGCTAGGTTCCTGCCCCTCCCCACACCCTCCTCCTGAGCTGTCAACTCACCAGGCTCATGAAGAGATTGCTGTTGATCTGGCCATTATACTCCTTGATCTTCTGTTCAATTTCGGCCTGAGAAAGATCAGGTGTCTCCCACTCCACAGGCTCATCCTAAAAGGCCAGCATAGATACAGAGCCCTTTAAGGAAACCAGGACTTCTCTGAAAAATGGCCCTGGGGCAGCCTTTGATTTCCATCTACCCTGATCTCATCACCACTCCTGAATCTGCATGCTATGGGTAGAAACGAAGCCAGATTCATTGGGCTTCTCTCCACTGCCCGTATAGGGCTATCTCAGTACAAGTTGTGGATCTAATCGTGGCAAAGTATCAGGAGCAACTTAAGACATATGGCTAGGAACTAGGAAAACAAGTAATCTGATTACAAACTCTTAAGAGTCAAATCATATCTCAGGACTTTGTAGTGTAGCTCAGTGGGAGAGTACTTGCCTAGTATGAATGAGGCCTTGGGTTCAGTCCCCAGGCCCCCACAATGAACAAGTGAGTAAGACAACAGTAAAACCATGTCCCAACTGCACAGTTGATTTCAGTACCCAATTTGGTTTAGAGTCAGGGTTTGTCCTGGAGAAGGCATTCCATTTGTCCACTCTATTCTGGCACAGGGCCATGGCCCCCTGCAGGGTAGCAGGTGTGGGGACTGATTTACATCAATAATCCAGTCACCAGTGGGCAGGAGGGGCAGGGCAACCTACAATGTCCACACTCCTTAGTGGGATTCCTGGAGCCAATTCTCCATGTCTCAGGCACAGTAAGGAAAGCACTGTGACATGCCAGTTAACTCTGATCCAACCTGCATCAAAGGTGGCTTTAGGCCAGGCTTCAATCTACCAGAGGTATACAGGCAACTTCCCGGTATAGCCCATCCCATATGTGCCAAACAAGTGGGCTTCTGTACTTTTCCCTTTAGCCCAAAGACTTTAGGTTTACCATTAAAATCTCCATATCCTCTTCTAGGGATTGGATTCTTGCCAGGAGGGTAGAGCTGCCTTGGTTTTGAACTTTTTTTTACCAAACTGATTGGCTGCAAGTACATTAGTCTTACTTCCTGTTGATGTCACAGAGGCCCTATTTGTAATGGGAGTGTCTCAAGCACAGCAGAGATCACCATTAACCAAAGCCTCAGGAAGGGGTGTTTTCACTAAAAGGTCTCCTGTAGAAAGACACTGTGCTTCAAGCTCTGAGCCAAGAACGGTCAGGGAGCTCCCAGACTGCTGCTTTGAAGCTCCCTAATCTGTTTTTATTACTGATGAGTATAAATGGGAAGATAATATAGCACAATAAAGTCCAAGACTTTTGAGCAATCAGTTCTTTACAATCCCCAAGCAAATCAAAAACTAAAACCAACCAGCAAATAAAACAAATGGTATGGGTCCTGAAAAATGAGGAACTTGGGCAGTGGCTGCTGGCTCTACTAAACTTCCCAGACCCATCTCTTTTTCCTAGTGCTCTAGCCTGTATTCTCCCCAAAATGAGGCTAGAGGCTGGAGGGTGGGTGTGTTTGTTCAGGCTGGGATAAAAGAGTGGTCCCGAGAGGAAAGGAATACCCAGATGAGAGGCTTGGGGGCAGAAGGAATACTGAGTAGACTACCGCTCTGCTATGACAAGGAAGAGCAGTGTTTACAGAACAGGAAGGCACTGGGATAGTGCTAATTTATTCCACTTCTTTGTGAGGTCTCTGAGACCAGTCTGGGATGGATAACACTTCCTCTTCCCCTCTGAGTTATCCTGGAGTCCTGAACCTGGACTCAGTGACCTCAGTTCCAGTTCTCCCCTTCTCCAGGTAAAAGGTCCTCAACTGTAATACAATTACTCTCTCTCTCTTTTTTTAATCGGTACCAGGAATCAAATTCAGCACTGTGTGCTTGCAAGGCAGGCGCTTATGCTGCTGAGCTAAATCCCCAGCCCCAATTACTCTCATTTGTAATATAAGGGACTTGAACTAAAGTCACTAAGCTATCCTGTCAGGATTGTAGAAGAGGAAGCAGAATTGTAGAAGTGGAAGTTTTTGTTTCCGAAGCTGCCTAGATTTTAAGTTTTCTTTGAGACGGGGTCTCATTATGTTATTCAGGCTGGCTTCAAACTCAAGGCGATCCTCCAGCTTCAGCCTCCCCAGTGCTGGGATTACAGGTTTGGACTACCATGTCTGGCACTGAATAGTCTAACAATGACCTACCAACGTACAGGACCATGGACTGTGGAATTTTCCTTCTTTGCACAATAGCAACCTGTCCCTCTCCTCTGCTTCAGTTAATTTTGACTGATGGTCTTATTTCACATATGATGGGACTTCTCAGCATCCTTTGCAAGTTGGCTAGTGTCTTGTTGTTTTCCTACCTTTGCACTTGAACTCCGCACTCACTCAGAGCTCAGATTTTGAGGTGCTGAGTACCACCCCTTCTAGAAGGAATTTTGTCAAATTGCATTTAAAGCATCATCCACAACTCTATTTTCTTGGCTTAAATGAGGACTTCAAGTGCCGAGTGCGGCTCTATTAAACTTCCCAGACCTATCTCTGTTTCCTAGTGCTCTAGCCTGTACACTCCCCAGAGGCATTCCAGCTCAGGACAGGGCACCTCCACGGAGATCTCTGCTAATGAAGGGATCTAGTGGACTCTGAGAGGCTCTGCTGCCCTGGCACCTTACTTTACAAATTTAGGTTAGTAATCTGGATCTTCTGGATCTCTTTTCACTGGTCTTCACCCACCTTCTTGTGGGTAGACTGCTTGGGAATGCTTACAGGCCTAAAGGAGGCTTCCTTTCTATCCATTCCCAAATCCTCTTTCCCAAGAGGAGAGAATGCATCCTCTCCATCCCAGCTACTGGTATAAGAGAAAGACCAGCAAGCTCCATCCTGGGGTGCGGGGTGCGAATGGGGTGGGGTGGGATCGTTGCCTCTTCCCTCGGAAACACACTTCTCATTTCCCGGCGAGGATTCCTCCCCCTCCACTTCCTCTGTTCTCCTAGGGCAGGCGTGGGAGCAAGCGCCCAGACGCACAATCAAGATGTTAGCGCGCACAATCAAGATGTTAGCGCGGGCTGTACAGCTGACTTTAGTCAGAGTCATTTAGTCTCCCGTCCACCCTAAGTCACTGAGCAGCTAGCTCTGGTTCAACTGGTCTGTGACAGACAACAGGACCAACATGCTGGAACCGGAGCTTTACCCGAGGGGCGCTCGACACGGGGTTCTGCAGGCTGGCCCCGGAACGCCTCTGGCCGACAGCAACTCACCGGGGAGGGCGGGTCCCGGTGCCCGCCCTGAGCCCGCGGGCACCCCGGCTCCCACCTGGTCTCGGCGAGGCCTGCGGGCCAGTGAGGTGCGCGCTGTGAAGTACTGCTCGAGCTCTGAATCCGAGTCCTCTTGGCTGCAGTAGCCACTGCTGGTCGTGCTGCTCCAGGTCATCTCAAAAGAAGGCGTCTCCGCCTCGCCCATCACCCCGTCAGCCCGATACCCTAGTCCCACCGGTCCCGGGCCCCTGCGTGTGCGCTTGCGTCAGGGCTGGCGCCTCACTGCAACCGTTAAGACTGAAACGTAGACGTCCCGAAATCCAGCTTTGGACTTTTTTGGGGGAGGAACATCGAAGGGCGGGGACATACACACCGCGTCTCCAAAAATGACCTCATCACCCAAGCAGCCCTACTCCAGCTCCGGAGGCAGACCCCGCCCCACTGACGGACCGTGTGGGAGTTTGCGCATGTGCACCAACACAGAGGCGGATAGCGCGAGAAGGCGCGGGAAGTACGCGTGCGCGGAGGCCCCTGAAAGCATCACGCTTGGACTGGCAGCCAAGCACGTGAGGAGTTAACCCCTCTACCCCGGGGAAACCAGCTACGTATTAAGATGCTCACTCAATGAGCGCAGCGTCGGGGCTACCCTTGAACATGGGCTCTCTCGCCTGTCGGTCCGCGCATTACAGCCCCGTCCCAGCGCTCACCACATTTGTGTCGCGTTCCAGCGCGGGGTCCCAGCCCAGGTCCCGGGGCCCGCAGCAGTCCAGGCAGACAAGTGCGCGACAACGGTAGTGGCAGGTGAACTTGCAGTCTGTAGAGAGGGCTGGCCGTGAGGCGGAGAAGCCCCAGCTCCCAACTCGGAAGAGCATCCCGAGGGCAAGAGCTGCATCTCGACTGGCTCTGTGTCACCCACCCTATCTTAGGGCCTGGTCATTGCCCACTGCTACTCTGACTCTAGTGCTCATTTCTAGGCATATCTTAACTGGCTGGAAGGTGGTTAGGGATTGAGGCCGCTGGACTGGTAGCACCAGGCTTACCCCTTCTGCCTTTGATTTGGAGAAATAAGACAAATCTAAATCTATGATTTCCTCTATCAACTGTTCCCTCAGACCAAAACACTGGTTTACAAACACCTGTTTTCCTCTTTACTCCTCTATTCACTCCACTCAGGGCTGCCCTTCCTTCCAGAAAACTACCCACGTCAAGGAACTCTGGGACCCATTCTCCTGTCTTTCTCTGCATCATTTGTGACTCTCAGGCACCACCCTTCAGGTTTTTCTCTCCCTTCTCTACAACTCATACTTTTAGCTCCTTGGCTGGTGCTGCCTCAGCTTCCAGCTCCAGTGTCGATGTTCAGTCCTGATCACTGCCCTGCTATCTACATTCATCTACCCCAGAACCAAAGCTCTAGCATCAACCTGTTATCTTAGATTAGTGCTTTTCCTTGGATATTTGACATTTCAAGTGAATGATCAAAACTTAACTCTTAACTTAGGCCTCATTCTACCCTTTCTAGATTTCTCATCTCAGCGACATATTGCCACTACTCCCCCAGTTGTTTGAGGCAAAAACTCATCTTTGATTCCATCTCTTATCTGTTTTTCATCACAGTGGTCACTTTATTTCTCCTTGAAAACACAGCAGTGTCCCAGTCTGTTTTGTATTCTGTCACAGATTCTGTGCTTCTCCTGTCAATGTGAGCCATACTCTTGTACTGGATGAGATCTCCATGTCTCCATAGGCCTAAGGCTCTTCCCTAAATGGTCCAAAACACTCCTTCATAACCCAGAGCCGCATATTAGAATAATCTGGGGAGTTTTAAAAATTACACCTAGGGTCCAGTTCCAGTAACTGATTCAACAGTTCTGAGATAGGATTCAGGCATAGGGGGCTGGTGGACTGTAAAAGTGACCAGGTGAGGTTTTTAAAACACTGCTGAGCTAAATCCCTGCTCCCCCCCACCCCCCACCTTTTTTCTGACCTGGTGACTCTTTTTTTTTTTTTTTTTTTGTCTTTTTCATTTTTACCGGTACCAGGGATCGAACTCATGACCGCCTGCTTGCAAGGCAGGTGCTTATGCCGCTGAGCTAAATCCCCAGCCCCGACCTGGTGACTCTTGCTGGTTGGTAATCCCCAGGAGGTCAGGAGGACCACTGAGTACATGACTTTTCCTTACTTTAGCATCAGTGGCTTCAGTGGGCTCAAAAATAAATGTTTGTTAAATAGACTCAACAGAATTCCTGCTTGCCCCCTCCCACTTTTCCTAGGCCCCCTACCACAGATGGTTAATTTTCCTTCACCTCCGGAATTTTGGAGGGGACACTGAGTGAACCACTGGCACAGGCAGGCCTGCAAATGTGGACTCTGAGAACAGCAGGTACAAAAGTTTTTTCAAGAAGGGTCATGTCTGGGCTGGGGATTTAGCTCATTGGCATAAGTGCCTGCTTGGCAAGTGCAAGGTTGTGAATTTGACCCCTGGTACAAAAAAAAAAAAAAGTCATGTCAATCATTTTAAAAACAAACTTGGCATCAGCACTTTGTTAGTCACAGGCAACCACTTCTGCTCAACTGTGCCCCACACCAGATAGAATACCAGAAGGCAGAAACCATCTTCCTGAACTCTGTTCCCAGCAAGGTGAGGTAAGGTAACAGACCAGGTCCGCAGGACAGTACCCATCCACCCTTTCCTCCAGGGAGCTGCCCTGCAGTGATGTCACTGTCCCATACCCGCCCATTCCACTCTCCCTGGAGTGCGGGGGCTACTACTTACGAGTGCACTGCAGACCCTTGCGCACGACACCCCAGATGAAGTCGCCACAGAGATCGCACCACGTGTGAGTGGTGGGCCCTGCGGGCTGGAAGTGGTGGCCACGGCCTGGGGCCTGCTGCCGTGCGGGTTTGTGCGTGCTGGCAGGCGCGATGCGCAGCGCGTTGGCACGCTCTAACCGGGTGCGACCCAGCCCTGGGCGCCCAGGTGGTACCAGCTCCCGCAGCTCAATGAGCTCTGGCTCCGTCGACATGGCCCGACCGGGCGGGGTTGTCACCCGCGCTGAGCCCTGGCTAATGCAGGGGGGTGGGTGTGGGCGGGGCCGCAGGGCGGCCTCGATTTGGCGCCGCCCTCAAGGTCCCAATAGGGCGGTAGGAAAGGGCCAGGAGACCTCGAGCAAGGCAGTGAAAACCCTCTGTGAGCCGACTGTATTGGCCCTCGAGTGGGACAGGCCCGGGACACTCTTGAAGGGCCCTTATCCTTTCTTTCCTTTTCTCCTTCAAACCCCCCCTCCCCCAACAACAGCAGCAAAGTATCATACAGAGACGAGAGTTTCTGGGGTTTTGCTTTACTGTGCTAGAGGAAGAGGGTCCCCACATCCGGCCCTTTCCCTCACCTTCCACCCACGCCTCCAGCCCAGGTTTGTTAAAGCTGAGGTCTCCCTGCCCTCAGCCTATCCGTTGGGTGGGACAGGAAGTGGGGTGCCTTCACTGGGTGTGATCAGTGGGGATGGGCCAGTAACTTTACTGGGTCTGCTCTGCTCACAACTAGCAGGCCTGGGGCGTGGCAGAAAACAGACCCAGATCCTGTGATTCAGGAGAACATTCCACATGGGTTGTTTTGGTCAGCCCTTAGCAGCCACTGTTCTCATTTGGCTCTGTCACCTTGGGCTGCCAGGAAGCAAGCCTTTCGATGCTTCTCCCAGTGTTTGACTTGGCATTCCCTGCAGGCAGACAGACCAGGGCTTGTGGGAGATCTGGCAGTGGGGGCTTGGAGTCCAAGGTCTTAGGGTGCCCTCACCTGCAGCAATACCATTCCTTCTGGCATCTGGAGCAGCGCTTGGAGGCCTCTGCATTGCAGTAAGCACAGTGAGGCCTTTCTGGGGCCACTGCTTCTAGTACATCCAGCCTGTAAGTCTCAGACCATCTGAAGAAGGGGTCAAAGGGTGTGACTGGGTCTAGAAAATAGGGGAGCAGAAGTACCCTATCTGCCCCTTCTACCAGCCCTGCAGCATTTACCTTCGTGCCTGCAGCCGAAGGTCCTGCTCAGAGGGGCTGAACACATGCTGAAGCTGGTGCTTGGCAATAGCCTGCCATTTGCCTTTGTTCTCTTGCTCCAGCCGCTGCCAGATTTCTGGGATCTAGAGTAGAGAAATGGTGACAGGCAGGAAAGAGCTGACAAAGTGAACAGTGGTCCTCAGTGACTAATTTAAAAGTGCCTACCTGTTCCAACACCAGGTCCTTCTTAGGAGGCTGGGTTTCAACTAAGGCCAGGTGAGCCAAGAAACCCTTCAAATCTGCCAGGTTGGGAAGCTGGTCCAGGAGTATGTCTGTGAGGAAGGCTTGAAGCTGCAAGGGTGTCCAGGGAAGGTCAATGTGAAACAGGTGTGAAGGCCTGGGATGGGTTCCTGTGGGGCTCATGTCCCACTAGCCCAAGATCCAGACCAAGGACAGGGGAAGAGACAGGGTAGGATGGGGTGGCACAGTGCTGGGGCCATGAGGACAGGAGCAAGGAACTTCTCACCTTGAGTAGCTGTCCCTTAGCAAAGCTTGTGAGGTAATATTGAGATCGGGCTGCAGGGCTTAGTAGCAGGTTATACAAGGCGATCCATACTTGCCCTTCTAACTTGCTCAGCTTCTGTTGCTCTGAGGGGGTCACTGCCTGCCAATGGCCACTCTCAAATTGCTGAAGCTTTCCTGGGAAGAAACACCAGTCCACCAGGCATAGGCCGTGCAATCTCTTTGAGTGGGCCTGCTGTGTGGGATAAGGGATTGCCCACTGCCTGGGCAAGGTGGGAGCACCTGGACCATAGGACTTGCTCAGGCAGTGAAGGTGCTAATCCCAGAGCAGTGTGAGTCCTCAGCATTGGACTCATAGGATTTGTCTGCTGCAGAGCCAAGGCCCAGGCCCACCTTGATATTCTCTGGGATTTGGGGAAAAGGGTTTGCCTGCCAGTGCACAAACTGCCCACTTCCATCAATCTTGAAGGATGGTGGGGCATGGTGGTGCACACTTGTAATCCTAGCACTTGAGAGGCTGAAGCAGGAGGATTGCTGTGAGTCTGAGGCCAGCCTAGGTTACAGAGTGAGACCTTGTCTCAAAAAAAAAAAAAAAAAAAAAAAAAAAAAAAAATCCTAAAGGATGTCTTGGAAGCAGTGGGGCAGGACTTAGGTAGGTGAGGGAAGATCTTACCTCCTTCCTGCCGTCTCCAAGGACTGTGCTCCAACAGTTCTACCAGGAGGCAGGGTAGGTTGTGGGTGCTGAGCATTCGACTCAGAGTGCTCAGGGAAAGGCTAGGGGAGGGATGGCATGGAGGTGAGCACAAGCTTCCAGCTCTCCACTGTGGGCACCAGACCCCGAAGGACTGCCTACCTGTCCACACAGTCTGTGATGTAACGCAGGACTGAGAGAGCCTTCAGGGAGATCTCAAATTCCATTAGCGCTGCCTGGTTCTGCAACTCCTAGCAAGACCACACAAGTGTCCTAGCTGGGCCACTCTCTGCCCACATAGGCCTTGGGAGATCCAAATATGGGGCTTTACCAACCTTAGGAAACCTACCTGCATAGGGGTACTATCCTGGAACTCCTTTTCTTTAGGAGGGCCACCATGGCTAGTTTGGCCTATCAGCAGTGTCAGTTTACGGTGGCAGTAGTCCACCAGGTCTAACAGAGTGTCATCTGCTGATTCACACACCTCCTAGTGGGGCACAGGAGGGAAACCCTCTCTCTCTCTCTCTCTCTCTCATGTCTTCCCCACATGGATGGTACCTGCTAGGCCCTGGCCTCACATAGTGTCTCACCTTATGGAAGAACACTGTCTCTAGGAGGTTGATGATGGAGGCCTCGTGGTGTACCTGCCAGACAAAGAGGAAGGTGGGCATGGCCTGTAGGGAGGGACAGGGGCTACAGCTCCCCAGTCCAGAGCTCTCTAGATAGAGTGAGACGAATTCTGAGCTGGGGGCCCTGCTTACCACCATGTATATGGGGAAGGTGTTCAGAGGCTTGAAGTCCTCCAGCCTGCATAGCACAGGGAACACCTTCAGCTTCCACATCTCCACTGCAATCAGCTCTTCCACCAGTGTTGGGATCTTTCAAAGGTCGGAGAAAGAATAGGGATGACATAGACCTACTTTTTAGCCTCACATCTCTGGCTTAGCTGGACTCAGCTCTTAAACTCCTCTGGGCCTCTAGAGTCTCCTAGACCCTATAAGTACACTTCCCTTCTCTGTCTTTAGATTCCAACTACCCAAGCTTTATTTCCAACTACCCAAACTTCTCTGTGGGGACACCCACCTGGTTCCTGTGATGGGCCACTGTCATCAAGCTGCCTTGCCTTCCTGAGCCTGTACCCTATCCCCTCTTCCTTCATTTAGGTACCCCTTTTAGGCCAGCTCTCTTGTACATGCCCTTCTTCTGTTCTGTCTTGGCCCTTTAAGATTCTTTATTGTGTCCTTAGTTTCACTCTTATTCAGGACCCTTTATAATGTTCTATTCTGTTGAGGACCATTCTGTATAATTGTTGGGGAAAAATCATTTCATAATTAAATTGTGATTAGGCTTGTCCGAGGCCTAGTGCCTTCCATACTGGCTGGCTATGGTATGTGGGAACATAATTCTATGTGCCTCTGGTCACAGCTGAGGCCTCAATTGTCCTGTGATGCTGTGATGCCCCAGGGCAAGATTACATCAGCTGAAGACATTCTTGAGAACCCAGTAGTAATACAAATAGTTTCACTTTGGGGAAAGAACAAACTCCTTAACCTGCCTCTCTCCCCACTGTCCTCATCAACATAAAGATCTTCATCAACATAAGGTCACAAATGCATTCTGACTATAGTATAACACCCAGTAAAGAGTGGCTTGAGTGTGCCTTTGTCCATCCTGAGCCAAGTGACCTCCCAGACTCTCTCATGAATTACAAAATTTTTCTTTCTTATCCTTTCACAGTACCCCTCACTAGGCAGACTGGGGGGCTGTTTGGCTCCCAATACTATTCCCACCCTACCCCTTAGTGGTGGACTTGCAGGGGAACTCTTTTATCAAGTGATATCTTTTTTTCCTTTTTTGGTACTAGGATCAAACTCACGACCTCGAGATTGCCAGGGCAGGCACTTACACCATAAAGCTTAACCCCTGGCCCTATCAAATGATATCTTTTTGGGTTTTTTTGGTACCGGGGATCAAACTTATTACCTTGAGTTTGCCAAGCAGGCACTTACTCAAGTGATGTCTTGAGTCTGCTATTTGTGCCACCTCCTGGCCATTTTCCAGCCAGTCATTTCCCTGTCTCTCCCATGTCAGAAAGGCTGCTTCCTTCTAAGTCGAACTCCCAAATGTACTTCACTGAGAATCTCCTATGGACTTACGAGTCAGTTTAGGATGATTTTAGCACATGGGGCCTTTCTCTATAGCCTAGCCTGTTTCAGATCCATAACTGTCTCTGTAATCAATCCATCCCTTACCACAGACTTGGTGTGCCTGGTTTCTGTTCATAAGGAGTATGCAAGGAGATGTAACACATTACTCTTTCCCCTTTGTGGGGGTGGCAGAGGTGCACTGCCCAGAGAGAACCTGAGGCCCCTGAGGCGTAGGGTGGCTGAGATATAGGAAAGGCAGGAATCCTTGGCATACCTTTCCATAAGTGACCAGCAGCTCCTGGATGCGCTCTCCCTGGCTGGCCGTGGCATCAAGGATGGCTTGCATGTTCAGCTTCTCCATTTTCTCATGTTGCTGGTTCCACCTGCACAGAAGGGTGAGTGCATTTGGGTGCCCATGTGTGCACCAGGGGCGAGGATGGGCGCTGAGTCGTTTTGCAGACTAACCGGAGGGATTAAAGGGGCTCATGGGATATACTCCTAGACCCTGCCGCAGTGTCAAGTCCAAGCCCTCCCACTCAAGGAATTAGAGACTTAGCCAGTCCGAACAATCTCACCCTTCTGAGCCCATCTCCTGAGGCCGGAAGCTGCGCAGTTGCTGCACGAGCGTGTCAGCTTCCCCTGGCAGCAGCAGCTCCAAGTCGCCCATGTCGAGGATCCAGCGGACCTTGGGCAGTGGTCGGGGGAGGGGCACTAACACGCTTTGGGACTGCTGGGTCTGGGACCGGACAGTTGCAGAACTACTGCTGGGCAGTTGGAGCGCGTGGGTCTTGCCGCCATGGAAACGGGAGTTAGCACCTGCGCAGCGTGCCCCACTCTGGCACGCCTACTTAGCTCGCCACGCCCACCCACAATAGACTGCAGCCTTTGGGGAATGTAGGATTTCTGGCTCACAACGCTCGCGGCCCATGCATCTCTCGGCCGTATTCTTGCGGCTTAGATTCTCTCCCCAGACTTCAAGTTGGCTTGCACACGGTTGGGGTAACCTGGTCCCCGCCAGCTACTCCTGCAGCTGTGCCCCTTCCATCCGTTTTTCACATCCCGCTGCACCGGTTGACTCCACTCCTAAGTACTGCTCAAAGCCCACAGTTTTTCTCCTTTCCTAGTTCAACCTGGTCATGGGGTAAGTGTAGCGGTCTTCACTAGACCAGCTTCTGCTCTGGACCTTCCCAGCAGCTCGAAGTCTTAAAGGAGTACATCAGACATTACCCTTGTGCAGGTGGGCGGCTCTGCAGCTATCCGCCTTCTGAACACCAGCTCAGATGCGGTTCACCAGCAGCTTTGCAGGATTACCCCGTGGCCTTTCTTCCTATTTTGGGACTTCGATTTATTTGGTATTGGAGAGTGGACACAGCACCTTCGAAAGTAATTCAGGCTCGCCTCTAAACTCATGGCAATTCTGCCACAACCAGCTATTTTTATTTTACTTTAAGACAGGGTCTCACTAAATTACTAAATTGCTCAGGCTGGGATCTAATTTGAGATCTTCCTGCCTCTGCCTCCCAGAGTGCTGGGATTACAGGAGTACTCCACTATACCCGACTGGGACTTTGATTTTTGAATCTCCTTCATGTTCCAGCCCCATTGGCTTCTCTTGGGTTCTTCTTAAATCCCAAAGTTTTTTTTGTTTTTTCTCTCTCTCTCTTCTCAAAGTAAGAAGTCCTCCAGCCCACCTTTTGACTCAGGGTTTGCACTTGATTCCTCCCTTGGAATACTCTTCCTTCCTCAGGGGTCAGTTTAAATAATTTCTGTGCAGTCTTTCTTGCCCACTTGATCTGGCGAAATCCCTGTTTCCATCTCAATTCATTTTTCATTAGTACATCTGTTTCTAGCTTTTTCAGGTTACAATTAAGGGGCACATTTACTTTCCTATGTCGATTTTTTCCACCAGATGGCGCTCCAGCGCGCCGAGACTGGTCACTATTCTGTCCTGGCTAGGTCATTGGTGGCTGACTCAGAAGCAGTACTCAATAAGGTAGGTAGAAATGGATGACTTTATTTACATAACTGGGGGCCACCCTCCAGAAAATATGTATTAGACTACTTGTCTAGGGCCCATGTACCAGGCAGGACTTGGAGGGAGCAGACACAGTACTCCCCTACTAGCCAGCCTCACTTCCAGCAAATGATGATGTTGGGGTCATTTTCCAGCCGCTCTTCCAGCTCATGATAGCTCATCCCTGGTGGGGTGGGGGTGCCGTAGGTCAGAGGCCTTGGCCTGGTCACTCTCCCTGATGCCTCCCCCTTCCGCCTGCCCTGCCCTCCCTGCCTCCACCTGTCTTGCAGCAGATCTCATCATAGCTGTGACAGCCTGTGTAAAGCCGGGCAGGGTGGCTCTGCTCCTCGTGAGACACCCGCACAGGATATTTCTGCAGTCGTCGTATAAGCTTCTTCATGAGCCCAAACTGGATCAGTTTCCTGGGGTGGGGAACCAGAGAAAAGTGGTGATGCCCCCAGGCCTCCTTCTAGCCAGGTCAACCATTTCCTGTGGTCCCCCTTTCAATTCTGTCTCAGTGGCCAGACTGACCTCATCATCATCTCAAGGAAAGCTGCCTGGGATAGCTGTGCCTAGGATTTTGCTAACTGGCAAGGCCCCTGCTTCCTCTCTGACCTAGGACTCCTCCAGAGAGACAAAGGTTTGCTTGCCCTCAGGCAACACCCTCATGGCTCAGGGAATGCCACTCTGACCGTTCATCAACGTGCTGCAGCTGCTGGGGGTGGCGGCCAATGAGATCTCGTACAGTAGTGCCAGGGCTCAGGCTGCAGTACAGCTGGAACACGTCCCGGAGACTGGCTCTTTTGTGCCCTGTGGGTACCAGGGTCAGCTCACCAGGTGGCCCTCCCCTCCCCAAGGTGGCCTCCCCCACAGCCCAGTACTACCTTGCTTGGTTACGAAGGACAGACACGCTTCCTGCAGGGACTTGTCATCTACCAGGTCCTGGACCTTGGGTGTCGGGCAGTACACATTGGAGTACTAGAAGGCACAGGAGCCTGAATGATAGGTCTGGGCATGGATAGCTGGACCAGTCTGGCCAGTACCCTAGCCCATGATTCATTTATCCATACCCTGGACTCACCTACCTGGAGGATGGACACCAGAGTCACAACACCATAGTACCTACGGGAGAGAGATGCATTCAGCTTCTGAGGACATGTGTCAGCCCATACCTGCAGCCCTCAGGCTCTTTCCTGGCTGGCGTCTATATGTTGGACATGACTGTGGCCCCACTTACAGCAGGTTCTGGATGGCAATGCGCACCAAGTTGAGCTCCACATCTGCCTCAGCTGAGATCTTCTGGATGTGGCGGAAACCATCAATATAGGGCAGTATCTGGACAGGGCAGGGTTGATGGGGGTGAGGCCAGGGCTGTGGCCAGACCAGGTGATGCTACTCAGGGAAGGCTGGCATACCTGTTGTGTGGTGAGGTCCCACTGTGAATTGAAGAAATCCTCCTTGTTCTTGGTAAAGACAGGAACATCATACTCCTGGGCCACAGGAGGGTCTGGTCGCTGCTCAATCACCTTCAGGTGGATGGTGTTGGACTCATCTGCATCGGAACCCCATCCATAGCCTCAGGGCCATCCCACCCAAGAGGCCTTCACTTACCTTCCACACCCACCAGAATTCTTTGAGGCAGGCAGGTGGCTCTGATAATGATCATTCTTTTCTTTCTCTTCTTTTTCTTTTTTTACTAGGGATTGAACTCATGACCTTACTTGCTTGTCAGGCAGGTGCTTATGCTACTGAGCTAAATCCCTGGCCCTGTTCTTTTCTTTTTTTTGTGGTGCTAAGTATTGAAAGCCTTGTACCTACTTAGAAGCACTCCACCACTGAACGATATCCCCAGCCCATTTATTTTATGTTTTGGTTTTTTGAGACAGGATCTTGTTACATAGTTCTGGCCTTGAACTTACTATGTAGCCTACGCCAGCCTTCAGTTTGCAATGATCCTCTTGGGGTTATGGGCATCTACCACCCTGGCCAGTTTTTACTTTATTTTAAAACAAGATCTCACAGGGGCTGAGGATTTAGCTCAGCGGCATAAGTGCCTGCCTTGCAAGCAGGCAGCCGTGAGTTCGATCCCCGGTACCGATTAAAAAAAAAAAAATCTCACTAAGTTTTCCAGGCTGGCCTCAAACTTGCCATCCTCCTGCCTCTGCCTACTGAGTAGCTAGGATTACAGGTGTGTACCACCCATTCTTCCCCTCATTAAGAAACAGATCCATGGGGCTGGGGATTTAGCTCAGCGGCATAAGCACCTGCCTTGCAAGCAGGCAGTCGTGAGTTCGATCCCTGGTACCGATAAAAACGAAAAAGACCAAAAAAAAAAAAAAAAAAAAAAAAAAAAAAAAAAAGAAACAGGTCCAAGGGAAGGAATGTGCCTGAGGGGCAGAGTGGGAGAGTTCTGGTGACTGTTGCCCTTGTCCATCATGCACAGGACTGTGGACATCATCACCTCTGCCCATGGCTGTTTTCTGGTCACCAATGTGTTCCAGAGTCTGTTCTCTCCCAGCAGGTCTGCTCACTTTCTCTTACCACTTTCCTATCCCTCTATTCATCTGCTGTCCTTGTAGAGGCAAGGGCATACCTATGGGTAGGGTACACCGGCCAGAGGCGTTTAGCTCCTCCAGTAAGATGGTCATGATGGGCACCAACTTCTGCTTGCTCTCCTCTGTGGACACGAAGCTGCTCTCTAGCTGGGTAGAGGATGGATAGTGTAGTGGGTATTCCAGGGCCCCTGGTTGGCTGGGTGATTATCTGGGTTCTGAGCTAGGTGTCAGGGTGAAGTTGGGGCTTTTATTGGTGGTGATGGTGGGGTAACCAGGAATCAAACTCAGGACCTCATGCTTGCCAGGCAGGTGCTGCACCACTGAGCTAAACCCTTGGCCCGAGACTGGGGTTTTGGAGCTACAAGAATACTTTCCCCTGGGGGCTGGGGGTTTAGCTCAGCGGCATAAGCACCTGCCTTGCAAGCAGGCGGTCGTGAGTTCGATCCCCGGTACCAATAAAAATGAAAAAGACAAAAAAAAAAAAAAAAAAAAAAAAAAAAAACAAACAAACCAAAAAACCCAAAGAATACTTTCCCCAGCTCTCCCTTTCTGCACACCCACGCCCATCTTGTTACACACCTCCAGTGTGGTCAGGTAGCCAGCCAGCTTTTTAACAATGGGCTCCAGGGCACAGGTCTTGGCCTGGGCATCACATACAAAACCCAGGTTGAAGAGAAGTGCATTGCGGCTGTACTTTTTGTGTTCAATGCACACAGGACAGCCTATCAGCTTCTTTTCCATGGCTGTGCTGCATGGGTGGAACACAGTCAGGACACCTCTAAGGTAGTCCCCTCCTCCCAGGATCCCCCCAACCTCCACCCAGCTAGGGCCTCACACAGTGATAAGCTTGTTCTGAAGCTCTGGCTTGGTGATGATGTACACTTGGACGGTGTCAAACAGCTCCCGGGAGATGAAGTCCTCAGGGACCTGGGGACAAGAGTGGCAAGAGGCTGCTCAGTGGACAGTGGGGTTGGATGGAGCTCACCAGATGGCCCCGCCCCCGCAAGTCCTTTCAGTTTTCTTATCTCCCATTTACACAAGCCTATCACTTCTTTGTATTTTCAAACACATCCTTTGCTCTCACTGGCTTCCCGGTTTTGCATTCGCTGTTACCTCTACGTGAAACATTCTTTTCTACCTCAATCACTATGCTATGAATCATTCAGGTCTCAATCCAGGGATTCTCTTGGGCCACCCACTTTAGTTCCCAAGATCCCTCCCCTGAACTTGATTTTCCGAAAACACTGATTATGTGACGTAGTTTTCACTTCCTTGCTACAAGAGCCCGAGACTTAGGTCTGAGTATCGTTCCCTTTCACGATTATCTGCGAATGCCTACATGCTGCACGAGAATCCACCGCCTCCAGTCAGTCAGATGAATTACCGAAAAGGTCCTCTCCCTGTCCCAGTCCCGTGACCCCTGGCGGCACCTGATAGGTGATCTTGGGTCCCAGCGTGGGGTGGAACTCGCTGAAAAATATGCATTCGATGCGGCAGCTGCTGCCCATAGTGCTAACCGATTCCGGGTCGATAGCTCTTGGTCCTTGGCGTGCAGGGGTCACCACCCCGAGAACATCTGTCAGAGACGGCCCCGAACTTTGGATCACTAAGTGTAGCAGATTTGTGTGCACACACGAGCGAAGCCGTCAGCTCTATGGCGCCTGCGCAACAAGACTTTGAGGCGTGGCTGGGGGCTCGTCCCAGGAAGTCCTGGGTTGGTAGGCGTCGCACCCGGAAGTGGAGCTGCTCAGTGACGTGAAGGAGCGGCGGCTCGTGCGGCAGGGCCCAGAGCACCCAACTCATTTTTTTTTTAAAAGAAAAGCATCGCGTCGGGTCGGCGCTGCAGGTGAGGTGAGCAATCCCTAGATTGGAGATGCGGCATGCCAGCAGCACAAAAGGAGGCAGTGCGCAAAGCGATTCGTGCTGTAACTGATCACGCAACTGGGAACTACAATTCCCGGAGTGCTGTACGCTCTCCCAGGGCGTGCTCCTGAGCCTATGCATTCTGGGATTTGTAGTTTTCCTTGAGCTTGCGCATCCTACTTTAAAAGTGGTATAGGGGTCGATAACCATTTCAGATACAAATAGACACTGACGGGTTGCTGGCCCTCTACTGGCATTTTGTGACTATTCCTGATGCTGGCCTTAGTCTGTTTTTTTCCTACTGTAACTTCTTGGAAGAGGGTGACATTCTTGTCTCTTACCCTTTCTGTAGGGGAGTGACTCTTGCCAATGGTACTGTGCTTTCAGGGTCCAGCTGCTGGCCCAGCTGACCATGGCCCTTTCTGTGGAGACTGAGTCGCACATCTACCGAACTCTGCGCACTGCCTCTGGGGCTGCAGCTCACCTTGTGGCTCTGGGCTTTACCATCTTTGTGGTTGTACTTGCCAGGCCTGGTTCCAGTAAGTAGAACTCATAGCTGACTTCTTGGGGAACAAGGGCAGTATGAAGCTTTGGGCCTGACTTCTGACATGCTAAGAATATTCTGTGCCAGAGAGACAGTGTTCTGGGTGAGGCAGATAGCTGTAGGGGCACTGCCAGCTTGGCCAGGCCCTACAGACTACCTGGTATTTTTCCCTTGTTGTTGTGCTTCATTTGGGAGGTGCTGGAAGAGAGGCAACCAGGAAGGGAAGACGGGTGTGGGGTCAGCCTGTTTTAACAGGAGCGGGCTCAGGTTTTCACAGACTTCTTTAGGTGATGAGCTGCCTGTATTCCTCAGCCTGTAGGGATTGGTATGGCTAGTTTCTGGTTGCCTCAGCCCCACAAATCCTCCTTTTCTCATTTCAGACCTGTTCTCCTGGCACCCTGTACTTATGTCTCTGGCTGTAAGTAGGGGGTCTGCATAGCTTTTAGGGATGGGGGTATGGGTATGGATGGTGGCTCCTACATCTTTATGGAAGAGATGCATGCTCCAACTCCTAGCCCTGGTATATATCCCAGCTTGAATCAGCATAGATGTGTAAGCACAAAATGAGGCTTCTCCCACTTCTAGCCAGGGAGCTGAAAAATTGAATTTGGACATTCCTTCCCTTTTTATCTTAATTTATGGTGCTGCATCTAATTTCCTCTGAAATAGTGCACTCATACAGCCAGTTCTTGCCAAGAAACTGTATCTAGCCCATGGAAGGGCTGGTTCTTGAATCATTTATAACTACCACATCTCAACTTTGTTTGCTGGGTGACACAGCAGAGCAGAGCAGACATTTCAGAATAGCACCTAGGAAGAAGTGTGGTGAGCTAACCAGTGAGAGCAGATGTCCTGTCCAGATGGGGCTGCCCACTCTTGCTGCACCAAATGGAATCTCGTCAGCTGGGGACGGGTGAAAAGGGGATCAGCTCAGGTGCGCTGATAGGTTGAGGGGTTATCTAAGGCCTCGCCTGTTGCTCCCCTAGTGGCATAGCACTCTCATTCACTTCTTCTATCCCTGTCTCCTCAGTTCTCCTTCTTGATGACCGAGGCACTACTGGTGTTCTCTCCCGAGAGCTCACTGCTGCATTTCCTCTCGCGGAAGGGTCGAGCCTGCTGTCACTGGGTGCTACAGCTGCTGGCCCTGCTGAGTGCACTGCTGGGCCTGGGCCTCGTTATCCTTCACAAAGAACAACTTGGCAAGGCCCACTTGGCTACGTGGCATGGGCAGGCAGGGCTGCTAGCTGTGCTGTGGGCAGGACTGCAGTGTGCAGGTGGTGTGGGGCTGCTGTACCCCAAGCTGCTGCCCCGATGGCCCTTGGCAAAGCTCAAACTGTACCATGCCACTTCTGGGCTGGTGGGCTACCTGCTGGGTAGTACCAGCCTCCTGTTGGGCATGTGCTCACTGTGGTTCACTGCCTCTGTTACTGGTGGGGCCTGGTACCTCGCTGTGCTATGCCCTGTTCTCACCAGCTTGGTCGTCATGAACCAGGTGAGCAATGCGTACCTATACCGCAAGAGGATCCAGCCATGAGCTCTTCCCAGCCCAGGGGAAGCTGGGAAGGTTCCTTCTTCAGGATAGGTGCTGGGGTTCGGAGCCTCCTGGACTGTCTTTGCTGATTGGGTGAGGGTACACTTAAGGCCCTGGGGCAGTCACGGATAGGAATCCCATGTGTTGACATTTTTGCTGCTCATGTCAGAGTGTCTCTCTTTTCCTTTTCTCTACATTATCCCAAAAGAGCATGTGGATTATGTGTCTGGATGAAACTGGGGTTGCAAGACTGCCTCCCCAGCAATGCAGTTCATCCAGAAATTACAGAGGAAAAAAAGAAAATAAAAATTATGTGAAAACATTGATGGGAGAAGCAGCCCAGACTTGGGGATGGTTCTCACTAATGCCTTCAGCACAAGAAACAGACAGCTGGGCAAGGTTGGGACCCCTTCTGAGTAGTGGAGTATGTCTCAGCACAGGTCCCTGAGACAGGACTACGGAGTCTCCTATGCCATCTAGGGCTCTAGGAGATCCCAGAGCTATAGCTGTGAGTGGTAAAGCTGTGTGTCCTCTCCATCTCACAGCTCTGCACCGTGCCAGTCTCCAACTGTGGTGGTTGGATGTAGACTAAGAGAAAGGGAACTAGGAATAGGCTGTCTCACTGGTGGCAAGTACAGAGTACTATGTGTTAGAGGTGAAACATGGGCAAGAGCAGCTACTTAGGATATAGAGGCCCTCAACTATTAGATCCTCTGGGACGGGCAGAGGGGATCCTGAACTTGTGACTGGAGAGAGACAGATAATAGTAAGAGTCTGAGGCAATGGCTCTGAGATGGCTGTCTGGCAGCAGGCATATATATATATGGTAGAGGGAAGGGGAGTAGGGGAATGGGCTCCCTACCCAGGTGGAGATGCCATGGAGACAAAGTCCTCGGACCCAAAGTAAAGACCATCTAACTCTGCAGTTGAGCGTGATGAAGGGCTGTTCATGGTGGCCTGAGAGCCCAGGAGTCATACCTCAAAGAACTGCTTTATTGATACTCCAAGGCTGGGCTTGGCTGCCCGCTCAAGTGGTCCTGTAGAAAATACCTGGGAACTGTGGCTTTTCTGGCCCAGAAGCAGTCACGGCTGTAGCCGAGGGAAACAAGACATCCTGACAAACTCTGTCTTCCCAGGGGCGAGCAGGGAGGTGCTGCTTCGCATTGACTCCTGCACTGGTTGGGCCCCCATAATGTTTTTGGCAAATGCAAATCCTTGCCTTGGCTCAGGATTCTTGGCAACCAGTTTCAGATGTGAGGGCTGGTCCAGGAGGTGTGGCACCAATGTCCCTGCAGCCACCTGCTTGGGGCTGCTGGCTGAGGTACAATTTTACCTCAGATGGGGTCTTGGATTGGCTAATGCCTCAGAGGCCCCAGACCTGACCTGTTGGTTGTCTGGAGTTGAACTATGTAGCAAGAGTCCTTGGTAGTGTTGGCGAAACAGCAGAAGGCCCTGCTGTCTTTCCTCAGAGTGGTCATGCCCTGGAGTAGCTGAGAGGCATCACAGGGGCGTGGGAGAGATGTTACACTCAAGGTGGTCTGGAGTTATAGCTTTGGGGGAGCTGCCTCAAAGGTGATGAGACTGGATTCTGGGGCAGCCCCCTTTCCCGGAGGTGTAGGAGCCTGTTCTGAGGGCAAGGTGCTGTCCACCTTGGCTCCAGCTTCCTCTTCATCGTCATCCATGCTGGGCCAGACAGTCTGGTCCTCCACTCTCTTCAGCCGCTCATTCAGGGCCTTCAGGGCCAGTTGCCTAGAGCCAGAGGAGACAGGAAAGACACTGGGTTTGGGCTTGCCACATGCCGTGTACCCTTCACCCATGGCTACCTTGCCCATCATGTAAGTCTTCTCTCCCAGAATCCCATGTTTCCCCTGACCCAAGAGGTCCTGACTTTCCCCCAAGATTGTGTTAGGGCCCACTCTGCCATCAGAATGGGGACTCAAAGGCTGAAGAATTTTCTTTTCATAGCTGGGGCACTCCAGGCCAAAAAGGGAAGCTAGATATCTATCTGCCAGACTGCCCAGTAGGCCAGGCACCTGAATGGTTTTGAGTTTGTTGCTTAAGGGTGGATGGATCTAGTGCTCCAGGGTAGATGGGTAAGATGGCTCCTGCCTAGGCACTAGTGTCACATCCAAGAAGGTTAGTAATGCTTTCCTTCTCCTGGTTAGGGTCATCTCAAACGTTTTGACAAAGGTCTTTAAGAAAAAGTGGCACTTAGCATATCCCTCTGCAGTCAGTGCAGGAAGCAGGCCATTTGGGTCCACTTATACACCCTACCTCTGATACCTTCTTTCCTAGAATACCCAAATTTTCCAATACCTGTGTGAGCACAGGCACTTAGCAGAGCCTGTATAGGAAGAGAAACAGCTCACATGGGTAGGGCCCAAGCCACAGCCTGGTGTTTCCTAGAGGCAGACACTTGAAGGTACCTGCCACTTTGCAGGCAGGTGGGAAAGTCTTCTAGCAGGTATTTCCACATGTTTGGTATGCTGGTCCACCAGAAAGTACAGTGACCACACTGCTAGGTAACACTTCTAACAGTGGTCACTGGACTCCTGATGCCTCATCCTCATTCAGCCACTGAGATGAAGATGGGCTGTGTAGCCTGCTAGGTTCTAGAAGAGAACCAAAATCTCCACCATGCCATAGAATAAGACAGAAGAGACAACAAAGGCACAAACATAGCCCAGCATGCTTTCCCCTACCCCCCAGCCTGGCATATGGCAAGCTGGCACTGGCAGGACAGTCCTTTCCTCTTGCTACCAAGGCTTTCATCCGAGAGATGCTGTTGCCAGTTCTGCCTGAGGTTGGCCAAGGCAGAGAGACAGTGCCATGCTAGTCACTTTCTCACAGGGGTCAAAGGGACAGATGGGAAGTACTGCCTTCCTACTAGAGTGTGGCATGCAGCCAGATACCAAACTAGAGGAGTAACCCCTACTTCCATGTACAGTAACCTACCTCTTATTCCCATCTCACCCCTACCTCCCATTTATTTTATTGGACCTGGGTAGATGTTTTCTGAATAACTGGTTAACCCTAACAATCTAAGACTGCTCACAGAAGGAAGGGCCATCACCACTGGCTTGTTCCCACCAGAACAGCTAAAGGCAGCTCAGTTCCTCCCAAGTCCAACACTCCTGGGCCCATTGCCTCTACTGGATAAGATCAGGATAGACCTCTGTCTTTAGGACTTATCACCCAGAGATCCAAGCTGCAGGGCCCAGAAGTGGACCCCTATAGTAAGCCATGAGTGCTTTTCCACACGGATCACCTGGGCCCTCCAATCCTGAAACTTTCAAGGAAGGGATGTACTCTGCTCTCAGGCTGCACAGCCCCAGGGAAAAGAATGCTCAGGAGTAACTCTTCTGCTGAATTCAACAAACTTCCTGCAAGAGCCTACGGCACAAGTAAGAAAAAGCATGAATATCTGACAAATGCAAATGAAAAAAGCTTGCACCATATTGTCTCAAAAACCTCAATACACCAGGCACGGCGGTGCCTATCTCTATTCCCAGCACTCTGGAGGTTAAGGCAGGAAGACTTTGAGTCTGAGGCTAGCCTGGGCTACAAAGTGAGACCCTGTCTCAAAATAAAACAAAAAACACACCCAAAACAAAACCTCTCAAGCCAGGCATGGTGGCATATGCTTTTAGTCCCAGGCTGAGGCAGAAGGCCTGCCTTGAGTTTGAGGCAACCCTAGGCTAAGACCTTGTCAACCAAAAAAAACCCAAAAAGGAACAATGTTGAGAATGATAGAGTTGGGGACTATGTGGAAACTGTGACCACTCTGAGGAATCCACAGATATGGGAGAGTAAGAGATGAATTAAAAAAGATCTCTTGCCTTGACCAAACTGCATCCAGTGAATAATTCAGTTGGGATTCCTGATGCTGTACATGGCTTGATTTACAGATAATGCAAGGATCTCCATTTTCTGGTGTCGTCAGCATGCTCCTGTAGTGGGATCATGTAGCTAGCCTATGCCTTGGGGTTGGTGACACATATGTGCTGAAGGTGGGGTGGGTAAATATAGGGATCTCCCAAGCTTCCCTAAATCAGTGGCAGAAAGACAGCCTCTGAATTAAGGCTCAGGAAGAGGCATAATCCTGACTTGGAAACTAGGGTGGGCCACATCACCTTTATTCTTTGTGCTACCAGAGATTGAACCCAGGATGAGTGCTCTATCAATGAACTACATCCTTAGCCCTTTTACATTTTAATTTTTTTTTTTTATTATTTGACTTAACTTATTAACTTGTCTTTTCTTTTTTTTTAACTTTAACTTTTTATCGGTACTGGGGATTGAACTCATGACTGCCTGCTTGCAAGGCAGGGGCTTATGCCACTAAGCTAAATCCCCAGCCCCCATTAATTTGTCTTTTTGAAACAGGGTTTCATTATGCAGTTCAGGCTGGCCTTGAACTCACTTTATAGTCCAGGCTGGCCTCGAGCTTGCAGCGATCCACCTGCCTCAGCCTCCTAAGTGCTATATTTTGTTTTTTTTAAGACAGGGTCTTAGTATGTAGTTCAGGCTTGTCTTGAACTATGTAGCCCAGGATGGCATCCAACTTGCTGCTATCTTACTTTAGCCTTCTGAGTGCTGGGATTTCAGGCATGTACCACCATGGCTGACCTTACATTTGAAAAATAAATTAACTGCTTGTAGTGCTGAGGGTTGAACCCACAAGCTTGCACATGTTTTGCGTGCACAGTGCCACTAACCTACATCCCCTTCCTCCACTTTTGAGATAAGGTCCCACCAAGTTGCCCAGGCTGCCCTCAGACTTGTGATCCTTCAGCTCGGCCTCTTAAGTAACTGGGATTACAGGTGTGTGCTACAGTGCCCAGCTCAAACTACCTTTTAAGAGCCCCAGTCATCCTTCCCTGTAGCCTCTTCACCCAACAGAAAGGACCAGCAAATTGTTTCTGGATCCCAGGGCCTAGTGTGTAGGATCTGGAGATTCTGAAAAGGCTGGGAGTAGCAGATTTCCATTAGCCCCTTACACAGCACCAACGGAAATGTAGCGTTTTTTGAGATTTGCTAAGTGGAGTGGTGAGAAAACCGTGTAGCTGAGCCCTGACACCCGCATGCTGTGTCTCAAGACCAAAGCCTAGATCTTCTTTCTTTTTGAACCTGCCCCACAACTATAGGTCACCAGCCTATGTGCAGCAACCACTTGACAGCTGGCATATGATTTAACCAAAACTCTCCTAGCTTGCTAAAATTTTGGAACATTTCACAGTACCTTCGCCGTTCAGCATCTTGAGGGTCTGTGCCTGGGAGGCTGATGGTGATGGAAGACGGGGCTCCTACATCATAGCGCTTTACTGTCTTCTGGCATATCTTTACCTTCACCAGGAGGCTATGCACTAAGTTTGCCAGCAGCCCCACCACTGGCTGCAGGATCTCGGGGAAGAAAGTGGCAAAAGCAAAGTGGTCAGCCATGTCCCCTCGGCCCCGGCTGTGGCGCTGGTAGAAGCGAAGATAAACCCAACTGGAGAGCAGTCCAAAACCGTAAGAAGCCAGTGCCGGGCTCTGGAGCAGCGTGGCCAGTCTCAGCAGTAACAGCAGTGCCAGGAGCAGCATGGGCACTACGCTGATGCGCACCTGAGGCACTCGCAGGACCACACAGTCTCCCATAGTTTGCTTGAGTGCCACCAAGACACCAGCTAGGAATCCCAGAGCACCGTGGATGCGGACAGTGAACAGGTAGACCAGGTTGAAAGAAGCCATGTACGTGAGGAGGTAGGCGAAGGCCCCCAGGAGCCCCACAGCCACATTTACCACTGCGAAGAAAATGAGCAGCTCCAAGGCTCCCCAAAGCGGCTCAAGCAAACGCCCTGCCACCACCACGGTGGCCAAGCTGATGGCCACGTCCCATACGTGCTGCTCCATTAGTCCATGGGTGGCCAGGGTCCAGATCCAGAAGTTGGGCGGAAAGAGGTAGCCTGGGGTGACGGCCAGACAACCCGTGTCCACGGCGAAGGACAGCAGGTAGAGGAACAGGACTGCCGCGCACAGCGCCTTTACTACCACGCTGGCGCTGGCCAAGACTGCCCCCAAGTGTTGGCGGGCACCCGGAAGGGCGCGTTGCATCTTCCCGGCGGGCGGCGGCCTGAGGGAAGACGAGCAGGGGCCAGGGGCCTCCCCGGGGCCTAGTCCCAGTCCAGCCCCGACGGGAGGCCCGGGCGCGGGCTCCTCACCGGCCTATGGCCCTGGTGGAGGTTTGGCTTTCGGGCAGGTCGGGGTATGGTTCCAAAGGGCAGAGCTGGGCCTGCTTTCCCCGCCGCGGCTTAGGGCCCTCGTCTGGCCCTTGAGATAAGGTCCTGGGCGACTCCGGCTTGCCCCGTAGGCCCTGCGCCAGGATGGTTGAACTAGCGTTGATTTCAGGTTTGGGCCTCCTCCATCCACGCCAGAGCCCTTCGAACCACCAAAGGAACCAAGGGACTGGCGCCTTGTTCCAGGTCCGAGTCAAGCCCAGTCAGCTCCAGTTCGTCTTCTGCTTTGGCTTCCCCTCTGCACCTCCTCCCTTCGCTTTTCAGGGGCCGACAAACAGGGGTTTTGCGCATGCGCCCCCGTGAAGTCGGTGGGGGTGCGGATTCCTGCCGAATGCGCGTCTTCCGGCTCCTTGGCATGCCGGGATACGAAATACTTGGTCCACTGCCGAGCGCTAGCCCTAGAGGCTTCTGGGTAGAACTACAAGTCCCAGGAGGCTGTGTGCTCGGGCTACTGGCGTCCCGGTGGAGGAGGGTGTGCTGGGAATTGTAGTTCTCGAGGCCATTTTCGCTAGTTCTTGGAATGTGAGGGAGAGTGAACAGGTTCCGAAAGCCAAAAGATTGACGATGGGATTTGGGAGGCTTACAAAATTTTTTTGGCGGATACTGGGGCTAGAACTCAGGGCCTTACACATTCTAGATAATCACTCTACTAAGCCACATCACCAGCACTACAAGTTTTTAAATTTTACTTTGAAGCAGGGTGTCAGTAATAAATTGCCCAGGCTCGCCTCAAAGTTGTGATTCTGCTGCCTTAGCCTCCCAAAAGCTGGCATTATACGGACATGTGCCACTATGCCTGGTAATGAGTAGCTTTTTTGTATAAACATGTGCCACATTTTTGGTACAAGAATGCCCCATATAATAGCAACGCACTTTCTTGCTAAAAAACTAGTGTTATCTGAAATTCAAAACTGTATTTTATAGAGGTTGAGTATTAGGCATTTCCCTGTGATCAAAGGTTAGGTGTTGCTCTGCAGTCAACCCCTATGGAATTCTATGGAGGAATGAGGAGGGCCCTATCTTGACCGAGGCCTGAAATGCTTTTTTTTTGATAACTGGGACGAAACATAGGTGCACTATACCACTGAACAACATCTTCAACCCTTTATACATTTTATTATTTTACATTTACTTATTTAGAGACAGGGTTTCACTTAGTAACTCAGTTTGGCCTTGACCTCACTACGTAGCCCAGGCTGGCCTCAAACTCGAAATGATCTTCCTGCCTCAGTCTTCCAAGTGCTGGGATTATAGGCATGTGCAACCATGCCTGGCCTCTATATTTTGAGACAAGTTCTTGTTATGTTGCCCAGGTGGGACTTGAACTTTTGACTCTCTTGACTCAGCCTCCCTCAATGCCGGGATTGCAGGAGACCCCTCCATGTCTGGCCCTGGAATGTCCTCTTTCATTTGTTTAGCATCCATGGCCCCCTCCAGCTGGCCATCTTGTGAGACCATTAATGATTATTTACTCTTGTTAGCTGGGTTTTCTTCTCATCTGTATTCTGGAGATACACTTGTACCAATCCCTAAGATTATGGTGAGGATAAGATGGATGGCCATCAGTAATGCAGATTGGGCAGAGTTCCTGGCCGTATGTGTGTTGGAAAAAGTGTTGACAAGTACCCACCAAGAAGCCTCTTCAATAGTGACTACAATTCTCTTGCAATGAAAAAAGCAGACATCACATGAACAAGGGTAAAGGGCCTGACTTGCTAGAGGATTTGCAAAAACTGGGTTTGCCTTTGGCCTCTCTTTGGCTAGAGTAGAGCCCCCACTTGCTTCTGAGTACGCTCAACCCTGGCTTCCTAGGGACAGCAGGATAGGCACCTGAGTACCAGCGGGCACTTGCTTCTTGTGCGAACCCTAAAGTCTGACCAGATGGTGGGGGCCCAGTCTGAAACTGCCTGTTGTCATTGTTTCTTCCAGGGCCTGGGCTTTGCCTTGGTCCTCTGGGAGGCTTATTTTAAAACTTTGTTGAGGCAGTAGCTTTTTTCCGGTGGTTTGTGAGATGAAATGAGACAAAGTAGGTCAAAGTTCTGGGTTGTAGGAGGTACTATAAGAGAATTATGCTTTGTCATTCCTGGAAATCTGGATTGCTCCTAACAGAGCAGAGTGGGACTCTAAGGTCCTGGCCATTTGTCTTTATAGCTAGAGTCCTCCCCCTGAGTCTGACACAGTGGATACAAACTGTTTGAAGTGAAAATATGAACATTATTTAATAACTGATCTTCTGTAATAAACCATTTGAAAATATTTTACAAGGAATCACACACACAATATTTTACAAAGTATCTTGACTTTTTTGTTGCTGTTGTTTTTCTGACTCATCTGTACAAAATAGAACAACAACAACAAAACAAACAAACAAACAAAAAAAAAAACAAAGGGCAGAGAAAAGGAAATGGCCCCCTAACCCCCCAGCCCGAGTGAGGGGCAGCTAGGTCAGGTGGGTGATGTGAAGGATCAGACCCAGCTGGGGGTTGGACAACTACCTGATGGAAATTGTTTTTTTTTAAACTTAAAATATATATTTATTTTTGTTTATGTTTATTTTTATATCTCCATTGAGCACCTGACTACACTACAGTTACACACACGCCCCCACAGAATATAACTGACATCCAGGCTGGGCATACACCATGGATACCCACCCTGGCATCAGCAGTGGGCATGGACCATACATACACACTGAGAAATCGACAAGCAACATGACATTAATTAACGGAGCCATTAATTAATGTATCACTCTCACCCCTCTTCCCAGTCCATCTGAGAACCATGGCTACATCCCCCTGCCCTCAGTCCCCTACTGGACATACCCCATGCTGGGATACCTTTGGGGAAATGACCAGAATGAATGGTGTGGAGAGATGTGGCCAGGCCCAGCCTTGTGTGTACATTTTGTGTGCAAGTGTGTGTTCAACAAGGGAGGAGCAGTTTGGCCTCCTGGGGACAAGGAGTGTGTGAGTGTGTGTGTGTGTGTGTGTGTGTGTGTGTGTGTGTGTGTGTGTATGTGTGTGTGTGTGTGTATGAGTGGGAAGAACACAGGGAACAGGCACAGGCCAATGTGTAAAGGCCAGATTGGGGCAGGATGGCCCAGCCAGGAGAGATCAAGTCACTCCTGGTAAGGCAAAGGGCAATGTCTGGTGGGGGTTCCTCTGCCAAGGAGTGCAGGCAGTGGCATGTGGTCCCTCTGGGGGCCTGACACTAGTGAGAAATGGTTATAATGAGCACCTGGCAAGGTGAGGGGCACTTGGAGGACATTGGTGGCTTGGGGTGGGACAGAGGGCTCCCCTCTGCCCTAGCATTTGGCACTGTTTGACATTCAGCTTTTGCGACAGGAGGACTGGCTGGCTGCAGCTCAGATTTGAGGCAGATGGTGAGTAGGAGATGGAGCGTGCAGATGCCGACCTTCCCACCAACTCCTCACCCCGTGTAAGGCTTTTTGAGCCCCCTCTCCCATAATGCGTGTCTGTGTCTGTCCTCTAGGCTATGGCTAGCTTCTGGTCTCTGGGTTCCAGGTGTGTGTGTGGTTGTGTCTAAACTGATGTCACTGTGCGACTGTCCTGACACCTGTAGGCTGGGGGCGAAGGCTGTAGGCCTGAAAGGGACAGGGATCCATGGGGGGCTGCCCCAGAACTTCTCCCCAACCAGGATTTCAGCTTGGATGCACAGGCCTTATGCTGCCATCTCACCTTCATCCATTATTTCCAGGGAAAACAGGTTTGGGCCTGGGTGGGGCAGAGGGGCGATTGGAGTAGTCCCACAGAGGCACGATGCCTAGGCAGAGGAAACCTCCCAATGGGACGCAGCAGGGAAGGCCTGGTTTGGCACTGATACGTGTGGCTTCCCTGTCCGAGCCCGCTGGAGTCCGGGATCTGGGGACTTTAGTTCAGCAGTGAGATAGGTCCTAGGTGCCAAAGACTGGCGTCCTCCTTTGGGACTCTCCCCTCCCACCCAGCAGAAGTCCTTCACTGAGCAAGGGACGAGGTTCCCAGATGGAGTGTGGGGGTGGGACAGGGGCGGGGCTAGGAGGCCAGGGCGGGGCTAGGGCGGGGCTGGGTCGGGGCGAGACCCTCAGAAGCGGTGGGAGGCGACGCGAGCTTGGACTTGAGGCTGGGGCCGAGGAGGCAAGCCCAGGAGGAGCAGCAGCTGCAGGGAGATCAGGACGCCCAGCGACGGAGGGAAGGAGGCTCCGCGGCCACAGTCTGAGGTATCTTCCTGCGGGGAGAGGAAAGGCGTGAGTCGGCGTAGGAGGGCGGAGGGTGGCGGAATGGCAGGTCCGCGGTCCGCTTCTCGCTCACCGTTGCGTTGTAGTCAAAGCAGATGTGTGGGCCCCTCCGGTAGCGCGGTCTCTGCACCAGCTCACACTGCTCCGGGCCGTCCGCTGGGCATGAGTGGGGAGTCAAGGAGGCAGTGGCACGGGGCGCGGGGGGAGGCTTGAGGGGAGGGCAGGCGGCGGGGGCAGGATACAGTGTGTCTCCTTCTGCAGCAGGCGACCGGCCTCACACTGGCTGCACAGCGGCTTCTCGGCCACCACAAAGAGCAGGTTGGTATTGGTCAGTCTCTGCGCGTGGAACAGCCTGCAGGGCACCGATAGGCGGGGCCTGGGTTAGCTCCGCCCAACTAGCCACACCCCGGGCCCGCCCCCTCCAGCCCCGCCCTGCCCTCCGCCCCATATCTCCCATCTCCTCCCCTCTTCTTGCCAGCACCTGGAGCAGTTTCCGCAGTCAATGATGGCGTTGTAGGAGGCGTTCACCGAGCCGAAGTAGTATTGGGTCTGTTTCATGATGCAGCTGCTCTCGCGTGTCTCTGGGCTCCCTTCAGCCTCCGCAGGGTCTGCGGGGCCCAGAGCGCCTCAGCCCCGCCCACAGACCCTGAGCCCGCCTTCCTTTGGACTGGGCGCGGGGATGCAAAGACCAGCCTCCCTAGGTCTACCTACCCGCCTGGAACCAGCTGTGATAGACGAGGCCGTACAGCAGCTGCTGGAACAAAGACCTGCAGGGCCAAGGACACCGAGTCAACGGAGGCCACGGCGTTATCTCACTTCTTTTTCGAGCCCGCCGGACCAGGCATTGCCTTTTCTGCCTTCCTTCCCCAGAACTCACCAGGCGGCAGCAGAGGTCCACCAGGCCAAGTTAAGGAAGTCTGCAATGGTGGGCTGTAGTAGAGAGAGGGGCATGGGTTGTACTGCTGCCCCTCACCTTAGGTTGCTCCCTGACTCTCTGATGTCAGAGGTGGGGGTCATCTTTGATCAGGTCTCCCAGTCCCCCATCTTCAGGCTTTTTAAAAAAATTTTGGTACTGGGAATCGAACTCGGGACCTTGCATTTGACAGGCAGATGCTATATTCCTGCCCCCCTCCCCTTTTAAAATTTAATCTTTTTTTCAAGTATTTCTTAGGACTCACCACAAAGACACCCCGGGGTGCAGCACCCAGGTTGCCAGTAGGCTGGGGGGCACAGGCTGCCTGATAGTCGTAGGACTCCTTACGGGTGTAGAAGGAGTTGTTGTAGAGTGCCAGCATCAGGTTTGCATCCACCTCACTGAAGAACCTGCCAATCTGGGGATGTCAGGAGGGAGCCCTGGTCACAGGGCTGGCAGAAGCATACCCCCATATCCCTTCCTTCCACCCTGTATGTCCCCCTTCCACCCTCTGCCTTCTGATCCTCACCTGGTCCCACTGATGATTCTGGTTTGATAGTACCAGGAACCCTCCGTCATCAATGAGGACACAGAGTAGGTCCTGAGAGGTGGGGAGGGGGAGGAAAGTGGAGAGGGGGTTGTCCCCAGACCCTCTGCTTCAGGCCCTGGCACACCAGTGGTTCAGTGTGTGCGGAGGCATCCTACATGCTGGTTAGGCTGTAAATCAGGATGGAGCTGCTGAGACCCAAAGGCTGGGGGTGGGCTTGAAGTCACACTTGAGACTAAGACGTCTGGGAGTGGGGGGGGGGCTGGGGAGCTGGGGCCCAGGGCATACGCACCTCATTGTTAACTTCACAGTCCATTTCACAATGGCTGTTGGGACCACACTGCTGGGCAGAGAATGAGGACTGTAAGGCACCTGCCAGTTTTCCTCCCTTGTGTCACCCCTCACATATCAGTTGCCCAGGTTATCTGCACTAGCCTCTGCCTTCTGGAGGTGCTAGAGCTACTCAAGTGAAAGGCTTGGTAGGGGTCCCTGGCAACTCCAGAAAGGACACTGCCAGGCTTACTCATCTCTCTTCTGTTCTCATACCTTTTGAGGCTGGTCCTGGTGGGTACGGTTACTGGCAAGCACCTTGAACTTCTCAGCCCAAGCCTCCAGGTCCAGCTTGACACCCACCACTGTGGGAGACAGGAAAGGGGCATCAGTGCTGCCTGCCTGGGAAGCTCACTGCCTCTCACCCCACCTCTGTCCCAGGCATTCACCTGCTGGCCGCAGTGTGCGCCCACTTAGGCTGAGCTCCACGGCCGTGCTGACGAGGATGCCCACTGCTGTGTTGTTCTCCAGTTCCAGTGGCCTTAACAAGGCTGGGGTGGGGTGGATGACAGTCAGGGATGGTGGCCACACTGACCACTCCAACCTCAGCCCTACCAACCCAGAGCCAACCCTCATCTAAGTACCCAGCACCCAGCACTGTGTTTGGCACAGCCCAGCTCTTGCTTCACATCTGCCCTGGTTTCAGCAGTGCCCTGTTTGAGTGGGGCCTCAGAGAACAGTGCCTATCCTTGACTGGGCAGCCAGGGATGTTGAGGCTTCCCACTTGCTGTTGGGTACCCTACAGACACTCACTGTCCTGATGTAGGGGCTTGAAGATATAACCATGGTTATCCAGGCTGCGGCGGTAGAAGCTGGCATTGAAGGGTTCAGGGTTCTCTGTCCAGTCCTCAGCTGCCCTGGAGCACCCAAGGGAGGCAGAGCTTGGTGGGTAAGGGGTGGTTTATGGGGGACAGTGGTCTCAGCAGTGCAAGGAGATCTCAGGGTAGCCAAATAGGGGCAAGGTTCCAGATAGGACAGGTGTTGGATAGTGGGGTAGGTCACTTACTTGTTGGGGAAGACACGTGTGATGCCACCATCAGTGGCAGCAAACACGGCCAGCAGGCTGTACCTGGGGGCAGCAGGGGGGTGTGGTCATAGGCCTGCCTCCTACCGGACAGGGCCAGGGCCTCTGGGCCCATCCCAGCCTCCTGCCCCTGTAGCCTGGGTAGTGCATACGTGTTGAGATCCTGGTCCCGCCATACACGCTCCACCAACTGCTGTGTGATGCCTGTGTCCAAGATCAGGTTGTGCAGAAGGAAATTGTTGCCTGGAATAGAGAGGAAGGAGTAGAGGGATATCTTCTTGCAGTGACTAAGCTACCCTTCCCCCTACCCCCAAGTCTCCAACAGTAGCTTTGCTTGGGCCTTGGGCCAAGCCCTGGCCTGAGTTTAGCCTGCATATTTCCACACCTTCCCAGTATCCAGGTATCTGCTCCACCCGGTTGCCTGGACATCACCCAAATCCAAACACTCACACTGCTTGGAATCTGGAGTCACTTTCTCCATGAGTTCAATGAAGGTTTTCAGGAACTCGGTGTTGTTGTCTGAGGCATTCAGATCCTTGCAATACTCTCTGGGGTAGGGATGGGGGGGCAAGAAGAGTGGGCTTGGGGAGCTGGACAGGGCAGTGGGGTCAAGGCTTCCCAACAGGCCTTCCTGGCTGCTTGCTGAGAAACCCCCTCCTCAGGAAGAGGCTTGAGTGTTCTTACAGGCTGCAGCTGCTATGTGCCTGCAGGCTGTCAAGTCTGAGCTGGGGCAGGTAGACTGACATGAGAATGGTCTGCTTGCTCCACCTTGATGATTCTCCTGGGCTCGGCCCTGGAGAACCTCCCATCTCCTGCATAGCTGGACCTAGATGGTGTTTCTGGGAGGCCTTAGAAGGTGCTACTTATACGCCCTACAGGATTCCTGTAACCACAAGGTAGGACTGAGTACTAGCAGTGGCTTCTGCGTCTTGTCTTTCTTGGCTGTGAACCTTTGGGAAATTCACTCAAGATCCCTGAGACTCACTTTTTCCATAGTACCAGAGGGTATCAGGACTCAGTATGAATCTGTGAGTCCTCAGGTTGACTGTTGTCCTTTCCTAAAATACTCTTGCCCTGCTGGTGGGCTGGCCAAACCCTCACCTCTTCCAGGTCCTCACTAGGATCGGGCTCTGGGCCCAGAAAACATGTAAAGTGTGGTAGGGCCTGCTGAGGACTCTGCTAAGAAGTCTTGGTGAGCACTCCCTCTACCCTGCTCAATGGAGCTTTCTCTCTTGCCCAATATTTCTGCTACTATGGACCTGTCCACTGGCCTGTGTGCTAGATACTCTGTGGGAATTTTAAACTTGTGCCACTTCTCCAGGCTGTGCTAGGGCTCATAACTTAGATGAACTGCGGCTGAACTCAGCCTCTATCCACTCCCTGGTCCCCAGGGCCTTTATGCAGTGCACACCCTGTGCCTCTGTGTTTGGAGGCCACATCCGACATTCCTAGTGATGCCCTCACAGCTGTATTCCAGATATAACATACATGTGATAGGTACATTCACAACCGTAGGGTACTTCATTCACTCACCCTACATATTTATTGAAATCTCCTGAGCCAAAGATGCAGAGGTGACAGAAACACAGTCTTCTCCCTCAGAGAGGGACTTCAGGGTCATGTGGTTCACATATATTCCCATGGTCACTAATACACAGAGCCCACCCATGTTTATACCCTGTCTTTTTTTTTGTTTTTGTTTTTTGAGACAGAGTCTTGCTATGTAGTCCAGGCTGGCCTTTTACTCACTTTGTAGCCTAGGTTAGCCTTGAACTCACAGTGATCTTCCTGCCTCAGCCTCCCGAGTGCTGGGTTATCAGGCATGTGCTCCTGTGCCCAACTCTGCACTCTGACTCTTACACATATACACGATTCACAAATACATACACACATCTCTAGAGAGAATCAGAAGTCTGTGGGTGCATGCACGCATGTGCATACACACGGAGGTTTGGAGTGTCCAGAGCCCCCATGTGGTGCCTAGAGTATATTTGTCCACTGCACCTACCTGCCCTGATCCAAAACCCAGGACACACAGAGGGCTTCAGCAACCGGGTTCCCTGGCCACCTCAGATGTGGGCCAAAGGTAGGAGTAAGCGCAGGGATGTGTGTGCATGCTGAACATGTGCTCCAGGGATGGTCCAGGCTGGGCTGGCCACAGACCCTGACCCATCATTTGGAGGGTAGCTCCTCAGAGCTCCTGGCTTCCCTCCCTCCCATTTGTCCTCCATTCTCAGTGATCCACCACACCTAGGCTCGGCACTGCTGGCACTGCTGACAGGGGCTCTGGCTGGATCAGCCCCCAGACCCACACAAACACTGACAGACACAGGACAATGATGGGGTGCAGGGAGGGGGATGGGCAGGACACCACAAACCAGCGCAGCAGCTGCCTAGCAAGGGACTCCTTCCTGGTGGCCTGGGAGGGCAGGGAAGGTGAGCAGAGTCCATAGCCCTCCTGTCCCAAGCCTGGTGGGAGATGGGCTGTGGGCCACTGGCCCCTGCTGCCTGGTGCGGCTACATGGCCTGAGTATGTACACAGCCGCACATACCAAGCTATGTATGAGGGGTGTTGGGGGGCGACACCGCACAGGACACAGACACACAGAGCTCCAGGCAGCGGTGCAGGAGGTGGGCCAGGGCGGTTGGGGTAGGGAGGACACCTCAGCAAGGCCACACGCAAGCTACCTGGGAGCAATGAAAACATGTCCTTCAGACTCAAAGCTGCTGGGGAGCAGGAACTCAAAATCTGCAACAGAAATGGGGGGTTATCCGGCGGGGGCTGGGGAGGCAGGAGGCTAGGGGGTCAGAGCTGAGGGGGTTGGAGGGCAAGGAAGAGGGTGGCTTGAGGGACCGGGAGACACCAGCAAAGAGGGAACCCGCCACTTCCACTCTCAGGTTGGAGCCAGAGAAAAGGGACAGGTTAGGGTGGAGGGCCTGTGGAGACTACAGCATCACAGGAGGAGGGCAGTTATAGCCAATATGTTGCCCAGGCCTGGTCCTCTGTCGGCAGTGATCCCTTGGCGTGGCTGTATATGCTTCCATACTGCTGTATAGCACATATACACGGACACACACACACACATATATATACACACACTGCTATATATATGCATGGTCTGGGGGAGGTGCCAGTCTCGCTCTTATTACATCCATAATGGGAAAAAAACCACATGCTGAGCTTCCTTTGCCTCCAAAGAGACTTTGAGGAAGGGAATTGGCTTTTGGCTGTGGATTTTTTATCTTTCTTTGCCGCAGCTATTTGCATTTTGGTAGATCTAGCTTTTGTTCTGTGTCAGGCATCAACATGGCCAAACCGAGGGGTTTCTCATGGGCATAGACAGTCCAACCAGAGACGTGTGGGGAGCTGGAGGTGGATGGCAGTGCATTGTGGGGGGTCTGAGTTTCCTCCCTGGGTGTGGGTGGCATCTGCACACCTGTCCTGGATGGAGAGTGTGAGAAGCAAGTGGGGAAGAAGTGCTGTGTATCCTCCCTTGCTATACAGGTCTGGGCTCAGAACAGCAGGGAAGAATGCTGGGGGTGCTGTGGAGGGGTCTACCAGTTAGGCATTGTGCTGGGTTTATGAGCTGTGCCCATTCGTGAGCACAGGTGCATGAGTGTATGTGTGTGTGCATGTGTGTGTCTTTGGATTGAACTGTGAGTAAAGCTGAGGATGTGACCAAAGGGCTTCACTGTGAACAGGCTATTGCGTCACTGTGGACAGGCCACTGCAGTGATCTGCCTCTGAGATGGGTCCCTCCGTCCTTGGCCTGTCTCACTCTAGGCAGTTCACTGTCTTAATCTATCTTTACTTACATCCCAAACTCTCTATTGTGCAGAGGAGGTTTTTTCCACCCTGTTCTCAGATATTCCCATGATGCACTGCAAGGATCTCGGCAGAGGAACCTTGGAATGTTTTGAGGGGCTGGGCAAGTCACTGGTTGGACTGTTCCTTTCTGATAGGACTATGAGGTAGGGTTTGTACACAAGCCAAAGGGGAAGGGGTGGAGGGTAAGGAAAGGAGGAGGAGGAGAAAGAAAAGGGGGAGAAGGAGGAGGGAAGGAGACTAAGCTAGGATTGCCATGATTACCAGCAACCTGTAGTTCTGGGGTCACTGGATGGGATGTGGAAGTCTAGGAGAAAAAGACAACTCAAACCAGTGAGAGTAGGGTACATCCTCCAACTCCACCCTGGCCAGTGGGAACAGCTGTATCCCTCCTGCTGGAGTAGGCCTGACAGGGTCCCTAGTGGATCTTGAGGGGCCCTTGCCTCCAGGGCAGGAGGGCAACCCCTTATGGCTCTGCATGCCTGGTCTGGCCCAGTTTCCTGTGACAGGGTAGCCCTTTGTGCATTAGTGACAGAGGCCTCTGTGTGCTGTGCCTCCTGCCACCCTCATTGTTCTATGCCTGGGGATTACTGCTCACCATTCTGGGAGTTCTTTAGCTTGGGCAGCTCAGAGTGCCAGACTCCCTTTCTTCAGACCTAGATTGGTTCCCCCCAGGCTCTTCTGCTGGCTTCAGACCACATTCTGTACCTGGCCAGGTCCACAGAACTTGAGTCTGTCTGCATTTGCCTCTCCAGGGGAGCATGTTTTCTACACCTGCTGGTCCTCACCAGCAACAGTGAGTACCATGGGTGGGGCTGGGCCTAGGGTCTCCACAAAGCCTCTTGGGGCAGTAAGAGCAACCAAACCCAGGAGCCTCAGCACCTTGGCCAGTGCCTAGGATGAGGGTTTGGCCTTGCTTATCCCGTGGCCTGGATGCCTGCCCCATGTGACCCTCTGCTCCAGGGTCTTCTGATCCTTTCTGTCTCCCTTCTTAGAAGGCTTCCAGCTTCTGGAGCCACTGCCAGAGATCAGAGGAGAGTGAGCTGTGCCAGAGGGAGCCTCCAAGAGGCACCTCTGAGGGGCGATCTACCTCCTAGCCCTGCATCTTGAGCCCTTCCCTTGCTGGGTAGAAGGGAGTAGAAAGGCACCCAGCCCTGCCCCCACTGTTGAGTTGTCTTAAAGGGATAGAGGAGGTAAAATGTGTGTGTGTGGAGGGGTGGGGTGGGGTGGTGGCACAGGCCTTCCCACAGGGAGAAGGAGTACAAGGCAGGGGCCTAAGCCCTCAGATACTTTGGAGAACACCCTGCAGGCAGGCTCAGGGAAAGGGCCACTGGCTCTAAGGCTCTAAGGTTAGGAATCAGAGGACAGGCATGACTGAGGAGCCAAGGGATGCTGGGAGGGGAGCCCTGGTGGGTAGAGGTGTGGCTGGTCCTGGGCAGGGAGGGGGGCAAGCAGGGGTGTGAGGGCAGGTGGGGTGGGGAGAGGAGGGTGCGCTGGTTCTGAATATACTTGCCCTTCAGTTTGCTGATTGGCACTGGGACAGTCCACCAAGAGAGAAAGCGAGGAAAACAAAAACACAAACACAAAAACAAACGAAAAGGGGGAGGGGAAGGGGAGGGGCACAAACAATATTTTATTCAATGACTGTTTGAATGAAAATATTGTGTCTCATCATCATACCGAAAGGAAACTTCTTGCAAAAAAACGACATGAGAGAGAAAGAGAGAGCGAGAAAACTCAAAGGGGACAAGCCCCAGTTGGCCAGGCAGGTGGGGGGCGCCCGGTGGGGCCGGAGCCCCAGCCTCCCTCCCAGTGACCTTGGGTGGGTGGTGGGCAGGCAGCCTGGGGCAGGCCTGAGACCCAGTCCTCTCCAAGAGGCCCAGGGTGAGCAGGGCATGCAGGGTGAGGCCAGGCAAAGGACAGGAATGGGAGTGGGGGGAGGCAGGGGGGGGCAAGGGGGGCAGAAGAAGGGAGAGAGATGGGGGAGAGAAAGGGAGAGGACAGTATGCAGTGATGAGGAGAGGAATAGAGGGAGGGAAGGAGAGAGAAGGGGCAGGGCAAGGAGAGAGGGGGGCTAAGATTAAAGGGGGGGCTGGGGCAGAGAAAGAAGAAAGTGGGAGAAAGAAATGAAAGAAAGGAAGAGAGAGGAAGAGGAGGTGGAGGTGCAGGGGTGGGGAGAGAAGATGCAGGAAGAAGGAAAAGTGGAGGAGAGGAAAAGGAGGAGAAGAAAAGGAGGAGAGTGTCAGGGCTGTAGGGAAGTCAGAAAGGGAGAGGGGCAGGAGGGGCAGAAAAAGGAGACAAAGGCAGTGAGCTGTGTGAGAAGGGGAGTAGGGGTGAGAGACAGCCACCCTGCAGGTGGCACCACAGTGGGGAGCAGGAGGAGGCAGAGGAGGGGAGAGGAGGGGGTGTCTTCCAAGAGTGTAGCCCCCAGGGGCGTTTAGGCAGGCAGGCTAAGGAGGGAAGAAGACACGGAGTAGGAGAAACCAAAGCAAAAACCTCAACAGAAATCATGAGAAAATGGTCTGGAACCAAATCTGAGAAAAGGCGAGCATGCAGATTTCCACAGACTTTCCAAGGCTGGAGCCCCAGCCTGCGGGTGCCTGGGGCTGGGCAGACCCAGGGGTGGGGGCTGTGAGGCAGGCTCTGCTGCCTGGGGCCGGCCAGGGTGCAGGGGCAGAGGCAGGGTGCAGGGTGCAGGCAGGGGCCGGGCCACTTACACTTGACCTGCAGAATCTGGTCGCTGAGGTTCGCTTGGAGGTAGAAGGTGCTATAGGGTGGGAGCACTAGCCCCAGGCTGTGGAGGAGGATAGAGGGAGCAGTGGTCACTGCTAGGGAGTGGTGGGCTGCATTGCTGCCCCTTCTTCATGGTTGTGGCAGCCTTCCTTCCCTCCCATGGCTGTGGGAAGTTCATGGCTGGGGTGTCAGCACCTTAGAGACAGCAGGGTTCCAGTCCTCTGCTCCCCCAACTCTCTCAGAGGTCTTGAAGAAAATCTCCACCCCACTAGCCACCCCATCCATGTCCCTCAGCACCCCACCTGTCCCACTGCCACCTCCCAAGGGAAGTGCATTGTCAGTGAGTGAGCTGTAGGGTGGGTGCTTCTGGGGAGCGGCTGCAGTCCCTGTGAAAGCCAGCTGAGAGCACCGCATGTGGCTGTGGCAAGGGGCACACACACACCGGTTGACCTACAGGGGACCTGTTCTGAAGCTGCGATGCTGGTAGAAAGCAAGCAGTAAAAGTGCTGTGAAGATATCCTGGGGCTGATGAGAGGCAGAGGCGTGTGAAGAGACTCTGCTGTCCTATCCTCTCATGATGTGCTGTTTGGAGGACTCGGTGTCCCAGGGTGAGCAGTGAGGAGCTGGCTGCTGGTGCCCCATGGGGTGAGTGTCACAGGCCGAGGGTGGGGGGGTGTGAGGAACAGCTGGGCTCAGACTCTGGGGCCACCCTCCATCTCTTGCCCAGCCCCAGCCCACTCACCTGTAGTTGGTACTCCTTATAGGCACCCAGGTGTAGTTCCGAGTCACCTCATCTATGTACCTCTGGGAGAGGAGGCTGTGTCAGGAGCTGGGCCAGCAGGCGGGGCGGGTAGGGTGGGAGGCTGGGCCCCTTGACTCCATGTCTCCCACCCCTGCCTTCTTACCTCATCCAAGGATTTGACCAATGTTCTGATCTGCTTGTGACCCTTGTTGCCATCAATCATGCTCCGCCGGATCTGGAAGGGCGGAGCTGTGACCTCCTCTGCTCTCTGTGTTGCCTCCCAGCCCTCATTTCAGTCTTCCTCTTACCTCTTCCTTGTTCTCATCCTCCAGCTCCGCATCCAGGAAGTCCAGAGTTACAGGCTCCCGGAAGTTGGTGGTCTGGGGGAGGCCAGGCAGGAAGTCAGGTGTTCCCATCTTAAAGGGTTTACCCACCCTCCAGGTCACCCTCTGGCTCACCTGGGGCTTTAGATTGGGGTGCAGCAACACGTAGCCATTCAGATCAATGGCAAACACGTAGCCATTGGCTCCAAGCTGGGGGTACACATTGGAAGCTCAGAGTCCAGAGGGCTGGGCAAGGATTCCCTGGGCTCTGGAAGCTCTTGCTCATTCTGTCTCCAGTCCTGCTGAGGAGGCTATTTGCCTGCATTGGGCCAAGACCTCCCCACATGGCCCACGCCAGCACATGCCACATGGCCCAGGTTGGCAGACTGGGTGCCCCTAAGGACCAGCCCTGCCAAGGCATTCTGCCATCCTGAAGTCCTCAGGGAACTGCCAGCCCGCCCCACCTCTCTGCTTCTATGGGGTCCACAAGGCTAAGTACTGTTGTTCTGCTGCCTCCTTCCCCTACTCACTGCTGCTCTGATTCATGTCTCCAGGAGAGCACAGTGGGAGGAGGAGACTTGTCCAGGTAGAAGGGAAGAGGAATGAGTGGGACCTTGAACTTGGTCCTTACCTCTGAGGCAGTTTTCTCAATGTATATGGAGGCCCAGCCACAGGTACTGCCCTGCCCAGCGTGAAGCATGTAACTCAGGCCCCATCTCCTGCCATCTACAGCCAGGACCCAAGGTCCTAGCCACAGGCCCTGGGACACCACACCACACCCCAGCTCTTCCTTGGCTCATGATTCTGTTTTCCACCTTTGGGTCTTTGCCCAGTGACTTCTCTCTATCTCCAGTACACACCTTCCCCTCTTTTATGTCCAGAATACTCCTGCCTAGGTACATGGACCAAATATGGCTCGCTGCTTCCTATTATATAGCTGTAACTAAGAAATATTTTTCTCCTTATGGTATTGAGGATCAAAGCCAGGGCTTTAACACCTGCTAGTCAAGTGCTCTGCCCTTTTTATTTTGGGACAGGATTTCACTAAGTTACCCAGTCTGGCTTTAAACTTGTCATCATCCTGCCTCAGCCTCCTAAATAGCTGGGATTACAAGTGTGCATCACTGCATCCAGCACTAAGGATGATTTTGTTTCTAAGTGGTTTAAAAAAAAAAAAAGGTAAAGAATTCCATTTCATGGCATGTGAAATGATATGAAATTCAAATGATACTATTCAGAAATAAAACAACAAGCCAGGTGTGGTGGTGCATGCCTGTAATCCCAGCTGTTGGGAGGCTGAAGCAGGAGGATTGTTGCATGCTCCAGACCAGCCTGACCTACAAAGTGAGCTCAAGACCAGCCTGAACTGCATAGTGAGACCTTGTCTCAAAAAGACAAAAAACAAAACAACAACAAAAACTACATAGGGACATAGTCGTGCCCATGTGCTTATGTTTTGTCTGTGGCTGCAATCACAATAGCAAAGTATAAGATAGAAGTTAGGTTGGCAAAATTCACAGCTTGGCCCCTTAGAGGAAGTCTGCCATATCAGCTCCAGGGCAAAGGCCACCTCCCTGGGAAGCCTTCCCTGATTCCTTGAACTCAGAGTCTGCATGGAGGTGCTCCATCAGCCCTTGGCTGACCCTGGTTTGTATTCGCATGGGAGGCAGGGCAGGGTAGGTGTGCAGGTGGACACGCACCGTATAGTTGGGAGTTAGCCTCTTGATGTCGTTCAGAGCCACATCGATGCCCATCACACCCAGGATCAGCTGGTTCTGGGAGAACATGAGTGGGGGAGTGGTGGTTCTGTAATAGGCTCAGTTCCGTAAGAGGGGTCCCCAGCCCAGGCCCCATTCCCAAGACCTCAAGTTGCTCTCATAGGCCCCATCCCTCCTCCATTTCCAGACTTGCAATGGGGGTACCCAACCCTTCCCAGGCATTTCCAACCCTCACCCCGAGAGACCCTCACCTTCTTTTCCCCAGGACCATCTTGCGTCAGGTTGAAAACAGGGAGGGTCCCCGTTACCACCAACCCCAGCCCCTGAAGGAAAAGGAGGAGGATGGCCAGTTCCAGCCTTACACTGAGTGCCCAGAGTGGGAGTTCAGATGGAGGTCATCTTTCTCTTGCCTCTGCTTGGTTAGCCCCAGAAGGGGATATATAAGGGTCTTGACCTGGGGTCACATCCCTGGGGAAGATGATCAGCCCCCGCTTCCTTGCACAGAGGCCTTACCAGTGCATCCTCATACACGTTGGTCCACTGCACTTGCTTGGCCTCCTTGCCTGCCAGCACCATGGGCCTGCCCAACACGTCTAGATACTCCTGAGAAGGGGGTGGCAGGGGTCATTGGTATCCTCTTAACTCTTTTCTGCTTCTCTGTGCTTAGGGATTGTGCCACAGCTACCACCAGAAGGCACTAAACCCATGGCAGCCCAGAGTGACCTGACCAAGGTATAGTAACCAGTGAAGGGCTGGGAGGATCAGGCTGCCCACAGTCTTACCTGTGTGTTGATGCGGATGGCTCCGATGGAAGGAATCTCAAAATAGTAACCTGGGAAGGGAGGGGAGGCAGAGGTGGGCTTGGCTGCCACTGTGGGGCCCATAGCAAGGGGGTCCCACTCCGTGGGGGTGGTTAATGCAGTCCCAATTTGCTTCGTAGGCTCCCTCTCTCTTTGGTATCTCTTCCCCCAAACTCATATTCCTGTGTGCTTCCTGCCATTGCCTTGTGCCTGAAGTCAATGCTATGGAAGATGACCAGGAGTTGGGGGCAACAATGTGTGGAGGAAGGCTGAGGAAAATGACACCATCTCATTCGAGGGCAGTATCAACATTCAGAGTCCACTCAGCAGCCAGGCCCAAGTGCACAGAGAGGGACTGATTGGTTGGCAAACACACAGACAGTCTGGGGGAAGGATGGGCAGTGGATAGACAGTTAGATGGGCAAAAGATGCTCCATCAGATGGTCAAGTTGGACAGCCCACCAGATAGCCCACGGACACCCATGTGCATGGAAAGACTGACTGCCTATGAACAGACAGCTGGCCACATAGATGGACAGTAGGCAGTGGGACCCGGCACCCCTGGCACTAACATTGGAAGGGGTACCTTTGTTGGTGCAGGCCATCCATTGTAGCGGAGTGACATCATAGTTATGCTGACCCACAGAGAAAGTGAACACACGTACCTGTGGGGGTTAAGGTTCCTGTTGTAGCCATTGAGGACTGCTCTCTCTCATCCTGGACCGAGAGCAGGGTGACCCCCACCAGGGATTGGCCTCACCGTCCGATTGGGCCAGTTGTACTTCTCGAAGACATCCTGCACACGGTCCTCACCTCCATCCGTGAACATCATGATCATCTTATTGCAGTTGGCCCGAGTGATGTTGGACTGTGCAGGGGGCCAGTGTGGAGTCAGGTTGCCCTCAGCTTTTACCACTTGGGGGCAGTGTCTCCCTCCCCTGGCAGGCCCGGCCTTCTGGTGCCCACCCCGTGCCCCCAGTAGATGGTGCTATCTGTCTATATTGCCTGTTTGGGGCTAACAAGGGTATCAGTCTTCATTTCCCTGTCACCAAGTCTGGCCCTCGCCCGCCCCTGTCCGCCCAATCATCCACCCGTGGGGCTCACGTTCTGCAGCTGGTCAAAGGCATACTCAAAGCCAGCCTTGTAGCCTGTGGTGCCCTTGGCTACCATGCCCTGCACGGCTTCCTTGAACACCTTCTTGTTACGTACATTGGCCTGTACCAGGTGTGTGAAGCAAGACACAGGCTGTGCCTTCTCGTTGAACTGCAGGGACAGTGAAGTGGTGAGTGGCCTCAGGCTGCCCAGAGTAGGCATCTGGTGCACAGGGCTGTGACAGTCACAGGAACAGGGCAAGTAGGGGTGAACAGTGCCCCACCTGCCTGCCACTTTGGCACTCACCGAGGCCACGTTCACGTAGTCATCATCAGAGAGCGTGTCCAGCATCTCACAGACAGACGTCTTCATCAGCTTCAGTGTCAGGCCACTCACACTGCCACTCCTAAAGAGGTCAGGCAGGGGCTATTGGGGTCCTCAGGTGTCCTCTTGTCCTTCCGCCAAGAGGCTCTAAGCTCGCAGAGTCCAGCCCCAGTCCTGTCCCAGCCCCGCCTGCCAGCATTGCTCACTCACACGTCCACGATGATGACCATGTCCTTAGGCGACGAGGCTCCCTGGATATACCTGCCCAGAAGAAGCTCATGGAGGGCCAGCCCACTAGGACCAGGACTCCCTGGAGGGCCTGTCCTTCCATTACCCAGAGTATCTACTGAGGGTCCACTGCATGGTTCAGGCACTGGGGAGACCATGTGTAATAAAACAGCCCCAACCCGCCATGCAAGTGATCTGTTCCCTTGGCAAGTAACTCCCAAGGGGTGGGTGAGCAGGTGGTCCTCTGACTGAAGGGCTTGTTGTATCCTTTAGCCCAGGTAGATGCCTGAGAGTAGTCTAGCTGCGTATCAGATGGAGCAGGGAAAGCCCTGGGGTACTGCGGGAGGGTTGGGGCAGAGGGTGGGAATCTCTAGTGGTCCAGTGAGTGGGGCTACATCTACTTTGGGAGCACCCCCACTGGTCTGCTCTCTCCTTTCCAAAAGGGTGGTGGTACTGGGTGATGGAAAGGGGCAGCAGCAGCTGGGAGGGCTGCCTGGGTGATGGGATCCATTTTCCAGTGGCAACGATGTGTGAAATGAAAATTGGATAGAGCTGGCTGCACCCTGCTCGGAGGCCTGGATACAGGGAGGGAGGGGAGAGGCACAAGTGAGGAGCTGAGGAGGTGTCCCTGCCTAGCCGCTCTCTGTTCGCTCACCAAGGTCTCCTTCGGACATCATACAGGTCAATCTTCTTGGGGGCTCGCCAGGGGGTGGCTGTGGGAAGAGACACGGTGATGGTACTGGCAGAGAAGGGTCTGACCCAGGCAGACAGGCCTTTCAGGAACGGCCACCCCACTGGTGCCCCCTGTGATGTGTGGCTGGCGGATGAAGCAAGGTGGGATGCTAGATGGACAAGGAACATGGGCTGGCACCTGCCTGGGTAGTAGCGGGTGACTCCCGTGGCACTGCCGAAGACTTGCCACAGCAGCGTGGGGTCCTGCCTGCGGTTCTCGATGAACACATTCTCCAGGGCTTCTGTCCAGTTGAGCTCATTGAGGATGACGGTGGCTGGGTTGGGGGGAGAAGGGAGTTAGCCTGGGGTGGCCTGAGCTGTCCCCTGCCTTACCACCATGATATTCATGCCCTAGCCCCTGTTCAGAAGGCCTGCCTGCTCTCTGTCTGGAGTTTCCCTCCTTTCCTAGCTAGGTTTGCACCACCTTCCCCAAGAAGATTCCTGGTCCTCACCTTCCCAAGCTGTTGAAGAACAGCTCAGCCTACCCCTTGGCTGGGCCCCACATGGGCAAGCACGGGCAGCTATGGCCAGTGCCCCCTGGAGAGGGGCTGCCCAGGTGGCAGGAAGTGTGAGCTGGGCCCCACATCCAACACACTACTGGAGCTTGCGGCTGATCCCGGGGGAACTCACCCACTCAGCATGCACTCCAGGTGGCAGCCACAAGAAAGCAATTAAGGGCCCACTGATGGGGCTGGAATTATTCAGCTATTAAGGTACTTGATAAGCTGGAAGCCACTCAGCTCCATGATTAATCAACTGGGGCCAGGAGCAGGCAGGGGCAGAGGTGGGGGCTGCTGGAGGGGCAGAGGCGGAGCTGGGCTGCTGCTCCAAATAGGCATGTGCCCTTGCGTGTGCATATGCACTCACACATGCACACACACACACACACACATGCACACACACACATGCACATGAGGGGCCCGCCCCCCAAGAGGATACTTGCACCTGACCTCTGTGTTTTCAGTCAGATGTGTGACCCCCTCACTCGCAAACTACCTCCTGGCAACAACCTGACTGCTGTGTGGGCACAGGGGCTCACACCTACATGCCCCTCTGCACCTACAGAAGTCACCAGTGGGGCTTGCTCTCATAAACCTCACCATCTGTTACCCCATCTTTTGCCACCCTATCTGTGGTGACAAATATGTGATTTCCTGGACAGGCCCACTCCTCCCCTCTCAGGACAAGGTTCCATTCAGACAACTGGCCTCCTTTGCTGGCCCTTCAAATGGGCAGACCTGAGTGTGCCCTGTGTGTATGGGGCACATGTTACATATGTGCAGTGTCCCAGCCCTTGACACTCAGAATAAATAGAGTGGGGCACCTGCTCCTGTCAGGCTCACCCCTCCGTAGAGGCCCCTGTTTCCTCCAGTTTCGTCCAGGTGGGGCTGCCAAGATTGATTACCCACACTGTAATCCTGCCCAATACGTGAGAACCAGAGGGGGCCTTGCAAAGACTTTGCTCTTTTCAGAGCAGACAGTTGTGATTTACAACTGCTCAGGGCTCTGCTGAGGCCCAGGGGGCCTGAATGCTGCCCCCTCTGCCGCCTCTTCTGAAGTGAGGGACCCACTGTGTCCTGTGTCCTAACTTCTCTCCCTCTGCCCTGGTCCCCTACTCTGTCCCTGTGGCTCCCTGTGACTGGCTATAATGTGAAAACAGAACACATTTCTTGCATTGGCTCTGCCTATTGAAGACTATGTTATGGTCCTGTTCCTGATTTAGAAACTTAGTGAGCTGAACAATATCTATTTTTCTCTTTAAGAAAAAATAAAGCCAGGCCTCCAATGTTTCCCCGCTGTCATCTGCCCTGTGAGCCTGTGGCCATGCCCACCCATCCCTGGCCTCGGTCTTTCCCGGGGTGGCTATGGCTATGTGTCCTTGGCTCAGCTCAGAAGCCACCCAAGACCCTTGCTCTGGCTTGGGTATCTTTGTGGGTGTCTGTTACCACATGTACACACGTGTAAATGCCCTTTCACCAGGCACACACCCACACTGGCGCACACAACCTCCGATCACAAAGATTTGGGAAGCGGGGACCATGCCCCCTCAGGCAGGCGATTACAGATTTAATTAAAAGTGACACAGTAAATAAAAAACATATAAAATGTAATTTGTGTGGGTAGTGAGGGGTGACTGGGGAGAGTGGTGTGGCTCCTGTTTTAATTAGTGTGCCTGTCTGTGATAGTGCCCCTTGACTGGCTCGGGCAGGTGGGCTGAGGGCAGCCTGTGGGGGGCAAGGAGGAGCGTCCTTCCTTATGCCCCATGGTGGTACTCAGAAGGCCTATCTGACCTGGGAGTAGAAGGGGACCCTGGGGGTTTCCCATTCTCTCAAGCCTAGGCAATACCTTTGGGACCTCTGTCCTCAGATCTTCAGACAGTCGGCCCTTGGAATTCTGAAGCTATACTGTGGGTGCCAAGAGGACTGTGCAGAACCAGCAGGCCCCAGTGCCTTAAATCTTGCTGTTCAAGCTAATCATGTTTGACTCTTGGCCTCTTCTCACTATACCTCTCAAGACAGGAAGTTCCTCCTTATGTCTGACTCGAATCCTTCCAGCTGTAGCAACCTGGTTTCTGCACTGTGCAAAGCTGCCTGTGATGGGGCTGGGAATTTCAACCACCCTGTTAATCCGTTTCCCTGTACCCCTTCCTCCTGGTTGCTTGGAGCTAGAAACCATTATGCATATCTTTGTGAGTGAAGAGTGGCTTCCTTTCCTCTAACTCCTGTATCCACCTCAGGTAGCTCCTTGGTTACTCCTAATGGGGCCAGGGAATGAGTGAGGAGGTGAGAAGCTTCTTTGGGAGACTCAGTCCTGCATTCAGGGGTATGTGTGCATGCATGCATGTCTGTGTGTGCCTGTGCATACATGTACTCATGTGGGCCTTTGTGCCTGTTGGCTGGAGACTATACGTACAGGAAAGAGGCTCAGTGGTTTGCAGCCTGCAGAGGGTCTGCAGGAGGCTCTGTCTGTGAATGGCTGGATGGCTGCATGTGGGTAAGTCTGAGAGGTGAGCATGTATGACCTCGGTGGTGGCAGCTGCAGGTAATGGCATTGAAGTTGTCCGGACAGAGGGCCTTGTCCCCAAGGGAGGTGAGAAGGATGGATTCCGTTATGTGACACACTCACAGCCTTTGTAGATGTCTGTGGGGATCTGCACGGCTGTGTATGAATAGTTGACCTTGTTCTTGAAGTTTGGGTCCTCGACGAAATCCAACCTTAGCGCGCTGCTCTTGGACCCTCTCTCCACATCCTCACTTTCAGGGTCATCCTGCAGAAGAAGCCCCCGCCCCATCCCAGCAGTGTCAGGGCTGGGAAATCATAGGTGGGTTGGACAAGCCTGCAGGCAGAGGCAGGGAGGGCCAGAGTCTAGGAAACAGGGGCATCTCAAGAACAGAGGGTATTGCAAAGACGAGAAGAGATAGATGATGAGATACAGGGGCAGATGGACATATGGGGTGGACTCCTCACCCCACCTTCCATCCATTGGTCAAACCCAGATTCTAAAACCAAAACCAAACTGGCTCCTTCCCCACATCCTTGAAAACCAGTTATCAGTGAAGCAGGCAAATAGTGGAGCAAGTTAGAGAAAGAAGCTGTAGACTTCTGCTTACAAAGATGTGCCTTGTGCAATCACAGGGAGGCCTCTGCAGCCCCTCCTAGGAGCTCTGCACTCCCACACTGCCTACTATCTCCTGCATGGAGTTCCTTTGGCACTAACGAGAGAACCCTAGCCCCAGCTGGGGCAGGGACAACACCTACTTCGGCAGAGGAGCTCTAAGAGCTTAACTGGGGAGGCTGACCTTCTGGAGGGCTGAGCCAGGACTCTAGAAGGAAAGTCTGCCATGCCTGCTACCAGCAGGACTGTAAAGGCCCCTGTTGATTTTCTAAAATTTAATGAGCCACAGTTGCCTGACAGGTGCCAATTACAGCATCTTGTGGCCAGGCAGAATAGGCATGCGCCATGTGCTGCCGCCCACCAACACAGGCTGGCAGGAGGGGGACTGTGACTAGTGCCGATGGCGACGCTGAGGCTTGGCTGCAGGTGTGTAAAAAGGAGGGTGGAGGTAGACAGTGAAAGTGGAAAGAGGGAGAAGCCAAACAGGGAGGCAAGGGACAGATGGAGACAGGCTGGCAAGGAAGCAGAGCTGAGGACTTTGTGCCCTGGGAGGAAGAAGCCAAAGCAGTCAAATTTCACCCCCATCCTCTGCTCAGGTCAGCGCATGTCTTCACCGCTGCTCACAGTATCCGGGCAGGCCTGATTTCCTGAGCTCTCCCTCTGTGTCTGCCCAGCTGGGGTCTCATTTAGGGAGAGGGTGACTGTGCCTCTCTACCCAGCCAGATGTGGAGACTATGCTGAAGCACCCTTTTCATCTCTTCAGGGTGGGTTTTATTTTATTTTTATGGGGATAGGGATTGAACTCAGGCTCTCCTTGTAGATAAATACTCTCACCAGCAAATTCTGGCTGTTCTACAGTGCTTCTGTTTCCCGCCTGCCCTCTGCCACCCTTTGCCTACCCAGAGCCCCTGGAGTGGGGTACAGCAAGGCAGGCCCTGCTGAGCACTCAGACCAGAGCAGGTGCCAGGGGTCTGTGAGGCACTCATGTTCCACTCAGGGGCAGGGGAGGCGCCAGAGAAAAAAGCCCCGAAATGTCAGTGGCAGATGAAGGGTGCTGGAAAATTTAATCTCCCAACTTTCCCAACTAATGTGACATTTGGATTCTGTTCTGATAAGCTATCAGCTGGTGAACTTTTTCTTTCTTTCTCTTTACCCCACCCCCACCTTCTGGCTGGTAATTTAAAAGTAAATGGTCTAGAAAGATCTCTAACTGTACCTCTGGCGAAAATTAAAAAAACAAAACAACATAACAAGCAGGGGAGTCAGCAAACCTGTGCATGTTGTTATTTATGCTAGGCTCTGGCTGTCACACCCCCAGCCCTGCCCCAGCATGAATCTCCTGGATTGGGCAGGACATAGCAGCCAGCAGATGGCCAAGGGGCAGGGGCAGAGTCAGCATTTTTGAGGCATGGGTTGGGGTCCTGAGGGGAGCTGGAGGCTGCTGGGAGAGGGGAGTAAAGAGTGTCCTGGGAGGGGGTGGGCTACCAGGCTGGCCATTGAGCCTGTCAGGGGGCCACCCCCTGAGGCTGGGGGTTTGTGCAGTGGGCCACTGTAGTCTCCCGGTTTATATTTAATGCACTGATTGCTAAAATTACAGCCCGCTGCCGAGGGGGGTAAGGAATTAGATTCAGGGTCTAATTAAAGGTTTGCTCTTCATTTGAATTTCAGATTCCAGCTTTAATTTTAGCAACTTCTCCGGGAGCCACAGAGCTCAGCCAAGGGGAAGCACACCTGCTTGAGCCCACTCTCCTTCTCAGCCCCTGTCCTTCCTAAAGCTCTCCTGGTGACTTGGCTTCTCTGACCCTGCTTAGGGATCCTTTTTGGCCTTCCCCTTGTCGTGTCTTGAGATACTTCAGCTCACCATAGGAAAGCCCCCAAGCCTAGGGTCTGGAAGGGGAGGACTGGATTTCAGGTCTTCTGCAAAAACAAGTACAGGTGGGTCCCAGAGACTGTACCAGTGTGACCCCTTTGTTAACATGGGGCAGCTGGGTCTGCCTACTTTGTTTTGAATTCAGGCAGAGGGACTTGGGCCTTGACAAGTTTGTACACCTTGTCTATTAGAAGCACCAGCGCCCTTGGACCCTCTTGTCTTCTCTGTAGCCACCTCCTCGCTGTGGTTGTATGTTTTACTGAGTCCTTTGGTGATGGGCAGCCCAAGTAGCCACTTGAGCCACGAAGATATGGAATGAGTTACATAGAAGCAGAAAAGCAGTGTGGCTCAGTCCCAGTGCCACCTCTGCTGCGGGAGATAGCCCCACTGAGCTGAGCTCATCTGGAGAATGGGTGCCTGCACTGCCTCTTTAGCTGGGGTGGTACGACTGAGCTCAGGGCCAGGCTGTGGGCACTTAGCTCGCCTCATGGCAAGGAAGGGAGACTTCTCTGGCTTGGAGAGGCACCTGGGTGTGTGCTAGCCATCTCCACCCATGCTCTCTGCATTGCCCTACTCTCCCTACTCTCATGGCATTTAGCCTCTCTCCACAGGGAGGCCTGAAGTGCCCTGTGGGGGGAGGCTGGAGGCCCTGCCACCCAGCCCAGGAGGGGATCTTGCCTGCCACACAATGCTGGGAAGCCCAGTCCACTCGAGGCCACAGAGACACAGCCCTGGAGGTGTTGATCTCAGAATGCTGAGTGCTGAGTCTTGACATCCGTTTTACACCTGAGACTACTGAGGACCAGAAGCGGGGGTGTGGCTCTGGCAGCTTAGGCAGGGAGGCACTTACCAGCTCAGCATCAGCCTTGGCATCATAGTACATGATGTCTTCTTCCTGGTGAAGGGAAAGAGACCTTAGCACCCACAGCTCTGGGGCTCCTGAGACACAGCCAGGAAAAAGTCCTCTGAGACAGGGACTGCCCCTTTTCCCCATCCAGAGCTGCTCTCCTGGAAGTGCTGCATGGGTCAGTACTGGTGGCTCCCCACCCCAATTCTGGCCAGGCCAGTCCTGGATGAGGTGGTGCTATGTGGCAGCCCTGCTGGGAGGCAGAGTCAGAGCCCAGCCTGGTTGCAGAGATGCTGCTGAGGCAGGAGGGGAGTGAGGGAGATGGAGAAACAGAGCCGAGCTTGGGCAACACTGAAATAATGACTTGACGCCGCATCTTCCAATTTCTTCTATTAAAAAGCCTGCTCATTACGGGCATGTACTTATTAATTATCTGTGATTTGTTGTGAAATGCAAAGGGTTTACACAACAGGAGCAGGAGAAAACAAAGCCCGGCCCGCATGCCTGCCTCCTGGTCCTGCCTGCCTGTGCCGCCAGTCCTCGTGGCCTGTGCCTGCTGCCTGGGTTCCTGGCCATCTGCGCGTCATAATCACTGGCTGCCCTGGAGACCCATAACACAAACGGGCTAATTTCATGTTTAATGATCTTTAATCAGAACTGAGTGTGGCTGACAGAGGCCTCCAGAAGGTGAACCTGGTGTCAGCAAGTGCCACCTGCTTAGGAGTGGCCACCCCACCCTGCCCTGGTGGGTTTGAGGGCCAGGGCCACTATCCAAGTCACCCTTCCTAGAAGCACTCCAGCCCTGTTTCATACAGTGAAATCCTGCAGCACGGGCCCCCGCTTGGCAGGTTTCTTGCCCCACCCTTCCTTCCCCCACCTCCCCTTTTTTTTTTTTTGTTTTAAAGACAGGGACTTGCCATGTAGCTCAGGGTGGTCTTAGACTTCTTACATACTTCAGTAGCCCAGGCTGGCCTCAAACTTGCTGTGATCCTCCTGCCTCAGCCTCTCAAGTGCTGGGATTACAGGGTTGTGCTACTATGCCTGGCTGCACTTAAATCTGACCCCCGGAATTTCACTTAGTCCTTTTTTTTTTTTTTGTAATTTTGAGACAAGGTCTTGCTAAGCGGTTAAGCTGCCCAAGTTGGGGTCAAAATTTAGATCCTCTTGCTTTCAGCCTCCCAGAGTGAATTACAGGTACATGCTACCACACCTGTTTCTTTGTGGCCTATAAATGGGAGTGGTAACCAAGTTAGCTCTATGTCATAAGGTAGTAGGATCCTGTACTGGGGAATGTTCCAGTGAACAGTCTGGTCTGTGTTGTACCAGTCTTGGGGTGCGCGGGCCACTGGTCATGTACAGCTGGTCCAAGCATTCTGGAACAGTGGCTACATGCTTGGTACCATATGTGGGCACAACCACAGCCTCTCAAAGAAGACCTTCCAGAGTCTGCAGCTCACACTCTGTCTGCCACTTCCTCATAACAGCCCTGTGACATCAACATACAGAAGACATCAGGCCAGGGCAGGGAGTTTTGTTTCCTGGCTCTGTCTGACCTGTTCTCCTAACTCCTTTCCAACCTCACCCACCCCCTGCCACCCAGCCACCTTCCCAGGGAGACTGGGACCAGGTGGGCCTGGTGGGGAGTGGGGTAGGGGCCTGGGCTCTGGGGTGCTTTCCTTGTGCCGGCTCCGACTGAAGCACATAATGAAAGCTGACATTACATCAAACACAATAAGGAGTTTCAGTTGATGGAGATCATTCCTGAACACACAAACCCATTAAACCGAGGGGAAAAAAATATCAATTCAACACACTCACAGGCAAAAAGAAAATGTGATTTGTTATCTAAAAGGGGGTTATAAACACGGCTCTGATGCTCTTTCCCTTCGTAATGAAAACAGACGGGCACGGTGGGAGGATTGCAGATTGCAGCCTGGCGCTTTACAAACTGACTTTTTAGGCAAAGCTTTTGCAAGGACGGGAAAGGGCATGAGTGACCACTCCCAGGCCCCTAAGTTTCCTAGCTTTCTCTCCTGGGCTTGGCTATCACCTGCCTGTGCCTGGGTCATCCCTAGGATGGTCTGGAACTCACTTGGGTGCCCTTGCCAGCTACTCCAGTGGCTTCATTTCTCTGTCTTACTGTGTTCCTTTCAGCAGAATATCAGGGTTGGGGGCATTGGGGACAAAGGGGAAATGTTACACAGGATTCTCAGCTTTCTGCAGACCAGAAGCAAGGCTCAGGGATCTGTATCCACCCACTCCTCCTGCACTGGGCTTGGTGCATGTAGGCAGGTTTATTTCACCCATATTACTTTGAGGAGGGTCAGGCCATACCTTTTCCTTGGCAGGAGAAGTGGTGGCCAAGATCACCAAAAAAAAAAAAAAAAAAAAAAAAAAAAAAAAAAAAACCTCTGTAAACACAGCTGTGATGCTGTGTGTGATATGATATGAACTGGGGATGTGGTGTACAGGGCAGCAGGCTGGGGTGGAAGGTCTCTAGGGAGGCCTGCTTTTGTCCTGCACAGTACCCTAAAGCCCACATCAATGTCTTGCTTCCTGGTTCTACACCAAGGAGGCAGTACCATGCAACACATAAGTGCAGAGGCCTTGGCAAGGGGTTCTGAGTTCAAAGTCTCACTCAGACACCTGTGAGCTCTGAGCAGGGAGTGAAAATTGAGGCTGTGCCTCAAAGGCCCCCACCTAAAATGAGGACTCTTGGAAACCGCCCCAATGAGGCCAGGCTACCTGCTTAATTGTGCAGCCTCAGTAGCCCTACCCTAGTTTCTCAGTTACAAATCAATAGCTCAGTGGCGTAAGTGCCTGCTCGGTAAACGAGAGGTTGTGAGTTCAAATCCCAGTATAAAAAAAAAGTCCAAGATGAGGATGCCTCTTGCGTGGATGTGAAGAAGACAGGGCACTGCAGAGCTGGTGTCAGCAGCGGGCAGGGGCCTGGCCCATCCTCAGTGGACCCTCCTGCAACTCCACAGTCTATAGGAGGGACTGAATGTGGAAAAGGCCCTGGATAGGATTAAATGGGTGTCCTTAATGCCTGAGGTCTCCACACTGACCCTTGCTTTGATATTTAGGGACTATTTTTCTCAAATTAGACAGGAGTGGCGATTCACTGCACACCCAGCTCATACCCACAACATGGACCTGTGCACATGGCTGGGTGTGCACCTGGGTGTACAACACAGCTACTCCTTAGCAGGAGCCAAGCCCAAGAGGCACAGGGGAAAGGGTGAGGGAGGCAGGTTAGGGTAAGCGGAGGAATAACAATTGTCATCCTGATCTGGTGCATGCACAGTGGCTGTCAGGACTGACCAGACACAACAGCCATTCTGCACCAGCTTCCGTGTAGGGTCCAGGCCAGCCACTTGGCTGCACGAGTGAGGATACCTGGCCTGCCTGGCCTGGCCCACTGCCAGCTCAGCTCAGCCAAGAGGACTGTTTTCTGCAAGAGCTGTCTGTCCCCGGCTTGGCAGGGAGGCAGACAGTGGGCCCTATGGCTGGGTCAAATCCTCAGGCTGGAAGGCCACCTGCCCTAGCCAGCCAGCTCTTCCGCCTGGCCCTGCCTTCACGGCCTTCCCGTTAGGTCCTCTAGGCAAAGCTTCAGATTCCTCCATCAAACTCCCCAGGGCATAACTGCCTCCTTTATTAGACTCCCAGTGAATGGTTTTGTCTTCTTCTGTAGTTCCTGGTCTTGGCACTGAGGCCCTGATGCCAATAGTTTCTCCTCTCTCCCCCACCCATACCTGGCCCAGCTCCTTCCTGGGGGAGGCTGAGGTGGCACACAGTGCTGGTATAGTGTAGTGTTGGCACTGGGCACTGTCACAGGTGGCCCATCTTCATCTGCCTTGATGTGTTACAGGCGCCAAAGTGCCTGCTGCCTGCCTGCAAGACTATGAAGGTGCTGCCTGCTAATCAGGGCCATGGTTTCCCTGGAGTGTAGCAGTCTAGGTGGCTGTGGCTGTGGCTGTGGCTATAAATGATGTGTCCTTATCAGGTCCAAGGGTGTGAGAATATGGCCTGAGATTGGGATAGGGCTAGGGTAGGGGTTTTTACATTCAGATGTCACCCACTTTTCTTCTTGTTCTCCTTCTCCTCCTTCTTCTTTTCCCCCTCCTCCTTTTCCTTTTTCTCCTTCTTCCTTTTTTTTTTTTTTGGTACTGGGAATTGAACTCAGGACCTTGCCTTTGCCAGGTAGGCACTCATGCCGCTGAGCTATATCCCTGGATATTACCCTCCTGTCTCATTCCAACTCTGACTCACAGACTCCAGGATCTCCCGAGTCCTGGCTGGTGTTAGTGTGTGTGTGTGTGTGTGTGTGTGTGTGTGTGTGTGTGTGTGTGTGTATACCATTGTCTGTCCTTCAGATGTGTGAAAGCATACTTAGCATGAGGTGTACACGTGGCAAGGGTGACACCCTAACTATACCATGAATTCTAGTCTGGCCCCATGAGCCAAGGGCCCTTTCTGTGCCCAGAACTGCTGGATGCCACCTCCCCCACTCCCAGGTAAGAAGACCATTACTGCTCATTCTGTCAACATAGTACCAGCCTGGGCACATGGGTAGGCAGTGGACAGCACTGGTCAGACCTGACTGCTCCTGGTCTGGAGGAGGTATGAGTGGGGGTGACAGAGGAGACAGTGCACTGGGCACTATCCCTGACAGAGGCACCAAAGGGAACACTGCAGGCAGCAGGGGCTGATCCTAGGGTTAGGGCTACAAACAAGGCCCTAGGCTTTGCTTTTTGCAGAAGGGTAAGAGCTCCAGTCTGGAGAAGGCCAGGCTGGTGAATGGCGTGTGCTTGAGGCCAGAACTGCAGTATAGGCCAGGTGTCACATATGTGGGGAGTGAGAGAAACATGGCTCCTTGTCTGTCATCTCAAGGTCATTGGGAAGGACATGCTTCAGAGGTGGGTAGTGTGGCTGCGAAGGACAAAACAACATCCTTTCCAGCCTCCATCCCTGCACCCCCTGGCAGGGATGGCCCCTGCTGCCAGTGCTATGGCTTGCTCTCCCTCCCTGGCAGCAGGGCAGCGCTGGCCGCTGGCAGCTAATGGGTCCCCATCAGCACTAATGCCTTGTCGCCTGGCTGTCACGGGTACTGCAGAGCTTTCTGGGAGCAGCAGTGACCCTGCAGTTGGTCAGGAGCAGTGACTACAGCTCCCCGCTGAGTATCTTAGGCAATAGGATGGATAGAAAGGTAGGAAAACTGACAGACTGCAGTGGGGAGGGCAGGGAGTGTCAGGCCAACTGGGCTGGGCCCAGCTGGCACTGTAGCCAGTGCAGTCTGTGGTCACCCCATAGCTGCAGCATGTCTGCTTAAACGGGAGACAACAGGGCAGCTAGAGTCCACTCCTGCCTCATCTCAGGACAGAAGCATCAGGACCCAAGGGCAGGCATGGCCGAAGACGCACCTGACCATTGCCAATTAGGTACCGTACGCCTGGTATGTGACCCTTTACATGCAACATTTAACAGGAGGAACAAACGCCAGCCGATCTTGTGCCACATAAAGACAATAAAACCTTAGGAACTGAGACCCAGTGTGCAGGAGTGGTCTCTGAGTAGCACCTCTCAGCACCACCTGGGAGCCCCTGAGCCCCAAGCCCTCCTTTCTGCCTCCTCCTACCCATCCCTGCCTGGAACAAGCTGTTCTCACATCAGGAAATGGCTGTAATTCAGGGGGCAAGAGCTTCAGGAGAGTCCTGGGAAATCCTAGGTTTTCTACAATATCAGGAAGAGAAAACAGGTTTGGGCCACGGAGGAATCTTCATCTCCCTGTGTGGGGCTTGGCTGGTAGGGAGAAGAAGCCGGGTAGAGGGCAGGTCTTTTCATCCCTGTATTCCCTGAGTCCTGTGTGCTCCATGTGCCCCTCAAGGGGATGGTGATTGTGGGGGTCAGGAAGAAATGAGGGGACTGAGCAGGAGCTGAGGGTCCTGGATGTCCTGAAGATAGAGAAGTTGAGTCTCTGGGGAAACAGAGTAGCTTCACAGGGAAGGGATGATTTGAGTCTCATGGAGGGTGGGTGCTTCAGAGAGAAAGACAGATTAGCATAAGCAAAGGCCCAGGGGCAGGAGGGGCCTGGGCTGAAGTGTTCAGTGTGGTGGGGCACAAGAGAAGAGGTCAGGCAGTGAGGCTGGAGAGGGAGGTGGGTCTTGGCACTTGGCCTGGCCTGGGCCTTGCATGTGGAGCTGCCAGGGAGGGGTTATCTGGAGGTGGCAGCACGGTCTGAATGGTGAACGAGAGCCAGAGGGTACAGGGTCCAGTGACGGGTGGTAGTGCTGGAGTGGAGAGGCCAAAAAGGGTCAGTCTTCTGGGTCCTGGAAACAGGGTCAGGTAAGGGAGTCACTAACTTATTTATTTTCTCATCAAAAAGTATCTGTGGTCCCCAACCCCATGTGAACCCCACCCCCAGCACGTAGTAAAGGAAGAAAGCCACATGTGGGCCCCAGGGCAGCCTAAGAGGCGGGAGATGAGGATCATACGCAGGAACCCCTGGCACCAGGCATGCAGCTATGAATCTGCCACCAAGAAGAAACCTCAGGTAGGTCTGAGCACTCATCTCCTACCTGCCTTCTAGGGCAGAGGTACCTGGCCTGGGGGCAAAGGTTGTCCATACCCACACTGCTTTTTGGTCCCAGGTACCACTTGTGTTTAGCAAGGAGACAGCCAGGAGACATGGCCCAGACACAAGGAGCCCTGTCAGGACTATGGTCCTTGAGGGTGCCATTATCCTTGGCATCAGGGCTTCCCTAAGTCCACGGATAGCCAGCCCAGCAGGAAAGGTCAGGGGTGTCCAGCCTCAGCCAGGAATTGGCTGGTGAGGTAGCCTTGCCTCCCCCTCTACTTCTAGCACCTTGCACCCTGCTCCAAAGAGCCAGCACCTTTAGGACCCTCTCTGCAGGAGAAGCTTTTGTGACTGCAGCAGCCTAGTTCGGCCAGCCTGAGGGCTCCTTGGTAGGCCAGGCTGCTGTTCAGGGCAGGGCAGGGGAGAACAGCGCCTTTCTCCAGTCTCTCTTCTAGGCTGCAGCATTAAAGTCTTGGATCAGTCATCTTGAAGTCAAAAGGCTTCTTTGACCCAGGGGCTTGTCAAGAATCTGGACATCTTCTTTGGGAAGGCCATTTTAGAGCAGGCTGTCTATGGGTCACCCCACAACTCTTCTGGAGTGACACTGGTGCTCATGTATGTACTGAATACCTTAGTACTGGGAGTTGTGCCGAGCATAGGACAAAGGCTTCTGGCTCTACTCAGTGGTCCCCTGCTGCCCTTCCAGTGTGACTAGACAGTGCCCCATTCCACCATTCTGTCCTGGTGGGGTGGTATGCCCTGGATGCTAGGGAGGGCCCTGTGCTCCTTACCTTGATATTGTCCTGCCAGCGGTGGGCTTTCTGGAAGGTCTCTGCAGCATCAGCCAGTCTCTAAGGGACAGAATACATAGAGATCAAGGTTGAGGCAGGCTGTTTGCTCTATGGCCACCCCAAAGCCTTTCCTATTCCCAGTTCCCTCTGTGGTCAGGCTGGCTCCAAAGGCTTCTCTTCTCCTTGCCCCACCAGACCCCAGAAACTCCTCAGCCCTGTTTACTGAGGGCACCCCTGACCACAGCTGGCTTCCCACAGGATGGGTGGGCTACAGGGAACAGCCCTAGTGGCTTCCTCATGGGCTTCAGTAGATGGCAGCAGCACCCAGCCTGGGCAAGCCCCACTGCCACTCTTGATCCCCTACAATCCAGTGTCCATCCCCTCTTCAGTCAGTGTGGGATCCCTCAGGTTACACAGTGCCTTGCTTATGCTCTTGTCCTGTAGGGGGTGGCCAGAGCCCCCCTTTGCCTGGCCAGTACAGTTGGCCACCCACCACATTCCTCTCCAGGCTTCCTGAGTCCTTCCCAGAGGGATCCCAAGCTCTGTCCCCATAAGCCTGTCCTGTCCTTTGGTGTTGGTTCCAGTGGCCTCTGCCTGTGAGCAGAATGCCCTTGAGAACACAGCTATGTGCCTGCCCGTGCCATATCTGTCATTGGGCATGCTTGATGCTAGACTATACTGATATGTGAAGACATGGCTGACTCAGCCCTGCCTCTCACATAGGATCAGGAGGGGGAAGTGACACATAATTGGGGTAGCAGTGACTGACATGTGGAAGGCTCTGTGCTGTGGGAACATGACACATCAGGAAGGCTTGTGGAGGAGGTGCCCAAGCCCAGCCACCCTCTGGGCCTGAATCTGGCATTCTTGTGGATCCTGTCTCTTAGGATTCTTGGGCCACCAGAAGTTTGTGCTTCTTCAGATCTGTGTCTTGTTAATCCTAAAATAATACAGCTGACCACCCACCACAGTCCAGGACTCCTCCAGTCAGTGATGCATGGACATCACTTCTCATTCATATATGCCCGATGTGGTGTCTTTGTAGCCCATCCTTTGAATATACCCAGGCACAGAATAGCCATGGCCTGCCCAAGACTCTGTCACATAGTCTGGTCAGACTGGGGCTCTGAGCCTGGGATTCACTGTGGCCTTTGCCTTGATTAGTCATGACCAAGATCCATGATGCCCAGTGTGGGAGGCAGCTCTGGTTCCTCAGGCCTGGCCCACCCCTTCCATGGATGCAGTATAGTCCTGCCTCCAGGCCTACTGTCCTACTCAGAAGACTGTTCTCTTGGTATTCAGGCCACCATGTCCCTATCCATCAGCCTAGGCCTGAAGTGGCCTATGGGCCTGAGCAGAGAGGGTAATAAAGCATGAAAGCTACCCTTTAGAGGAAAATGGGAGATCAGGGTGGGAGCAAGAAGGGACCCTGTGTGGAGCTGTGGCCATCACTCTCCTGGGTAAGATGTCAGCCCTGGGAGTCACAGAAGCTGTCAGAGCCACCCCACTTCTGCTGGACCTGGTTCTTTCTCCTCAGACCAAGAGCACTGATAGTGGGAAAGCTGTGGGTGGGGACCTGTGGACAGGGTGAGAAAGTGACTCTCAGAGTTGAAGCTCCTTATCTCTCAATGTGGCCTTTCCCAGCTTTTGCCACCGCTTCCTGTGGAGCCTCTGCCTGCTGCCTAACCTTCATAGCAGGGCTTACTTGGGTGGGACACACACTGCCTCTCATTCAAGGGACTTCAGGGACCACTGGGACTCTGCTCCAGTAGGTCTCTATTAGGTCTTATCTCTGGTATTGGCCCCCACCGAGTTCCTTGGGATGGGTCTTGGCACACCTGAATTATATCCACGCCCTCTTAGAACAGGCCCACCCACCCCAGAACCTCTGCTTCTCCTCCCAACCCCAACATCACTAAACCACTTACTGTTCAACCCAGGGTCTGTTTGGCCTCAGGAACCCACATCCTCTCATGTCCTCCTGTACCTGTTTTCCATGCAACACTTGAGTCTCATCTCAGAAAAGAGATCTGATCATCTAGCTGCCCTCTGCTCCCAACCTCTTCAGAACCTACCTCTGCTCCCAGCCCCTACTGCTTTGCACATAAAAGGCAACACTTTCTTGAGGCCCTAAAGGGCTCACCCATGCCTGACTCCTCATCTTCCTTTTCCACATCTTGGGGCTTCCTCTTGGCCTAAACCATAAATTTGCCTTGAGCCCTAACCTCTAGGGTTGGGTGAAGTCCCCAAGTCATAATCCTGCAGTGCCCTTCTGTGGAGGGTGTCATAATGCATGATGGCTGCCCCACTTGGGAAAGTGAGAGCCAGGACCTGGGAGACCAGCCTGTGAGACATTTACTAATACTTGTCACTGGAGTCAGCTGAATAGCTACTATGTACCAGGTGCCTAGATAGCACTTAGCCTGGAAGATCTGGAAAGCAAAGAGAGGCAGCACCAAGGGTGCATCTTGAGGCATGACCTTTGGGCGATCACTGTATCCCCGCTTTCCTTACCAAGAGGCTCATTACCTTCCCAGGGATCCCAAGGGTACCTCAGAGTAGGCCTAGGGCCCAGACATGGCTCTGGAAGGTCACCATTCTTCATAGGCTGACACTGGGACAGAGCACGAGAACCAGATCAAGGATCTCACCATAGAAAAGCCGCAGGGTAGATGGGCCTGCAGAGTCAAACTGATGCTAGTGGAAGTCTCCAAACTAGGTTATGGGCTTGAGGAAATGTTTCCTCCACCTCTCCATCTACCCCTGGCCAGGGAGTGCCAGCTAGTTACCCTCACAGGGTTCAGCTCTGAACCTAGGGCTCACAGGCTCAAGAACAAGGGGCTGCAGGCTCCTTTGGCTCCATGACTTAGCAGACAAGGTGAAGGAGCCCCAGAGAAGAAAGTCTGGTCCCCAGCTTCCTTGTGCTCTCAGTCCCCCAGGCTTGAAGGCCCAGGTCAGCCCGCTGACTCGTGAATAACGGAGTTGCAATGGCCACAGTGAAAGGATTACTTTTAATCCTCAGTAACGATCAAGCCATTATTATTTTTTCGGTGTTACAGATCAATCAGTCCGTCCCTGGGCATTGGACGTGTGCAGACTGTTAACAAGCAGGCCTAGTGCTGCATGAGGAAAGGCCAGGCAGCTTCATGGGATGGACTGGGCAGGCAGCGGGACCTTGAGGTCCCACTAGCCCACTAGCCTGGGGGCATCCCAGGATCCAGAGAGGGAGTCACAGCCTGGCCCTGGCCTGTAATTAAAGCCTCCCCCTTAAGCAGTGGCTTCACCTCCGTGGCTCTCAGAAGCCCACTGTGAACTGGTCATAGCAACTGCACCCACTCAGGCAGGTTCTTGGCAGCCCCTTCTGCCAGCTCCAGCTGTTCTTAGGGTCCTGCCCACTAGGGTTTCTCTGTTGGCTCTTACTGCACTGTGGGCCTTTCTTTCCCAACCACTTTTTCTGCTGGTGAGCCCTAGTGGACTATTCTCTGGAATCTTTCTTTTGCCCCTGTTTAGTCCCTGGGCATCCCCTCCCCTCACCCAGGAACCTCCTCCAAGTTTCGTCCCACCTGCCAAGCACAAGTGCGATACTCAGAGTCTTGGGATCCTGCCCTCATAGGCCCCACAGTGCTCAGGTCTGCTCCTACCTCTCCGTGTCCTCCTGATGGCAAGGCAGGAAGAAAGGAGGGTTTGGAGGTGAGGGAAACCTCCTAGGGTGCCCAGCAAGGCAGGGGCTGAGCAGGGGCCCCATCTTGGTGCTGTCTCTAGGGTTCCTGCTGTTCCTAACTCTGACCCTGAGTTCTCCTGGAACTCTTACATTCTCACAGGAACCTGCTTAGGACCCAGACTCTGCTCTCAGAGGCACCTGCAGTCCCTGGTCATCCTGATCCTGGGCCACTCCCTCCCTGTTCACTCCTGTACCCCACCAGGGTCCCACTCAGGGAACCTTTTGCCAAGTCTGCCTTTCCTTGAACTTTGAGCTCAGCAGGGGTAGTGTTTGGTGGTGGTCAAGCTTACAATCACCTGGCCCCTGTTATACAGCAGGTGCTCACTAGATGTTTACTCTGTCAAGGTCAGGGCCTCTCTGGACCTGTGTAGAGCCCTGGCTTTGAGTCTGACTCTACCCGGCCAGGTATGTAACCCCAGGCATGTGCTTAACCTATTTGAGTCTCTTTCCCTCACCACATCCAAGGGATGAGGGATGCCTAAGAGGATGCTGCTGCCATGAAGTCACCAATGATGTCTCACCTGGCCTGCATGTCCCCATCATGGCCATGGCACTGGAGGGAATTGTGGTGAGTTTGCTAAGCAGGGCTGCTCACAGCCAAGTCCATCATGATAACTGTGAGCCTTTCAGAGGCAATTATCAGAGAGTTGCACTTCACAATCAATTTCCCTCAGCTCTGGGAACCACTTTTACAAAGAAAGGGAAGAGAAAGCAGAGGGCCGACAGTGCACTGGGCTGGGACAATACTCTCCTAGGGAGCAGCTCCTCCACTAGTACCTTTAAATCTAAGTTAAACAACTTTAACTTCAGGGAGCTGATGCAGACAGTGATGTGAGAAAAGGGACCTGCATGCTGGGTGGGGAGAGGCTTGGGTCTCAGGGCCAGAGGCCTTTGGTGTGCCAGTCCCTTAGGTGCTCCCATCTGGGTGCTTCCTATTTCTTCTTTGCCTCTTCTCTCCCTGCCTTATGGGAACTCCCTCTCCCAGGAATGGTGGATGTGGCCCTAGGGAGCAATCAAACAGGACTTGTTCAGCTGCACAGCCCACAGCAAGAGATGGTAAGTTTTCTGGTCTTATTGGCTATTGCTACTCCTGCTTTCAAGAGGGTACCAGAGGCTTAGAATAAAATGTCCTGAACTTGTGACCAAGGATGTGGAGATCTGGGTGCTGGGGGTACTGGGGTAGTGGGGGCTGAGTCAGTCAGATGCTATGGTAGAGGAAGGAGGTGGGGAGGGGGAGCTTGGAGTAGGGAGCTCTGAGGTGGAGGCCCAAGTGGCAAGCCCAGGAAAGAACACCAGTACCACACACACAATGCCCTGAAAGCACCAGAGGTTCCAAGGA